CGAGAACCCCATGCTGAGCTGGTATCGCAATGCCTCTGTTATGACGACTGTGTAGACGAAGAGCGGGGGAGGGAGGGGTAGGGGGTGGTGGACTGCTCGGCCGCGTGAGGGCGTTCAATAACGTCCTAGAGGGGGCGGCGGCGGTGCTGGAGGGACGGGTGTAGCGTTTAGCTGTGTTGTGTTGTGCTGCGTTGTGTTAGATGGATACCTAGATACCCTGCCTGCCTGCTGTGAGCTGCTGTAGCCGTTAGCTGTCGCTATTAGCTGTAGCCGTCACTATCGCTTTTTGTCTTTTTTCCTTTTCCATTCCTTCTCGCTCGTGTTGCGTGCGTGCGTGCGTGCTTGCTGGGTGCTTATGCGCTTTACTACCTATAAACGGCATAGTATATGCATACAGACACTCCAGGACGCGATCAGCTAAATGGGTAGGGTAGGGAGGGTAGGGTAGGGTGAGTAGGCATCAGCTGTGCCTGAGTAGGTAGTGCTATGGCACTTGCACTGTTAAGTACCTACTCGTACGTATGGTATGGTAGCTATTTATGCAACTGCTACGGAACTAGGTACCTATGTACGCATGCAGGAGAAAAGCTACAACAGCTAGCTAGGCTAGCCACACGGCCAGAGAGCACGCGCAAGCAACCCAAGCCCGTCCACCTCCCACGCACGTCTCTCTCACAAACCAGCAACCCCCAACCCCCAACCCCAACACACACACACACCCTACCCCCTCCTCCGCCGAAACTGAAACCTCAACTCATCCTCCCCGGCCTCGTCCTCCCCCCCACCCCCACCCCTCCGCTTCCTCGCGGGCGGCTCCTGCGCCCCCGCCGGCGGCCCCATCGCGCCCCTCTTCCCCCTCGCTCGGCCCGCCGCTTTCGTGCTCCCAGCCGTGCTGCGCGGCACCTGGACCTCGGTATCTGCCTCCGGGTCCGCATCTGCCTCCGTGTCCGCCTGAGTCTGACTCGCAGCAGACAGCTGCGACGGCGTCTCGGCCCTGCGTCCGCGCGTCGACCGCGTGGTCGTGCTCCGCGTCGACTCGGGGGACGTGCTGCCCGCCGCCGCTGCTGCAGTTGAGGCTTTCGCGCCCTTGCCTTTGGGCACGCGTTTCCGCTGCTGCTGTTGCTGCCGCCCCGAGAGCTGCGTTTCCTCAATCAGCTCGACGAGCTTCTCGTTGCGCGGCTGGCCCGCTATCTCCTCGGGCTCGACGTCCTGCATCTCCGTGGCGTCGTCGGCGTCGATGACGATGGCGGAGGCGGGGCCGCCGCGCCGGCTTTGGCTTGCCCGCGCCGACGACGACGGCGTCTGGCTTTGCGTTGTGCGGCTGCCGCGGCGAGAGGTGCGGCTGGCCGTGCGTGTGAACATATCATCGTCATCTTCGTCGTCGTCGTCTGACTCATTTGCTACGTTTCTCGTGTGGCGCTGCTTGGTCCGCTGGCGTTTGCCTTGACGAGGGGCGCTCGACGCTGATTGTGAGGCTGGGTTGGGTTGCCCGCTGCTTTCGAACAAGGCGTCCGTCATGGAGAGTTCATCCTTTCGGACCTCTTCCAGCGTGACTATAACTCTGTGGCCTCTGCGTATCTCTCGATTGTCTGCCGCCTGGTTGCCTGGTCTCCTCTTGCGGAACTTCTTGAAGTTCTTTCGTCCATTCCATTCATCCTTCCATCTGCCCTCTTCGGCGGCTCGCTGTTCTTCAGTCATGTCGGTCTCGCCGGGCTGAGCGCTTCGAGGTTTGATCTCCATTTCTTCCACTTTGGCGAGGTTTGTCATGTGCTCGATATCCATGCCTTCTAGTGCCATCCTCAAGCTCTCTTCGTCTTTCCTGCGTTCTTCATCTTGCATTTCTCGCCGCTCCGTTATCGGATCCAGAACCTCAGGGTCATATTTATCTTTTTTCTGTTTTTTTGCGGCTTTTGGAGCGGCTTTCGCGCCTGGTTTCCTCTTGTGAGATGCTGGCTCTTCTGCCGCTTCGGATACGACAGGAGTCTCCTCCCTTTCCTGCGCCGATTCTTGCAGCTGTTGCTCCAACCGACGTCGCTTCATAGCGGTTGCAGCAGGCAACAGCTTATCTACAAGATTGTTGGCATCGTCTTCGGGCGGCTCTTCTTCTGGCTCTTCTTGAACTGGGCTAGACTCATGTGGTCTCTTTCTTCCTCTCGCTGTCCTCGACTGTGACTGGGATTGGGAAACCGGTGATGTCCTGACCCCGTAAGAAGCGGGCATCTGTGACTGGGAGGCGGCTCCCTGAGTCTGGCTTGGCAGAGGGTCTTCCATAGGTTCGTCATCGTCTGCGGGTGGGATTTTGGAGAGTTCAATATCGTCATCATCATCGAACCCTTTAAAGCGAGATACTGCGATGCCACGACGAGGACCGCGGCGGCGCTGAGTAGCTGGAGGTTGAGATGTTGCAGGAGGGTCGTTGCCGTCTGATGGAGGGACCGACTGGGATTGAGACTGATACCTGCTACGAGCGTTGGACTGCTGTGAAGGAGCAGCCGATGGAAGAGCTAGATGTATCGCGTAAGTTTGGAACAACAGATCCAAAGCCAAATAACCAAGCTTACCTGAACTTGCCGGAGGAGCTGGAATGCTACTCGAAACAATTTCCTCCTCCTCCAGCGGCCTCCTCAGCACGCTCGCATCATTTGTCAGGATGGCATCGAGAAACTCATTCTGCTCGATGCTCCTCTGTCCCAGTTTTAGGTCCACTTCAGGGAAGAACCTTTTAGCCCATTCCTCCGCCGCTTGGCCTTCACCTCTGCCTCTTCTTACCACCACGACGCCCTTTCCTTCGCTACCGTCTTCAAATTCACCCATGCCTTTTTCGCCTGCGACATTCTTGACGTACCGCGCAAAATCATAAGACGTTGAAGATGTCATATCCAGTTCGCGATGCAAGGCTTTTCCGCCGCCCTGTGAAATGGGAGGTTGAAGATTCTCAAATTGTGTCTTATCGCAGAAGATAAACGTGTAGCCGGCAAAAACACTCTCCCTTTCCTTGTCCGGCTTAAAGTAGCCCGCTGGTCTGGCCACGGGCTCTTTTCCTTTAGCAGGAAGAAAGCTCATTGCATCGGGCCAGTGACTGTCGAAGTCCTTTTCAATTGGCATAACGTCTTGCCCAGCATCTTTCGGGCGCGCGACTTGCTGTTCAATAGCATCCACATACGCATCTGTGACAATGTGCTTTGCGTTAACAAGCGCTTGGAGGCCCTTGGGGGTGTTGCGCTTGTTAGCCACGACATGCGTCGTATGTGAAGGGTTGTAATCAAAACCAATCTTTATATCGAAAGGCTCCAGACGGTCATGTACATCCTTTAGAGGATCATTCGGGTTGCTAGCCTTGGCCTTGGATGAGATAGTGCTGTAGCAGATATTGACTTGCTGCCACTCAAGTCTGGTAACATGCGCGCTTTAGCTTATCGCAAGTTTCCAAGGCGCCAGGGAGCCTTACCGCAACAGCTGATCCCATTTTCCCAGCTTGATTGCGAAAGCGTTCGCACCCTTTGTCCTGCCTCCCACAATCTTCTCCGTGTCCTTGAATTGCTCGCCATCGAGCTGCGAGCCGAATCTCGACGAGTCCGTGATAACGACCTGGCTCTTGAAGTCGTACTTATAACCGGTGCCAGGCTCAACAGGCTTCACTTCAATTATCAAGTGTTGCCGTGACACGGTCTTGGTGTCAATAGTGTACACAGTGTCTCCGGGCGCTTCATGGTTCTTAGGAGGGTTGGTGCGGCCGAAAAGGTGTCGTGAGCCGGGTCGTAACCAGAGACGTTTGCCTTCAAAAAGGCCGCCGTCGTGGGAAAGAAGCCACATTGCGGGCTTTGGTGAGCTCGTGAACGCGCAATGGGTGGCGGGGTTGGTCGAGGAGAGACGATGTTGGAGAGTGTGACGCCACAACGTGAGCGACGTGGAGCGCCGAAGGCAGACGCGAGCTTCAATGGCGCGCAGTCATGTGACCAATTTTAATCTCCGGGTAGCCGATATGTGATAATCTCCATCGCTGTTGAAGTCAAGACCAGCCAGCCAGCCGCACTGTTTGAGATGGTCAGCAACTTCCGACGCCTAGGAAAAGCAATTACCGTTATATCAGGCTATGTTTTGCGTGGTCATTCACACACATTTACCGGTATAAAGAGAATAGCTATAAAAATTTAACTCTAAAAGAGGATAAGACTGTAACCTCTATCAAATAGCCGTCGCTCCTTCTAAACCTATGCTCGGGTATCATGCAAAGAGTCTTTGAAGCCTCCTCTGACTGTGCAAGTCGCACTGCCGTTCAATCCATATCATCCAACCCTCCACCCTCACTCGCATTTTCTTCAGTCCCGTGTTCCGGCACTAGTATTCCAACAACGCAATCGCTCAGCATATTGTCCCAGTTAACCCACGGATGCACCTCGTGGAACAACTTCTCGCCATCCTTTCCTGCCGCGCGCTTCAGCTCTCCCTCTCCGCCCGGATGGAACGGCAGATACGGCGTGATATTGTATACCTTGCCCCCGTAGCTAGACCAAGCCGGCATGACCTCTCCCGTCGCCCTGTTCTTGCGCCCATTATGCGCCTTCAGCATCGAGGGCGTTACGCGCTGCAGAGAGCTAACTCCTGACAAGTTCGTCGAGGACTTGCAAAGCGCGGCCCAATCGAGGGGAGAATGTCCCGGCGTCAAAAGCACCTTCTGCCGTGGGTTTGGCACCTTGACGGGAGCTGTCGTGGGGAGGCCTAAGCTGTTGCCACCACCGGACGGCCCTCTGTTCGGAAGAGGGCCAGAGGGACCGCGGAGAGGAGCGGGGGTTGGGCGCGAAGGAGGCGGCATAAGTCCTCCTCCGCGCTGAGCCTGGAGGCTGCTATTCGGCATAGGACGCGCGGGTGGAAGCATGAGAGAGGGGGCGGCGGGGCTCTCAAGTGGTTTCAGAGTCGGCGGAGCGCGGGGTGCGGGGCCGGAGGCTCGTTGCGCGGAATTCAGCGCGGGGAACTGGGGCGGGGGCAGGTTGTCTTCGTCTTCGGAATCCGATTTCGCATCGTCATGATCTGCTACGGCAAAAGATGGAACGGCTGGTAAGCCCGAGGCTTTGGGCGTGGTCTGCGAGGAGTCGGCGGCCTCTTCGGATGTGGCATCTGGAAGCTGAATCTTCACCGGAGTCGCGGGTCTGGGAGGCTGTTCCTGCGGCGAAGGCTTTGGCGGCTCTGGCGCGCGAGACTCCTTGTTTGATTCATCTTGCGGCTTTGTGGACCCTGGTGGCGGGATGCGCTTCGTCTGTAGATCCCGCAGGAACGCAGCCCATGTCCGCGGCGGATGGTGATATACCAAGAAGGAAAAGGATATCACAAGCACAGTGATACCGAAAATCATGTCGCGCGACAGGGGGAAATGTTGCCAGGAGGAAGAAAAGCCGGAGTTATGCGGCGCAGGGGATTTACGAAGCACGACACTGACTCGCGACTTCGTCATCACCGAGCGCCGATGTGGCGCGCCGACACTCCAGACACTGTTCACCATCGTGCATCACCACGCAAAGCTCCAGCAATGTCTTCACGCACCATCTTCCGCACTTGCGCGCGCCAGCTTCGCGCTGCCGCCATTTCCACGCCCGCCTTCCGCTCATACACCGCGGGCGCGAGACTGCAAGCTTCCGTCCGGCCCGAGCCCGCATGGCGGGTCTCGCCCAGCATCCCGCAGCAGCAATGGCGTAGCTTCTCGGCCAAGAGCACCGCGGATGAGAAGATTGAGGAGATCCAAGAGCTGTATATCGCCCTTCACCTTTCCTTATCTCACGTCTAATCCCATGTCCTTGATACTAACAATTGCCTTTGCTATACAGCTACGCAACCGCACGCGACGAATTTGAGATCGCAGCCGAGGAGACCGAGAGCAACACTGTCTATGCCGCCGATGACAGGGCTGCCGCGCGCGAGGAGCTGGACAAGTTAAAGGCGGCATATGAGGCCGTTGTTGGAGGTCCGGATAAGGAGGTTGGGGACGAAGTCAAGAGACGGATTGGGCAAAGGATCAGGGAGCTCGACAACGCAGTCGTGGCCCTAGAGGAGTCGGCAATGGAGCATGATTAGAACTGCTAGAACAACAGAGGGAGATGTAGGATGGGTTTTAGAAGTTTGCACTTCTTGCACCAAGATGTTATGCATTGAAAAAGGGCAGCAGTATATACCCTTTCCAGCAGCTCTATAGCAGCGCCGCCATTATAACCTCAATTCATACCGTTATTGTGAAGCTCATTCCTTTTCCGGCCCAAGTCTACCGCTTCAATCCAATTTGATCTAGCCCAATCTCTCGTCTCCGTTCAGAGCTCACAGCTCATCGCGAGAAACGCCCTGGATGCCCACCAGCTCGGTCTCGAAGACAAGCACGCTGTTCGCCGGAATGGGACCCATGGCGCGGCTACCGTACGCCCATTCTGGCTGAATGGTCAGACGCCTCTTCTCGCCCACACACATGTCGAGCAGGCCCTGGTCCCAGCCCTTGATAACCATGCCAGCGCCGACGGTGAAGGAGAGGGGCTGTCCACGGTTGTAGGAGGCATCGAACTCTGTTTTTGCAAGAGATTGTCAGCCAGTGGGACAATTGCGTTGACGAGGCGTCAATTCGTAGCTAGAGATAAGGATTGAACTAGAGAAGGCGTGCTTCTGCCAAACCACTCGAAGTGGAGTGACTTTGCGAAAGCTTTGGTAAACGTACCAGTGCCGTCCTCCAGCGTGCCGCGGTAGTGCGCGTCGATCTTGTCGCCCGCAACGGTCTTGCGCTGGCATTCCACCTTGTTCGTGACCTCAATGTCGAGCGGCTTGTCGAGAGCGAACGCCACAGCGGGCAGGAGAGCAACGAGGGCGGCGGAGAAGCGCATCGTGAGGGAGTAGAAGCGGATTGGTACGTATGTTAGGGTGACGGGTGGGAGCAAACGGTGAGAGAGGTCGAAGTTATGATGCGGGACGCTTTGTTCGGGTTTGAAGATGTGGTCTGTTGAGTGGTTCCTGGAAGTGGCTGGTTGCGGGGAGCTACCACGCTACCAATGGAACGCCACAGCCGCACGACCCGCATTCTACTTCGTCATCAACACACTCATCAACACACTACCTAAGGTTAACAGCATTGCCTTGTCACCTCCATACCTCCATACATTCGTTTCTCCGTCTGGGATAATTACTGAGACTACCTGTCTATGCCATGGACTGGTCCTGGGCAGTCCCCTTATACCGCATTGTCTATAACACGTTATTCTCTAAAACGGTCAAGCTGTGCAAACAGCCACGCAAATCCTGATCGGATATACTAGTTAACGTTTTCTTAAGCTCTTAATGGTCGGAAGTTGCTAACCAGCTCAAACGCTGTATCAGCCTTTACTGTAAAAGGGAAGGGAGTAGAGGTGTTAATCCCTCATCTCAGGGTCACTTTGTATGATTTGAGATACAGTACTCCGACTAGTCAGAGTCTCAAGAGCAGTGCGACCTCGCGTTGCTATTCATGCCACTAAAGCCGTGGTCCGGTTGCATGATGAACAGCTCTGTTTATTCTGCTAACACATGGCTCCATTTCCGCCGTTCATGCTGCGCTTGGACGGACATACTCGAGCTGGATCGTGGAGTCGGTTCCGTCCTACGGGTTCCGGAGCTCTCACAATCAACTTTTGTCGTTGGTCATGATATTGGCGCCATACCCTATGCCTATAGAAGAAACAGTGAGTCTTTTTGTGATATCCCGCAAGCTAAGGGATTTTGATATGCGTTTTGCCACCGTCCTCTATTTCATCGAATTCAATTCAACGTGTCTTTCCATTGTTGTCGTCTTCGCAAATGTCAAACTGCCATACCGTTGTCCCGGGTAAGGGCAGCTAGCATGTTTAAAAATGCAAAAGCGACCATTGACATGCAACAGGATGACAATGAGCTTCCTCAAAACGCAGTGCCTTCAACTTTTGATGTCGTCGTTCACTTTCTTGTTCCTATTTTGTGTTTTAGTAGGTCCTGGTGCCGCAACCTACCTACCTGAGCACAGTCATCTGGCCGACCAGTTCATCGGACCGCGTCAAGCCGGAAATGAGTCTGACTACCCATTTTTGCGGCCTGCCTGCAATGACATCGATCGCCCGAACTGGGATCAATGGCACTCCAGCTGGAAGGGAGATGTACAAAAATGGATCGCAACCGAGCTAACAAACTTCGAAAAGAACCGGGAGGGAGAAAAAGGCTTTCACCAGTATCTGGTCCATAAATACGCACCCAACGCCGGAGACTCGCTCGCGATATGCAACGGGCATCAGGTCTGTGGTATTGGCAGTTGCCAAAACTTACGCAGCAACTTCACCTCAAAAAGAGAAAAAGAATTGGCGTATTACAGCCTCGAGTTAATATCGAATTTCAATAATGTTATTGTGTTCGCTAAAGACCAAGGCCAAAACGCTGGCAATCGAGTCGAAGCGGCGGCCAAGTCATTTTTGAAGAATTTCACTTACGGCGCAACAACAGCTCGAGAATATTCCAAAGCCAAGAAAAAGCACCAGCAGATACATGCTTGTTTTCTAATTATAACCGGGGTATTTGCAGCCTATTTTGGAGCCCTTCTCGGTTTTAATGCAGGTGCTGCAGCAGTTGTGCCGAAGGTGATTGTTAACTCTGTGCCTGCTATATATGCCGGCGCAGACGGCCTCGCTCTTCAAGCATATGAAGATGCATCGTAAGTCACTATTGTATCTAAGCCGTATGTCCATGGTCCAGAGAGCTTATACATTTGTAGCCAATGGTTGGAAGGAGCAGAAACTGATTTCGGTGTTGCTTGGATGAAGTTAATGACCGCATTCGAGTCGTCAATAAGCAATACCACAGCAAACTGGCTTGCTGGTGGCAAAGACCGAAACGGTAAAACTATCGCAGATATCGCCGAATTTGCCGCATTTTTCCAGGCGCCCTCAGGGCAAGATTTACAACCGTTGTCCGACTCCATCACACAACTCTGGATGGCGGCCGCTGTCAACTATGCCTGGAATACCGAGCGCCTGTACATTGTTGTAACGAATGCACCAGGGGGCTGCGAACAAGATACAAGTGGTCCGATACAAGCACATGAGTGTCTTGCAGAGTACCCGAATCTGTCTTTCTGGGTATACGGTCTTGATAGAGCATCCGAGAAAAAGAAAGGGCATGCTAATCTCCATACACCCCCAAGTTTCTTAACGATGAATGGTAAGCCTTGTTTGCTAAACGCGACATATCAGTATCACTGAAAATCTATAGGGCAAGGCATGTTCAAATTTAATATGACGGACATTGTAAGGTCATCTTTTATTCGTTATAAGAAGTTCAAGAACAAAGTGCATATTGATGGGAAAGAAACACTCAAGAACTATGGCAGTTCCACAGGAAACGGCAGTTCATACAACGAAGCACTCGGCATAGCTATTGGTCTTGCCGGCCCAAAGACTCTGTTTGACATACCTGTATGTTTTAATCCGGGTGGTGAAACAATTGCGGGTCTCAGCACAGGAAAGGCACGCAATTACCCCTGTATGTGTGGGGATTTCAGTTGGAAGGACGGATATTCCGAAGCCAAAGACGAGACATTTGATTTCCTAGTGAAAACAGGACTTGGCACATCCGTCGACTGGGATCACCAATGTATTCAAGAAAATCATAATTGCAAGGAGGGAAAGAGTAAGATCTGGAAAGGAAAATTCCCTGACAAGATGAAGGGCGACAAATGGAACTCGGACATCAACGCTCCCTTCAATAAGTGTCCGAAGCGGGCCGATTCTAAGAAACGTAAGGGCCATCTAAACAAGAAATGGGACATGGTCGATCAAAAGGAGTGGGAGGCAAATTTCCCAGCGAAAGCAGGAAAGGGCGGTGCGACCAAATCAATGGCGTATGCAGACGATCTGGACGATTACATGGACGACGGCATCCACGATGACTTTGAGTACAACATAAATGATTCCTTCGACTCTTCCATGGACGATCCCGAATTGCTTTCAATCGATCAGTTTTCCTAGAAGCAGCTATCACTGAAACAACCAGCGACATAGGCCTCCATAGCCTCTCTTCGACGGACACAAGGCTTCATTCAAACACCGTCTGTCAAGCCGTCACTCCTTGTACATTATCGCAAGCAGGAAGTACCGTCATTGATCACTGTCGCATCGAGCATTTTTTTCGCCTTCCACTCTCCCACCACTTCAACGCATTTAAAACACCAGCTCTCCGTCTCCAACTTTCGTTCTTTGTTTTTGTGGATTATGAATTGCTTTCCTACTTTTATCTACGTTGGGTTTGTGTGAAAACTGGACGCCCCTGGATCAGGTTGGCACTAGCCTCACGACTGAAACCTTCCGGAACCGGCTGACGGACGCCCTCACACTCTTTTCACTGTTTATATTGATTGTCTTTTCATCATGTATTTAAGTTCCACCACGTAAAAACGAGGACCAATCAAATAGTTATGCTTTGTAACGACCAATCTATACACACACAATGCGAGCCTGTGCCTCGATAGTTAAAAACGAAGGAAATTGCCCAACGACTGATAACCAGAGGTGCGTCTCCCTCGAGTCGTTTTCTGTAGCCTTTGTTCACGAAAACCAATTCATCACTGTCACGTCATATACGTAAACCACCCGCTAAAACATTACCATAATTAAACTTCTACCGACACCGGCGGCTTTTTAACCCAGCACCTCTTACATGAAAGTAAAACGACAAGAAAATCAACCCAAGCTTTGAGGATTCCCATGTCCCAAACCAGCCCGTAGAAAAAGAGATGTGACCATAAAAACTAATTGATATTACACACCATCCATCCAAAACACAACACAATGAAGCTGGGCAAGCATGTCATGGATATTCTGCAGTGGGAAATGGTATATCAGAGAACATCCAAAACCAGCAGCAGCACACCACCACTTCACAAAGACAACATCAACGACTCAACACCACCAACCCCATCAGCGAAGCATTGTACAAAAAATCGAATTACTACGAACCCACCCCCCCAAGCAAGGTAGGTAAGGCAAGGTAAGTCAGTCAGTCACAAGCGCCCCCAACCAACCCCAGACGCCAGAAGTTACCCACAACAAGCCCACCTAGGCAAGAAGGAGAGGAAGAAAACCCCACCACCCCTCCCCAACCAACGCCCTAAATGCCAAACAGACCAATCCAACCAACCAACCAAGAGAAGAGACAAAAGAAACAATCCCCGGCGTCGAGCCGCACAACGAAGGAGGTATCAATCAATCGGGCCAAAAATGCCGCCAACGAAGAAGGAGAAAGAAAAACAAAAAAACCCTACTCATCACTTTATCCCATCACCCAGCACTCAACTCCCCCCATGGCTCCTCAGCCTCCGCCCCGCCGTCCCGGTCCCACTCCCCACACCCACGCTCTTCGAAAACTCGCCCTGCCCCTGCCCTTGCACAGGCAAGTTCTCGCGGTCCACCACCCCCGCCGCAACAGTCATGCGCGTCGCCTTCTTCTTCATTGGCAGCTTGCTCTCCCGATCAGACCCGGATGCTGTATGCGTCCGCTTCAGCGACGGCTGCTGCTGCCCTTGTGCCGCCAGCGTCGGGCTATCGAGTTTGAGCTGCAGCGTCGGCGGCGCTGAGGCCGACTCCGCTGCTCCCACAGGGTTGATCGTGTTGGGGTCGATTTCGCGCAGACTGGAAGCGCTGCCCGCACGAGCTTTCGTGGTTGGAAGTGCGGAAGGCGCGTCGCTCATGTTGCTGTCGAGGGCGGCCTCGTCTTTGGGCGCGTCCGTGAAGACCATGCCTTTGGTTGGAGAGCGCGGGCGTGGCGTGTTGGCTTCGCTGCCGGGCGCGCTGCTGTCGGCGTCGCTGCCTGAGACGCCATTGCGCAGTTTCGAGAGGAATGTCTCTTGGCTCTCGGTCCGCGGCAGGTTCGTCGTGTACGTGTAGCGCGTTTGCTGGGGAGTCTCGCCCGTGACTTCGTACTCCTTGAGAGAATGGTTTTGGATCTCCTCGCGAAGGCTGCGGAGCGTGGAGCGGATCTCGGCGTCTTCGGCAAGGGCGGGCAAAGTGGCGCGCAAATCGTTGGTCTTGGATTCCACGTCGGTACCCAGGCCTTGGATGCGAGTGAAGGACGTGGTGAAGTGGTCGCCGATGCTCTTGTAGGAGGTTTGGACAGTGTCGGCCAGGTTGGACAGAGACTTGGTGTGGGCATCGTGGTGGGTGTTGTTTTGCTCCTGGACACGCAAGACGATGTCGTCCAGGGAAGTGAGTTGAGAGTCCATGTTCGACATTTGGTTGTTGACAATGTCGACAGTAGAAGCATGGACGGAGGCCGTGGTGTTGCGGAGTGCGGTCGTGTGTTCGTTGGCCGCAGCGAAATCGCCCTTAATCTTGGACTTGACATTCTCGCGCGACTTGACGACTCCATTGACCAAGTCAGATGACTTGCTGACCCAGCCTTCCATACCCTCGTTATAGCTGGCATTTGCGGTCTCGAAATCAGTGTTGGCAGTGTCCATGTCTTTGCTGATGCCGGAGAGAGCCTCGCTCATGCGTTGTTCTTGCGTTGCGGCATTGGAGTTGAGGAGGGCGGTGACCTGGGCGAGGAGCTCCTGGCGCTCTTCGGCAGCCTTCTGCTTCTCCGTCTCCATCACAGAGACCAGACTAGTTTGGGAAGCCTTGTTGGCTGCAATGAGCTCGACGTTGGCCTGACTGATTTGTTTGCGAAGAACCTCAGCTTCGCTCTGCTGCTCATTGAGCTCCTTGACGAGGTCGTCGAATGTGGTCTTGAAGTCTCTGCCAAGAGACGCGTAAGAGGAGTGAAGTTGGGTGTGGAAAGCCTCCAACTCGGTCACAATGCCAGCAGAGATCCTCTCCGCAGCGGCGGAAAGATCATTCAAACCAGCACCGACCTTTTGCTTAACATCCTCCCGCAGAGTCTTGATTTCCTCCAACACCTCGTTCATGTCGTCCCGCGACTTGGCCGTCTGTTCGTTGACCTCCTTTTCAGACTGCTCAAAGGCCTTTGACTTTTCCTCCAGCATCGACTGGGAAACGCCCAACTTTTGCAACTCATCCTGCACGAAGCCCTGCATGCGCAGAGAAAGAGCAGCCATGAGTTCCTCCTGTTGGCTTTGGAAACCAGCGAGGCGCTCCTCAACCGTGCTAGTCGTTCCAGCAACCTGAGCTTGAGAAGAGCCCCACTGTTGTCTGTTGACAGACTGCAAGTTCGACCGACGGCGCAGCTTAGAGTGCAGACCTCCAATGTCTTTGGTTGTCTTCCCGAGAGTTGAAATCAAATCTTGCCCGATGTTTGCCAGGTCCTCCTCGGTCTTGGCATGCGCTTTCCTAAGCGCCGTTTCCTCATCCAGGTTCTGGCGGGTGTGCTCCAAGACGACCTCTGTCTTCTCCAGCAGGCTCTTGGTACCATCAAGAATGGCCTTAGTAGCTTCGTTGTCCTTCTTCAGGGTCGTCAAGTTGGTCGTCAGAGCAAAAAGCTCCTGAACCTTGTTTCGCAGATTCGCCTCCATGGTTTCGAGCTTATCTCTTTGCTCCTCGGAGAGGATTCTTCGTGATTCGCTTTCGGTCGTAATTTCCTCGTAACTTTCCTGCGTCAAGTAGACACCGTTCCGTTGCCTTGTTGCGATCAGTTCCATCTTCAGCTTCTCGATTTCCGAGGTGAACTCCTTGAAAAGAGTCTTCTTCGAGACCATTTGGTTGATCTGGGGCTTGTTCCTGATGTTCTTCGCGCGGAAAGCATAGTCGAGGGTCGAAATAGTCTCTTCCAGATTACTCTTCGCCGGAGACAAAGTAGCAATAATGCACGTCTTCGTCCGACCACCTAGAGAGTCTTGAAGCAATCTCGTCAACTTCGACTCTCTGTACGGGATGTGCGAGCTCTTCTCCACCAGGGCGTTGATAACACGACCCAGGGTAAGCAGGGACTTGTTGATCAAGCCAGCCTCAGCGGCACGCTTGTTCTCCGCTCCACTGCGCTGGATGTTTTCACTACCAGCCAAGTCGACAAGGTTGAGTTTACCGGCGCTCACAAAGTCCTCGCCAGTTTCGGACGTGCGCTTCATGTAGACGGTAATGGTGAAAACCGTATGGGACCGCGAAGAAAGGTCGTTGCACTTGGTCGCGGCAACTTGGCGCTTATGGCTACCCGATCGTAGCAGTTGAATTCCCTTGGATGCAGATTTTATGTGTGATTCTTCCAGGCCTTGCACGATGGTCGACTGATGGCCCTTCTTTCCGTCTTCGAACATCTTCAGCTTGATGTTGTCATCGGCGGCGAGCAGATCGCGCAGCTCCTCGTTGTACAATTCGAGGAAAGAACACTTCACCGAGTGTTCTGAGTCTTCGCTTTCGAGTTTGCCGAATAGCGAGTGGAGAACACGCGGAACAATACCGGCCGAGTCGGGCAATGGTAGGACGTCTGAAATGTCACCAGACATGGTGTATGTCTTTCCGGTACCCGTTTGGCCGTATGCGAAAATGGTGCAGTTGAAGCCGCCCAACACCTACGCCAACTTAGTGTCGTTCTAGATCTCAAATGGATTCGGATCACAAACCTCATCGATAATTGGCGCAACCACATCGTCGAAGATCATTCCCTGGTCGGCCGCAGGGGAGAAGACGCGGTCGAAGTTGTAAGTCTTGTTGCTAAGTGCGCTGGGACCCATGGACAGCTCGACGTTCTTGCCCTTGACGGCGTCGCACGAGACAACGACGCCGCTGTTTTCGCGGACCTCTCTGTCGTTGCGGCCTCTACACCGCACAACAACGTTGATGTTTGTCTCTTCGTTTGCCATTTCGAATTCGCGCTCCTTGCGCTTCATTGTGGCAGTCGTTGCGACGGATGCGACCGATTCGGCGGGAGATGCGCGACCGCTGGGGACGGGGGTGGCCGTTTGCGCGCGCGAGTGCATGGGACGGGTGGAGGGAGGGCGCATTGTGGGGACTCTTTTGACCGGAAGGCCAGGTCTAGGAGGACCTGCCATTGAAGCTGTTAAGGGGGAGGGAGGGGGTGGTGAATGATGCTGTTGATTAGTACTGCGCATAACAGGAGCTGGTGTGTCTTGTCTTTTGTGCGGAGAGCAGCGGGAGCTTGGCCCACCTCGTTGTCGGGGTAACGGCGCCGCGTGATGTATTCGATACCGTCGTTGCGCTGACTAAGTGTTAAGGACCTGCTGTTACGGGGAGGGGATGATCCCAGGCCACGACATTCCCCGTTCCTGGATGCGCACCTGATCGGACACGGCGTCACGCGGGTGGCTTGATGTTGAGCGCACTACCTAACCTCCAGCTCACATCATATAGCCTCGACGTCATAACCAACTTCGACGACTACCTACCTACCTACTCACCCTACTTCTCCTTCTTAACATCGACCTCCTCCGCGTTAGCTATAGCTGTGGCTGATCAGTGCGCGTGGGACCCGGCCGCTTTAGGCTTAGTGGCAGGGCATCCGCGGGGTAGTGTCATAAGGGTCCCTAGCTGGAGTATCATCCCTACAACTCCCCAAACATGGCGAGCTCAACCCCTCCAGCTGTCCCTATCGTGCCCGGCCGCTCTCTGGGCTTCATGCGTAGGATCCTCCCCCATGATCCCTCCATGCTGCCAAGCTAACACCCGCACCAGTCCTGGGAGCTTCCATCCATGACATCCTTACCCGCGTCAAGGCCCAACCCTCCGTCTACCCAAAGATCGAGCTCATCTACGACCTGCGCTACCCTATCGCTGCCCCTATCTTTGTCGCCCTCCCCCATAACGGCCTGCGTCTGCGCTTCGACGGCCCGGATCAACGCTTGCGCTTGATAGAGGTTCTGGACTTCAGCAAGACCCGGCTCAGCTACAAGAATGTGGAAGTTGTCAAGGCCGCAGAAGCTGGTATGGGAGGTCTAGGCAATCCCACGGGTCCAACGGGTCCGCGGTTCCGTCACGTATACGACAAGTTGCTGGGCCCTACATATGCCGGCGAGTTCCTCGCTCCTAAGGACGGTGATACCAGCGGAAAGGGCATCTATGTCTTATCGTACCCCGGAATCGCTTTCAACTTCCTCCTTGACGTATCCGCATGGTCCGCAGACAAGGATTTCGTATCCCTGCTTTCCTCATCTGCCACCTCGGCGGCAAAGTCCATGGCGATATTCGATGGAGAGTCATGGCCGAAAGCCCGCGGGACGCTCTTTACAAATGCACCGCTCAACCCGAGATCTCTGGAGCTCGCCGCCAAGGCGAACGTGGCGGATGAGATAGAGGTCGCCAGGATGTATGGAGAAGGCCGGGTCGAGCTCGTTCGGCGTTCCAGCCCGTCGTTCTGGCTCCAGCTGAGTGTGACGAGTCCGCAGCAACTAGTGGAGGAGCTCGGTCCGCCCGATGCTATCTACCACAAGAGCGACCGACGTCTATCCATCCATGGACATGCGCCTGGTAGTTCACGTAGCCGTCGCTTCAGCAACGCGTCTTCGGATTCATATGGTGAGTCCTCCTCTGAGGCCGATGAGACGCTGTCAGTGGACGCGGAAGGGTCAGATTCGGATTCCGGATCCGGGTCTCCTATCGAGAGTTCCTCTGTGATGGACACAGATGATACGTCAACCGTAGAGCATTTCTACAACTACTTCCACCACGGCTTCGACATTCTAATCAGCACGCCGGTGGCGCTCAGCGTCCCCTCGCCCACAAGCCCGCACCCGCCTCTAAAAATAACCCCCGGCTTCCCGTCCTCGAGCCAACGCCTCGTCGCCACCAAGATCATCTTCCATGGCAACATCCCCGGCAGCTACCCCTTCAACCGGCACCGCCGCAGCCGCTGGACCCTTGAGCACGTCCCAACAGAGCAGTACAAGGACGCGCTGACGAGCGAGATGCCCTTCGCCGACATCCAGGGTCGGCTCAAAGAGGCATTCAAGAGCACGTACGCCAACGAGGACGAGGAGCGCTCCCTACAGCGCAGCATGGTGCTCAACCGCGGGTGGGGCGACAGCCCAGGCAGCAGCTGCGAGCTGCTAGGCGGGTTTGAGGAGGGCAGTCGGCCTGGCACGGCGGTGGGTGTGGGTGTGGGTGCAGGCGCGGACGCCGCCACCGCGAAGCACAGTGCTGGTGCTAGTGCCAGCGTGATTGGTGCTGGCGGCCAGAAACAGCTGGTGGATCATAATTTCGGCATCAGTGAGCTTTATGGCTTTCCGGGCCTGATTTTCGAGGTGTTGAAGAATGGTACCGTGAGCGCGTTGACGGTTTATTGATCGTGAGGGAGGTGGTGCCAGGTGTTGGGGATGGGATGGGGTGTGGTGTGGTGTGGCATGCTGTTTTGATCTGGGGTTCTGCGGCGTTTTTGTGAGAAATGGATGGGATGGGTGCAATAAGCACCTAGGGACGTACATACCCGGTGCTGGGATGTGGGCGAAAGGGATGTTTATTTCGACTCGCAGAGATATTTTTCTGGAGAGTTCATGAAGTATGTCGGGAAATGGGAATCGCGCGGGTAATGACATGGTATGGGAGTAAGGCCTGTAATGAAAGCATCTAGACATTGCGAATGAGTAACAAGGTATGATACCTTTGCTCTATTGAGCCTTGTCTGCTGGATGTTATATGGTATAACGTCCGTCACCATCAACCGACATTCACCATCTAGCGAGAGAGGGAATGATATAAGCAGTCACTACGGACTACTCCTTGCCTAGCTATCGGCCTAAATCCTGGATAAGAGTGAATAGGGTCTTAGAGCACACAGATACTATAGACACCTTAACTGGATTTCTTCTTCTACTCCGTACAAACTTCGTTATCTCGTTAGGTGATCAACATCACTTGATGGTGACGTGCGTTAATCGTCCTTGCTCTATTAAGCCTCATAGCCAAGGAGCACACATGCTATACCGCTCGCGTAACCCGAACTCATCAAGACGCTAACTTCCCTCCGTGTCAGATAAACAAGAGAGAAAGAACCATGAAATCGCCAGCAGTCATTGTCAGTCATGAAAGAAACCCAGCCGGCTCCCTGCAGCATCCATACCCAAAAGCCGTCGCACTGTAGAGCATAGACAAGAGATGAGCTTGCGCAACGCTCGCTCACTCACACGATCCGTCGAAGAAGCTAGGCGCCTGCATGTGGATGTCGGTGAGCTGGTCATCGTTCTCGTTGTCGTCCTGCTGCTCAGACTTGACCTTCTTGGTCGGGGACTCGTCGCCGTCGCCATCACTGGGCTCGAGCTTCATGTCCGTCTCAAAAGAAGCGGCGGCACTCTTGCCGCGCTTGCGCTTGGGGGTCGTGGCGTTGGTGTCAGCCTTCTTCTGGCGCGGCTTGCGGGGCGTGGCGGCCTTCTTGGGCGTGGCAGGGGTGGAGCCAGTGCCGCTGCCGCTGCCAGTGACGCCGGCGGCGGTCTTCAGGCGCGTGATGCGGTTCTGGATCGTCTTGGCGTTGCAGTCTGCAGTGAGGGTGAGAGTCAGCGTGAGTGAGGAAGGGGAGGGGAGGGGGAGGAAAGTGTTGACTACGTACCACCGCCCATGCCTTGGGCGACCTTGTTGAGGAACTCCTTGCTCATGGAGATGTCGCTCGCCTTGATGATTTCGACGAGGAGCTGAGAGAGTATGTTAGACTTGGAGCTTTGAGGGTGAGGTTAAGTGAGGCGGGTACACACCTTGGCATCCGCCTCGGGAGTCCAGTTCATAGGCATGCTTGCGGTGTTGAGAGTTAGAGTTTTTGATTGCGGTAAAGGGTGAGATTCGGGACGAGGCGCGGTCAAGTAGAGCTTGATCAGAGCAGAGCAGAAGAAGTTGTGGGGAGAACAATCGTGGTTGAGTGCGTGAGGTGAAGAGTAGAAGAGTAAGTTCCGTGGAAGGCGGAGCGGCTTTTATGTTAACGGACAGAAAATCCCGTGAATGCTAGCGGCTTCTAGTAACTGCCGCGCCGACTGCGACGTTTGCTTCCCGTTTCTAGGAGCTTCACGGCGAGGCGGGAAGGGTGTGGGAGGGAGTGGTGTAATAGGACGCTAGCTACCCCTTATAAGCTCTGTTGGCGGTTTACTTAGTAAGAACACGAGTTGGAAGCGTCGTGTGGTTTAGTGGCCACCGTAAAGGTACCTCAACACTTCAGAAGTTTAACACCTGGAGTTCGAGTGTTCGAACCACAGCGTTGGCACAACGTATTGGGGAAACTGCCCTTACACAATTGGTGGTTTATAGGGCTTTCGGCCCTGACTTTTTGCTGGGGAGATTGTTGTTTTTTTTTTTAATAATATTTTTATTTTTATTTTTATTTTTTATTTTTTCTGCGGTCACCATGCGTCAACCGGAAAGCATGGGTCTCCCCCAGGTTTTCTGTTCATTTACCTGATCTATCTTCGTGACTTTTAGTCAGCTCTAGCTAGGGGTAGCTTGATAGGCGGTAGTAATTAGGGAGGCTAGGTGATGTGCAGAGGGGTCAATAATAAGCTCACCCCGCGGGCTTAGAAATGCAATAATAAGAACGCGAAGCAGTGTATCCTATGCTGTAGGTACTAGAACTTAGTCATTGCGCTCCACAGACTGGAGGCGGGCACAGTGTCTGACAATGGGTAGGTTCAGTAGCGAGAGAGTTATAAAAGTGACAACTTGAGTACTTCTCGATGATGCTATGGTCTAAGATAGGGTATTTTTTGGAGAGATGAGATATGGTATCGGTAATAGCTGCATGTAATATCTTACTCAAAGGCTCCGTTTAGATAAATACATTTGGTAATTGCGACACGGCCACACGTCTACCATAAATAACCAGGAACACATCCTTACATTCGCACTTACTCCCAAACAGAACTCTCCCGACCCCCACATCAACTCCTTGGGAATAGTCTCATTCGGTCCCAAAGAATGCTCTTAAACGACACTTCAACACCGTTAGATCCCCACGCCCGACGCTAACCTTCTACTAGCTCCACCGACATACGTTTCCGGTATATTCTCTGCTAGAGCATTTATTCGCTTGCGAAAATTGTTGTGTTGTCAGTACTCCGTGCGATGCTGGTCGCCGAGCGCGCCGGGTCGGTAGAGAGTGAGATCTAGTGGAAAGAGTACGATCGGGTAGAAGAGGATACGAGGGGAAACGAGCGAGCGTGTCGAAGTTTAAGCGAGTACAAACTCTTACGTTCGTAGGACTTCAAGTATTCTTCCCCAGATCTGGAGGTTTAGGTCTGGTTCGCAGCACAAACGGGACAGGATGGAAAAGATGCGGAACGAGCGGAAGTAGCAGCTAGAACGCGCATCGGCGCCATGACACACACAGAACGATCTATTAAAGGGAATGTGGTTCTGCATTCTGCCTATCCAGTGGTTATGCAACGGTATACGATCAGCAGCGTATAGTATACTCCACGGATTCTACACCAGGAATCAGCAGCATAGTCTATACGAGCTCGCTTCTTCGGCTTTACTTCCTCGTCGTCGTCCTCCTCGCAGCTCTCGCTAGCCTTGGCCCGCTTCTTAGTCTTCTTAATCGCCTCGCTCGGACCAGACGCGGTGCTGCCGGTGGGATTGAATGCGGCAGCCTTCTTCCGGTAGAAGTCGATGCGGTGGGGAATCGCTTGGCCCTTGCAATCGGGGCCCATTTCCTTGTTCATCTGGTCAATGATGTCTTTGGTGAGTTTGATGTTGAACGTCTTTAAGACGAGACCGAACAGCTGCGGGTGATGTGATTAGCGCGGTTGGGGCGGAGGGAAGTGAGGCCAAGGTGTGGGGAGACGGCTTACCTTCGCATCGGCGGCAGGGTCCCGTTCCATGGGCATCTTGGGGAAGTTGGCAGTTGTGGGTGGGTTGTTTATAGTTTGTGGTTGGGTTGGGGAGATTGGTTGGTGTGGAAAGGAAGAGAATGGGAGGGGAAGATGGCGGAGGAGAGTTTAAATAGCGGAGCTGGCTGGCGTAGGGTGCCTGTCTATGCAGGAGAGGATAAAGCAGCTAGTTTGTGGATATGCTTTTAAGACGAATGTTTGCTCCTGCATTTACTGACTGATTCGTTGTGTCCGCAAATGTCAAATGTCATTGACAATAAAAAGCCCAAATGATCGAGACATATCACGTTCATAGTCTGCTAACTTGAGTTCGTTATCGTCTCTGTGAGGCTCCTTCATTTGCCTGTATCATAAACTACTGCTGTAGGGACAAGAAGCATGCCGCAGGAAAACAAATAGCAAAACTGAGCATCTCTGTTTTTGTCGGGCACATTTTTGAAGCTCCCCTCAACATCGATGTGTAGTAGTTTCCAAGGAACCAAGTGTCGGCCGTGGAACCGCTAGATCCCATCTGCGCTATCAACTTGAGGCAAGGTACTGGGCTCAACGGCAGCCTCCTCCTCAGAACCTCCGTCCTGGCCGTTCGCCTCCTCATGGCCGTTAGTTGAATCGTCAAGGCGAGGCTTCTTGGTCGCGGGTCCCTGGAGTTCGTCCTCGTCGCCGTTGTCCTCCTCGTCAGTCTGCTCGCTGTAGGATTTGACGGGCTTGGCCGTCTTGCGCGACGAAGCACGCTTCCTGGACGGCGTGGCCGGCAGAGCGTCGTCGTCGTTCTCATCTGAGTCAACCTCCTTCTTGACTCCACGCTTGGAGCAAGGAGTGGCGACCTTCTTGGGTGTCTTCTTCACGGGTGTGCCGGCGATTTTGTTGGCTGAGCCGCCATTGCCGGATATGATGCCCTTGGCCAACTTCTTCGTCACATGCTGTCTGATGGCGTCGGGGGTAAACTCTAGTTGACGATGTCAGCGAGGGTTTGAAGTTGAGGAATAGTTGCACTTGCCATTGTCCAAGAACTCAGCTAGCTTGACCAGGTCTTCCTTGCTGAGCTTCAGGTCGAGGACTTGAAGGCAACCTGAGAAGAGCTGGAGGCTTGTTAGCTTTCTGTGTTCGGACAGAGTTTGAGTGAGGTTAGACTTGCCTTGGCTTCCGTCTCAGCGGTCCACGGCATCTTGATGTTAGTGGTAGGTTGAGGTAGATAAAGGTGATGTTTGGGACTTCAGATCTTCGATGGTTCGTGGTGAAGGTCCGGTAGGGAAAGAGGTAAAAAAGGCAGAGAAGGCGATTTTTAAAGACGTCCCCCGATTGCCCCGCCTAGTGCCTAAGCTTCTGGCTTTTTCTTGGTCTTGAAGTGAGGCTTGGAAAGAACAGGGGAGAAGTTTCTTGCTCTTGACGCTTAACGTTGGTGAATGAACTTGAAAATCGGAGCTTGAAAACTGCTTTGTCTGAGCTGCAGCCAACCGCGATCAAAAAGGCAAACAAGAGAAAAGTAGTTCGTTCTACCGGGAGGCAAAGTCCAGGGGCTTCTTATATATGGTGGAGGAAGCAAAGTATCCACAACCCCGACCCCAAAACACTCACATCAAGCGGTGGAAACCGTCGCCATCGCCCCGACAACAGCACGTAGCTACGATTTCGCAAAAATTCCGGAGAAGAGCTTTGTACCCTGCAGTTACCGACGGCGACCGGGATGCGATGCAAGTGCAAATTGCATGCGACAAATCATAGCGCAGCGCGGCAGTCGACCCGTCTCATGGCAGCAAAAGCAATCATTATCTGTCGAGGACAAGAACGGCTATTCCCGCGTCCACGGCACGACATCCGCAACATGACATATGTACATATATACATTGTTGTCCAAGCCGCTTGTGAAGTTGTGCCAGGTCTTGGTTTTGATTTGTTTTGATTTGCACAACCATCCAACCAGCGCCCAAAGACCCACCACGCGCCCGCAACCCGGAACACGCACTTCTCTACTTACACTAAACCGCATCCGTCAGCAACCACCGACCTCCGACCTCCGACCTCTCCGCCCGCCGCCCGGCAGTAATTCCAATTCCAATTGCCCATCTCGCACCGCCCAAACCCACACCTGCCTACCTACCTACCGCCGCGCCGACCTCCTTCCGACCTCAAACCAAACTAAACAAAAATGCTCGCGCGCACGCTCCTTGCCCCCCTCCGGGCGCGCCTCGCCGCACCCACGACCACCGCCGCCGTCCAGCAGCTCCGCGCATGCTCCTCGCGCGCCGCCGCGCACGCGAACTCGATAACGCTGGCGGCCGGGGGTGCGAGGCCCAGCGTGCAGGCTCCGAGCGCGACCATGGCGCTGGCGCAGGTGCGCGGCATGAAGGTGTGTTTTATATGGATTTCTGGTTTCGTGACATTTTTTGGGGAAGGCGTGGGGTGTGCTTGCTGCTGGGTACTGGGAAAGAGAAGAGGAAGAAGAGGAAGAAAGCGAAGGTGTTGGTGTGGCTGCTGGAGCTGGCGTGCGCGCCATTGGCGTATATCATATATACGTGCGTGTGGAGCCGCGTCTAGGCCAGGCCACTATCACGGACACGAGCAGCGCGCCCCAGCACCCCGTCTCCCTCCCGCAACGCAACGCAGCGTTTAGCCTCGTCCACGAACCCCCTGCTGACCTCTCCGCCACAGGTCCGCAGCTCGGTCAAGAAGCTCTGCGATGGCTGCAAGAGCGTGCGCAGGAAGGGCTACGTCTACATCATCTGCAACAAGAACCCCAAGCACAAGCAGAGGTACGCTCGTCTCCCCTCCCCTTTCCCCTCCTCTCTTTCCCTACTCTGCTCCAGTCACTTACTTATACGCGTGTTTTCCTGCTCCGCAGGCAAGGCTAGGTTTGGAGCTACTGCTGTAGCACTACGAAAACTACTCTGCACAACTCTACACTACGCTACACCCCGATATATGTACACAGCACTACCACGCGGCGTTTTCTCGTTTTTTGTTTTTCCTATGCTTGTTTGATGCGTGCGTGCGTGCGTGGTTGGCTCCAAAACGGATGGATGGATGGATGGATGGGACGGTCCGGTAGCGTACTACGCGTACAGTATGTAGCCGCGAGGAATCTGGAATGAAGGGATGGGTGGTGGGTTGGAATCACTGCAGACCTCTAGCGCGGTGCCGTGTCGATTCGTGCAATCACCGCTTTCTTGGAGAGCTATCTGCGCGCATGCACATGCATCATACATCCATACCCGTCCCGTCCTTCCCAGCCCCAACGCCACCAGGAAAAAATAAAAAGCCAAATGCAACACACCAGCAAGCCCTTTTTTTTCTCCCCTTCTCTTGCCCTCCCTCTTCCACTTCCACATCCACCCCTCCTCCCCTCTCAATCATCATCCCATGCTCCCCCCGCTCCTATCCCCACCAATCAACCCCGCCAACCGCAACAGCTCCCTGTCAGCCTCAATATCGCCCGTCCCCAGATTAATTTTCCGTCTGGCCTCAGCCTCGCGCTCCTCCCACGCCCATGCCTTCCTCTGGGCCTCAGCCTCCTCATCTCCACCACACCCCCACACCTCAACCGCCTCGATAGCGAACCTATCCTGCCAGTCGCGGCCAGCGCGCGCCGGATTCCTGCTCGGCCGGAACGAGCCCCCGCCCTCGGAAAAGTGCGTGAAGACGGCGAACTCGAGCCCGGCGTCCACGTGCAGCGACACGGCGCCCAGCGGCACCGTCGCCGAGGCCCCGTACTGGTGCGCCGCTTTCGCCGACGGCACGCCGCTGCCCAGGCCCAGGCCCGTGTGCCCGTGCGGCGGCTTGTTGAAGTACGCGTAGTCCGAGGCCAGCGCCGACGCGGCGAAGACGTCGTGCGCGGGCGCGAGCTGGAACAGCTGCGTGCTCGAGTCGCCAAAGGCCGTCTTGGGCGTGTTCTTCCACGGCGTGGGGATGTAGGCGCCGAAGACGAGCGCCTGCTCCCGCTGAGTCTCTTGCGGCATGCCGGTGCCCGAGGGGAAGTCTAGGCTGCTGGGCAGACGTTTTGGGGGGAGCGAGTCTGCGAAGGCCCGCTCGCTGGGGTTGCTGGGCGTGTCTGGGAGGAGCGTGCCTGATACGAGGAGGATCGAGGGCGCGCGCCAGTTGAAGACGCTCTTTTCGAAGCTGCCCATGCTGAAGCCGTGCTCGCCGCCTGAGTAGAGCGGGCGCAGTCGCCGGAAGAGGTTCGTGCCTTTGATCATGAAGGATAGTTGCGAGAGCATGTTGAGGTCGAGGATCTCGCCCGCCGATTGCAAAATCGGCTCGGGTGCTGGGAGCTGCTTCGCTGACGAGGGTATTTCCCGCACTGGTGGTGGTGATGCGGGTTTTTTGTCCGAGCCGCCTGACGCCGCGGAAGAAGTTGATTCTTTGCGCTTGGAGAGGTCAAGCTCTTTTGCGAAGAGGAAATGCTCGAAGAGCGGGCTCAGCCCGTCGAAGAGGTACGGCATGGACGAAGTGACGACTGCGTTGAACGTCTTGAAATTCACGCCGTGGTTCTTGTCCACGTCGAACGAGGATAATATATTGTTCGCCGTGGCGCGCAGGCCGCGCAGCCGCTCGTCGTCCACCTGCGCAAAGTACTCGGAGAGGTTGTCTTGAGCCTCGAGCGGCGCGATCAGGAGCAGCAGTTGCAGCAGGCGCAAGAAGTTGTCCGTCGGAATGACCGAGTGGTGCAGATGCGGCTGCTCGCCTTGCTTGAACACCTCCGCGACATCCATCGAGTCGAGCGCCGCGAGCACGAGCTCGTCGCCCTCCTCGTCGCTCTCGTCACCATCTACAGGCTCGTCGACCGCGAATCCAGTGTATGTCGAGCTCTCAGCCGCCTCGCCCTCGCCACCTTCGGCCTCTTCCGCACCCTCACCCCCCTCTTCACCCGCCGCCGGCTTCTTGTCCTCCGGTACAGCATCCAGCCCGCGATCATAAACCGCCAAGCTGCGGTACACCTCCGCTACCCACACAGCGTCGCCCCGGCGCCCCAGCACGGGCGTGTGCCGCCGCGTCAACAGCGTCACGACCTTGAGCAGGTTATCCAGCGTGAGGATCGCAGGCGCCTGGCTCGGGAAGGGAAAGGCACCGAGGTAGGTCGCCATTTGGAAGACGACGGACCCGACGGCCAGCTCGTCCGGCAGCCCCAGAAACCGGCATAGCGTCGCCTCGTTCCAGTGTCGCACGCCCGAAGACGTCTCGGCCAGCGACTTGAAAACGGCCGAGAAGCTGTAGATTTCGATGGGCGTGAAGCACTTGGAGGCGAAGCGCTTGGTGAGCTCGTGCGAAAGCTGCTCTGCGGCGGGGAAGGAAGAAGGCGTCAGTCAGCGCGCGTGGGTGGGATGTCGCGTTGAAACCACAACTTACCTAGCGTAGGCGGAGGGGCATCAGCAGATTGTCCTTGTCCCATGGTTTCGTTCTTTGCTCGCGGGGTCGTGGTTGATTTCTTGTTCCGTAGATCAGTCTTCAGTCTTCACATGAACGACGACGACATCGCCGGCAGCTGAGCAGCATCAACGTCAGCGCGCAGAAACAACGCCGGCGCGGCCCAGACCGCTCCTCCTCATTCCGCCGTGCATGCGTGTCCGCCGCCGAGCAGAAATCTCTTCCAGCGGTGAAAGGCGCATGAAGACGAGAGGAGCAATGACTTCGGTCCAAAAGATAACATGCAGCCCGTCGTTAAGTATCGCACCTCGGCCAAGGTCCAGCTTGTGCCTTGTGCCTCGCCGCCACGCCGCCCGCTACGCCCAATTCCGTTGAGCTTTTCGTACAACTCCCTCTCGCAAAACTCCACTTAGGACTATTTTTGTGTCTTAAGGCATCCCAAGCCCAACCAACACATCCCCTCCTCAGGGTCCCTTAGCGCACATGCAAATCGCACATCAATTATATCAAAAAGAAACAAATCCATTGCACCTCGCACTAAACGCCTGGATATACACTACGTGTGCCCGATCACCAACCACCGGGCCCGTAGGCACCGCGATATATGTACCCTCCCATCCCATCCAATCCAATCCCCTCATTCAGCCCCTAGCAGACCCCTACATAGAGACTACAGAAATCGCCCGTTCGCACTATACAATACTTGTCTTCCTTACTCTACTTACTCTTGCCCATCTCGCCTCTTCACTAAATCTCACTTCCTACCTTACCTCCTCTCCACGAGCAAGATGTGCATGCTCGCATACGCCAAGACGACGAACACGCCGCAGAAGACTCCAAGCCCAACGGCATCGCGCCATAGTGCCATGACATTGAAACCAAACGAGCTCAGGATCGCGGAGCCAGGCACCTCAATGTCGAGACCATACTTGTGGTCCACAAGGGAGAGGTACTTGACTTCGTTGACGATGAGGCCTTCGAAGCCGTAGTGGAAGATGGAGAGCTGAAGGATTCGTTAGCAGCGTGTTCTGTTCAACCTGCACAATCCAATGAGTGGTTGGTGGTTAGACTTACTGTCTGCAGCCAAAGCGCCGCTTTGGGGATCGTCTCGTGGTTGAGCAGGAAACCTCCGAACAGCAGCGAGAACAGCATCACGAGTGTCGCGAAGAGGTTAGCGACGCCCTGGTTCCTGACAACGATGCCAATAAACAGGCAGATGTTGGCGGCAGCCAGGTTGAAGAGGACGAGGAATAGCATGAACTTCCAGAACTCTGGCCCCGCGGGGATGAGGCCGGTCATCGGATAGACAATGGCACCCATGATGACGGGTGGCACGAGACGCAGAGGAACAATGTCGAAAATGACCTTGGCAGCGAAGTACGAAATGGGTGAGTAGTATCCCTTGGCGCGTTCACGCACGAAGATCAAGCGCTCAGGTGCGAAGACGGTGAGTGAAGTGAGCGTGCTGAAGCCGAAAAGGGCGAGCAGGAAGAAGAACAGACCAAGCCTGTTCTGGAAACCCTTGATGTCGTCCGTGAGACCATAGAACAGGAAGCCGATAAGGACTGCCAGGAGAATGGCAATGGCATAGTGAGTCAGCATGAGCATCGGGTTGCGGTATAGATTACGCCAGGTACGCTTAGACAGGATGAGGAATTGGCCAATCCACCCAATCTTGCGGTATCCTTTGACTCTGCCGGCTATGGCGGAACCGTTTGCCATTCCATTGGCTTGTCCATTGGCGCTATTGGCGGAAGCGATAGCCGTTGCAATGTCATCATGCAATGTCTCCGCAATATCCGACGAAGCATAGCTTGAAATGAGAACGTCCAAGTCGGTACCAGTGCCACCTCCAGCAGATGGGGGGAGCTGATCCGGGTCTTCAAGGATCTGGGGAGGCGGGAATCCCTGCTGGCGGTGGAGCCGAATAGCAGAGCTTTCGTTTTCAGGGAGAGATTGTTCGTCATCGGTCTTTGGAGTTTGGGGCCGGTTGGAATCAACACCACTCCTTTTGCGGGTGAAAAGCTGGCGCTCTTGTTGCTGTTTGATAGAAGTCCGTCTGTTGCTCTTAGGTCGCTGACTGGATTGACTGGGGCTTCCTACAATAACGCTGTCTGGACCAATGCTTGCGTTAGAGATGCTTGGTATCGACTTGATGCCAACAGCGCTGCTAGCTCTGGTAGGGATTTCATCACGAGTAGCAAAGAGCGAACTGTTCTCATCGATAGGTGACTTGGGAGTGCCCGCGTGCATCGTAAGATCCACCAGGTAATCAGCAATGTTGAATCCCGGAGGGCAGGGGTATCCGATAGTGTCAAAATATGACTGGCAATCAGAGAAAGGTCCGGAGTATACAGTCCTGCCCTGGGCAAGCAGAATCAAATTGTCAAAGAGGGCGACAATGTTGGATCTCGGCTGGTGGATGGTGAAAACGACAGTTCTGTTGTAGTCCTTGACCAAGCTGACAAGGCATTCCACAACGTTAAAAGCGTTGAAAGCATCCAGGCCGCTCGTGGGCTCATCCAGGAACAAGATACTCGGGCTGGTGACCAATTCACAGGCAATTCCGACTCTTCGCTTCTCACCGCCCGAAATGCCGCGACCACTGCCCTCCTCGGAACCGATCATCTGATGGCGAATGTTGTATATGCCAAGCTGGCGTTCAACGTCCTCAACACGCTGTTCCTTAGCAGCAACGCTCATTTCTTTCGGCAGACGGAGCAGGGCGGAATCCAGAATCGTCTCGTGAACCGTCAAAGTAGGCAGCATGGTGTCATCCTGGTCCACAAAGCCAATGACGCTCCTAAACTCGTCATCCAAGACTTTTTCCCCATTGACGAAGAAGTCGCCTTGTACAAAGCCACGCTTGTTCTTTCGCGCAAGGATATCCAAAAACGTAGTCTTTCCAGCGCCTGAAGCACCCATGATCGCCAGAAGTTCTCCCGGGTGAACTGCACCCTGGATACCGCTAAGAATTTGCCTGCCGTTGAGCTGATACGAGACGTTTTGGAAGTAAAGGGAGGTTGGTTTATGGTCGGCAATGAGTTTGGCGCTCTCGTCTTCGTCATGATCCGAGAGATGGATGGGACCCCAACCACTCACGGTACTCCGCCTGGCGAGGTACCAGACGATAAGTATGACGGCCACAACGAACAACGCGCAGCCAGCGATTACGCCCGCAATTAGCGGAGTGTTGATCCTCTTCACTGGTCTTTCGTAGCCTGGCACATCGGTCTTGTACAAACATTCTCCAGAATGGCAGCGCAAGAAGATGCTTTCGTCGCCGAAGACACTAGAAATGAGGTCGTTCATCGCAGGCTCAGAAAACTTGCTGCCATCCTGACTGCTTCCGCCTTCGGTAGAGACAGAGATGAAGGAAGCCGGGCCTTTGATTTCTTCTGACAGGAAGTCTCCAATATCAATGGAACCCTCTTCACCGCATAGCATACGTCCTGGGATACAACGGCATTTGATGTTCTCGCATTTGTATTTGGTCGTGTTGCGGTTTGGCTCAGCGGTGGCGCTGAATGCGCAATCGTCGAGGGCGCAGTAGAAGGATTCCTTTTGGTCAACCCAGACTGGACTTGTTAGTGCAAATCAAACACGAGGCGTTGGAAGCCTTACACTGGAAGTTGCACTCCTCGGTTTCAGCATTGCAGGAGAAGGTTGCCTGAGGCTTCTGCTCCTTCAGCGTGTCCAGAATCTTCCTGTTGGTGATGTCGCATTGCTGATAGTTCTCCTTGACTACAAGGCCCTCGCGATAGCAGATACCGTCGACGCCTTCGGGCATCAGCGCATTGCAAGCGTCGTTGGTCTTGCACACGTTGCAGTTGATGCCTTCCCACCCGTCATGGCAGTTACAGTATTTGTCTTGCCTGGGCATGCGATTGCCACCTTCAGCCAGCGAACCGCATACTGGTTCGGAGCAGTCCTCGCCGCCGAAGCCTGGTGGACAGACACATTTGCCGTTGCTCTTGCCGCAGGGCGCAAACTGGTGGCACTGGAAGTCTTCGAGATTGCAGTTGAAGCAGGGAGGACAGCCATCGGGTCGGTCGCCGTAGATGGAGAAGGGATCTTGTACGATGTCGCGAGCGGTGTAGTTGCTAAAGGTCTTTTGCGCGGTGGAAATGGCGATGACGGCCAGGAATGGCGTGGCCCAAGCTGGCGGTCGCATGTTGCTTGCTGCTCGCGCCTTGACCAGGCTGCGCAGCGAGAGGGGATAGCGACAGATGAGAGCGGCAGAGGGAAGAGAGCGTGAAGTTCAGTTACTGTAGCGGGAGTGGAGACGGACTTGAACGTGTCTTGAGAGGGCTGCGGGGGAGACTGGGCCGTTAAGTTTGATGATGATGATGATGACGCCGGACGCCGAGTCGGCACCTGAGCGCTGCGCCGTCCTCCTGCCTGATGCATCAATCTCCCTGCAAGCAGCGCTCCCTCCATCTTCGATTTTTCCGGCGTCGGACCCATCGGACTGCCATCTTCTCCGATGATTACTTCGCACGGGAGAGCCACCCTGCAATGTTCATCGACATGGCTAGCCGAGACCTGCATCCGCATTGTGCATTGTCCATCACCCTGCGAGGAAGCGACTGGCCTCAACGGTGCGCCGCTCCGATTGGGCCCCGCGCCCTCCACCTGCATCTCTTCCCCACACCCTTCCCCGCCAGGTACAAATACCGTAGACTGAATCATCATTGGACCTTCTCCCCAACCGCCTACGCAGTACAGCTTGCACACCACCCCAGAACCCCATCCAAACCTTCATACGGACGGTCAACATGGTCCAGATAGAGCCATTCGCAGTGGAGGAGGTATGTAAGACTAAACCATTTCCATCCAGCTCTTACATTCGTCAATTCACCCTGCTTCTTTTCCTTTCTTTTCTCGTCTCAACATCGAAAAGGTCTCAAAACGGCAATCAAACATGACCTTTCGCTTCCTCCTTCCCCACCCTTGCTCTTGTACTCGTGTCTAACCATCCCAGTGGATGGACGAACACGAAACATCCTGCACTCACAACCTTGCCGAAACCTGCTGCGCCTCCATCGATCTTACGCAACTGCATTCCCTAATCGAGGACTCGTCGACCAAGCCCGCCTCCGCCTCTGACCTCTTCCCCGCCTCTGCTAAACTCACCTACGGCAACATCCGTGGAAATGATGCCCTGCGCAAGAATCTCGCCAACTTGTACTCCTCAAAGGCCGCCTCCCCATTACCCCAGGACAACATCTTAATCACTCCCGGCGCGATTGCTGCTAATCACCTGGTTTTTCTAACGCTCGTGGGCCCCGGCGATCATGTCATCGTGCACCACCCGACGTATCAGCAACTGTATGAAGTGCCAAAGTCCTTGGGGGCTGAGGTGAGCTTGTGGGAGGCCAAGGCGGAAAAAGACTGGGTGCCTGATCTAGAAGAGCTCAAGGCTCTAATCAAGCCGAACACAAAGCTCATCGTCATCAAGTAAGTTCCGTGTAGCACAAGTTACTCACTCTGCAAGCCTTGGAAGCACCGGGAGAAGAACGACTTACCAACACGCGCCGTAGCAACCCCAACAACCCCACCGGTGCCATTCTCCCCCGTCCCCTCCTCCAATCCCTCGTTGACTACATCGAGACCAAATCCATCCCCATCCTCTCCGATGAAGTCTACCGCCCCATCTTCCACAGCATTTCACCCATCTCATCCTCCTTCCCGCCCTCGCTCCTCTCCCTCGGCTACCCCCTCACCATCGCAACCGGCTCCCTCTCCAAAGCCTACAGCATGGCCGGTCTGCGCATCGGCTGGGTCGCAGCGCGCTCTGCCGACCTCGTCGCCCGCATCTACGCCATGCGTCACTACACGACAATCAGCGTGAGCATGCTGGACCAGACGGTCGCGGCGGCCGCGCTCGACCCCGGCGCCGTGCACGCGCTGCTGGCGCGCAATATCGAGCTTGCACGCGCCAATGCTGCCATCCTCGACAAGTTCGTCCTGCGTCACGACGATGTCGTCGACTGGGTCAAGCCACTTGCGGGTACTACGGCTTTCTTGCGCTTTCACCGCGACGGGAAGCCGGTCGATGCGGGGTTGTTGTGTCGCCGTATCAAGGAGGAGACGGGCGTGCTGTTTGTGCCCGGGAAGGAGTGCTTTGGTGAGCGGTTTGGAGGGTATGTCAGGGTGGGTTTCTGTTGTGAGACGGAGGTGCTGCGGGAGGGGCTGGATAAGGTGAGGGTGTGGATGAGGAAAGAGTTCGATGATTTGCCGTTATTGGAGTAGGGTGTGTAAGAGAGGGGTGGTGTGGGTGGCAGGGTGAGTTGTTGATAGATATCTGCGCTCTATTCCACCATTTACTCCAGTGTCCCTTGTCGTGCCATCCATATGAAGGTGCTACGTTCGGAGAGACATTGTTACAATAAAAGTACCCTCATCAGTTATCTATTCTAGCTATGAACGCAAGCTCTGCGTCGACGCAAGAAGTAATCTGTATGGAGCGTCTAGAAGGTACCGCAGCACCTCGTAAGTAATATCGGAAGATACGAGCACAACCTCTATATGTACGTACGAGACAACCTGTAGGGAGTACTAGAAAGGCGCTACAACCACATATACATGCTACTGCTAGTACACAAACTCAAACTATAGACCTTTGTAAAGTGATCCTTGGTTTATTTTGAAGAAATGAGAAAAATAAATTGAATTGGTGATAGTTCTGCTCGATGTATGTCCTTGCGTGGTCACTGATTTGAATCTCCTTTAGATTATAATGTCTACCTTTAAAAGTCAGTTATACATTGACTCGGCTACTAGCTGGAAGTTGGACTGAATCGCCGGGTATACAAAAAGGATTGAATTATGAGCGGTTGCCTGAGCAATATATAGTCTGTTTATCCACCGCTCACATTATACTTTAGGATCTTTGAAAGGCGATAAGGATACGAATATAGCTTAATATTTCACTACTAGGACGAGGTATAAAGTCAGTCCACGCACAGTGTTGAGGTGTCACTAGATAGTGACTCCAATAATTTTTAGAAATCAATAGGTATAATATCATTTCATATACTAACAACGCAGCATGGCCTTTGTTGGGGCTCGTGACGTTGAATGACACATATGCTGTCTTGATATCTAGTGTGGGTATTGTTCACGTAAGAAATGTCTCACCTGACACGAACCATATTCCTTGTACCTTAGTTTTAACTATTCGATGTTGTTTCAATTGGTCGTGCTATCGTGTGGCTCGTGAGCCGACGGCAACTGAGTATCCCAGTGCAGCCGTCAAGCGTGGCGTGTGACGTGACTAAGTCTACCACTGTTGCCAGTTTCTCTAGTGTACTATGCTTGTTCGCCATTGCCGAGGATCGGTATCACATGAAAGGACAGCTATGCTGCTGCGCCGATGAAGGCCGTCATGGCCTTTACGGGATCGGCGTCGTGGGCCTTGAGAAGATCCGTAGCTTTTGGCTTGGTCAAGTCCAATTGGTCGACCTGGTTCGCAATAACAGTCAGCATCCGGCCATCATTATACCAAATGCGGACGATATGTCTCGCATACCAGCAGTGTCACGTCGGCCTGATCGACCTTGACGGCCTTCTTCGCCGGCTCGGGCTTCTTCTCGCCGCCTTTCACATCTAGGTTCTTTGTCGCCTTTTCTAATGCTTCGGTGTCGACATCCTTCTTTCCTGTCGTGTCATCCTCGTTCTGGGGTGCGTCGAGCTTGGACATGGCGGCCTGCGTCTTGCGGTCCTCTGCGGAGGTGGGAGCCGGGGCCGCATCGGCACCCTCGTGGACACCTGCGGGCTGGGGTTCTTCGGCCATGGTGAGGAGATGTTGGGAATCTAAAGAGACTGCGGTCGGTGATGGTGGAAGTTTGTCGACAGCTAGCTGTTGGGGTGTGACGTCGACCTACCTATACGCACGTCCCCACGGAGCGGCCACCGGGAGTCGGGCCCGCGGGAACAAGCGAGCGGGCTGGCATCGGCAGGCTCACGTTGGAGTCATTCGATGCTGCATTCTTTCTTCTAGATGTTCCTCCGTGCAAACTCTCACATTCTATCGTCTCTCTGCATTGGGTCCTGTCGCTTCTCGGCGCTGCATCGTTGCTGTGGTATATCCAAGGTTGGCAGGAATCCTCCGCTTCTAGGCCGTCTCACAAGCCCAAATCACGCATTCCATACGCATTCACGGCCCAAAGGTAGGTACGCTTTTCTCATAGCCAGCCACTTTCACACGCCGTCTTCCCAACCATAAAGCCTTCCCGCTCTCCATGTCACCGTCCTCAGGCTCCGGGCCACATCAATCATGAATCTCGCTTGCTTGCATCCTTTCTCTGTCCCAATCGCTTTCCTATTTCTGCTTCTTTTGCTTTGGCGCGAGGCTTCCAAAGAGCGTGCTCGCTACAAGGAGCGCAATCCTTCTGAGAAGGCATTGGCGCTCTCGGTGTGCAGAGAAGCTCGCTGGAGGGAAGAGGGCATTGGCTTCAATTTCGACCCTCACGTACCTCGAGTCTAGTCGACAATTGTCCTTGTGATACTAACACTAATGCAGGACATCCCGAAGAGAAGCTCAACATGACTGACAAAATCTCCTACGATGGCGAATGGAACCCTTCATGTGAGCTTCTAATTCAGTTCCCATCAAAGCGTACACTGACCGGGTTGTAGCCTGGCGCTCCAAGCCAAGAGTGCAAGTCGTGACTTACCCTGATGAATCTCACCTCGATCCTGCGCTCAAAAAACTCCGTACTCTTCCTCCAATTGTCACGCCTACAGAAATTCAAAAGCTACGTCAACATCTTCGCTCTGTGGCCTTGGGCGAAGCCTTTCTCCTCCAAGGCGGCGATTGCGCCGAACTGTTCTCTTACTGTGAGGATGATGCCATCGATTCCAAGATCAAGCTCTTGCTGCAGATGTCTCTAGTGCTCATCTGGGGCTCAAACAAGCCCGTTGTTCGCATTGCCCGCATGGCAGGCCAGTACGCCAAGCCTCGCTCCAGCGCCACGGAGAAGGTCAATGGCCAAGAAGTCCCCAGTTTCAGGGGTGATATCTTGAATGGCTTCGAGCTAGATGCGAGAGTTCCAGACCCCGACAGGCTCGTCCAGGCCTACTTTCATTCTGCAACGACCTTGAACTACGTGCGTGCACAAATCTCAAGTGGAATTGCAGACCTCCACAACCCGCTTGACTGGGGCTTGGGCCACGTCCGGGACGAGACACTGCAACAGCAATACAAGACAATTGTCAGCAGCATCACCGAATCGTTGAAGTTCATGAGGACGATTGGTGCGGATACTGCAGGCCAGTTGCAGACTGTTGAATTGTTCACCAGCCACGAGGGCCTGGTCTTGGACTACGAAGAAGCTCTAACGCGTAGCCTTCCCCGGCCCAAGAACGATCTGTCAAGGAAGGATGGAGACCGTGCGTGGTACAACACCTCTGCACACTTCCTGTGGATTGGAGATCGCACGAGGCAGCTGACGCACGGTCATGTCGAGTATTTCCGCGGCATTGAGAACCCAATCGGTATCAAGGTTGGACCGACGATGAAGAACGAAGAACTGATCGAGCTGCTGGACATTGTCAACCCAAACAAGGAAGTCGGCAAAGTGACTTTGATTACGCGGTACGGCGAGGGCAAGGTTGAGGAGCTGCTCGGAGGACACATTGACGCCGTGAAGAAGAGCGGACACGTGGTTGTCTGGCAGTCAGATCCCATGCACGGGTAAGTTCACAACTCGGTCAGTAATTCAGTGTCGCAAACACTAACATGGGATAACAGCAACACCCGCAGCACACCCACCGGCATCAAAACCCGCCACTTCTCATCGATCCTGTCCGAGGTCTCTTCCGCGCTGAGGATCCACCAGCAGCACGGCTCCTTCCTCGGCGGCATCCACCTCGAGCTCACTGGCGACGCCGTCACCGAGTGCATCGGCGGCTCCGAGGGCCTGGACGAGGACGACCTCAGCTTGAACTACACGACGTACTGCGATCCGCGGCTGAACGAGAAGCAGGCACTGGAGATGGCGTTCCTGGTCGCGGGGCATTACCGGAAGCAGCACGGCGAGCAGCAGTAGCAGAGATGGGGCCCGGGGTATATGAACTCTTATGATTGGTTTTGTCTGACAGACAGCTTGGCTTATCTGGTGCTTTGTTTTTGTTTGTCTCGGGATGAGTGAGTGGGAGAAGCGTACGCAGCCTGGCTTGCGATTCTAAAAGCTTTTACACATAATTTAGGAGTGCGTTTCTTGGCGTTTGGCCATGACGATTCGAACTCGAATCCGAATCCGAGTCTTGATTTCTATTCGTCTCTATATTGGCGTTTGATAAACCACGAGGGTTTCCGTCTTCCGATGAGAAACTCTTGTTTATACATAAACTGCGTGGACTTGTCAAATTGACAGGGCTTGTTTTCCCCTCTTTGCATCTCTTCAGTGCCCGGGAAGGTGGCATTGCAGCAGCTGATATACCTGTCAAGCTACCACTCTTGATAGCACGGTAGATACCGAGTCCGTCATGTGCATTCGCGCTCCAGCCGTATGCTTGATTGGTTCCCTCGAAAGGTCAATACCAAGGATTGCCGGTACATGCAGTGGTTTCTGGCGTTGTAAGACGATGCTCATTCTTAGTCATTGATGCAATGGCCAGACCTATACGGAGTGAAAGCATATTCAAGTAAAGAGGTTCGTGGATTATATATACTCCAAAAGAGTTTCTGCTATACCTGGATTTTAAGGTCATATGTAGACAAGAAGCTACCTACAGGGATAACTGATATTATCCTATATAGCTTTGAAGACGCCATCGGCAATGCCATTAAACATTGAGCCCAGACCAACTTAAGGCACAAGATTCCACAATCACCATCCGCCGGTCACCGGTGTCAAAGCCATAGCTCCGTATATAGAATGTGGGGTAAAATAACTGGAGCCCCCCGAGTCAAACCGGCCCCCGCAATCCTTATCGACCCGCAAACCACTTCAGCAACGATCCGCCCGCCGAGGCATCTCCTACCCAAACGGGCAGGCCGAAGCCGCGCTGCGAGCCCGCGGCTGCACCTCCCTGACGCAGTGCATGCTCGCATGAGCCGCCTTATCACCGCATAGCTCCCTGGTGCCTGACTCCCACTATCGCGTTTCTGCCCCTCCTCCCCCACTATACACTCACACAGACGCGCTGTGCGCACCGCCAACTCCGCACGAGCTCACCCGCCCCGGTTCCACAATGTCGTACTGTGACGCTGCTGGTGCCTATCAGCTCGGGGTGCCCGCTCCCCATACTTATGTAGCCATTGTCCTCCCCCCTCGTCCGCGCTCTTGTACCTCTCATCCCTCCTTGAAGCCCACATCATGTCCGCCCTAGCCACGTACCAAGCCGCGCCCGACCCAGACACCAGCGCCGCCAGCCGACCATGGCAAGAAACCGCCGCCATGCTCCAAAAGCACCGCGACGCGACGCTTGCGGCAGTGCGGCCCGCGCTGTGCGATCCCCCGGCCCAGCTCCCCCTCAACGTCGCCAGCCTTGCCGAACAGCTCTTGCCCTCGGACGTGAAAGCCATCACCGAGTCCGCGCCAGAAGTTTTGCTCGCCCAACTCGCTAGCCAGAAGCTTACCGCCACTGCCGTTACCAATGCGTTCTTGCACCGCGCGAGCCTCGCCCAGAAACTCACCAATTGCGTCACCGAGCTCCTGCCCGAGCGCGCGCTGGCACGCGCCAAAGAGCTGGATGAGTATATCAAGACGCACGGCAAGCCGATTGGGCCGTTGCACGGCCTCCCCATCAGCGTGAAAGAGCACATCCCCATGGCCGGGCTGAAGACGAATGCCGGCTTCATCGCTTGGGCCGAAAACGAATCCCCGCAAGCGCCGATCCTCGACATCCTTTGGGCCGCGGGTGCCGTGTTCCACGTGCGGACCACACAGCCTCAGACACTGATGCACCTTGAGACGAGCAACAACATCTACGGCGTCACCGTCAACCCGTTCAACAGGCAACTCACCGCTGGCGGGTCTTCGGGGGGTGAGGGCGCATTGATCGGTACCAGAGGTAGCTGCTTGGGGGTTGGGACGGACATTGGCGGCTCGATTCGCAGCCCTGCGGCCAACAACGGCCTGTACGGGTTCAAGCCAACGGGTTGCAGGCTGCCGGATGGAGGCCTCTTGGCTACGATGAAGGGACAGGAACAGGTTATCCCGGCCATTGGGCCTTTGAGTACCAGCTTGGAAGGCATCAAGATTTTCAGCAAGGTGGTGTTGGATGCGAAGCCGTGGCTGAAACAGCCGCATTTGGTGTCAATGCCGTGGCGGGATGATCAAGAATGGCTGCCAAAGTTACCTAATGGAGGGAAGAAGCTCAAAGTTGGTGTCTTGTATGATGACGGTGTTGTGAAACCGCATCCACCTGTGCTGAGAGCACTTAAGGAGGTTACCGAGAAATTGGAAAAGATTGAAGGTGTTGAACTGGTGGAGTGGAAGCCATACAAACATGATCTGGCGTGGGACATAATCGTGAGTACTTTGTCTTTTCCCAACTGTTATGGCTGTCGGTTCCAAGGTAAGATGAAGTGCAAACTGACAATCACTTAGTCAAGCATTTACTTCTGTGACGGCGGTATCGAAGAGACTGCCGCCATTGAGGCCTCCGGAGAACCATGGCGTCCGCTTTCGAAGTTCATAATCAAAGACAACCCACAGGTTCCCACGCAGCCGTACAGCATCAAAGACGTGTGGCGTCTCACGGCGCAGCGCGAACAGTACAGGGCTGAGTATGCTGAAGCTTGGAACCGAACCGCCACAGGGCCCGATGGCGAGGGTATGGTGGATGTGATCCTCTGTCCTGTCGGACCTGGCACAGCACCTCCGCTGGATCAAGCCCGCTGGTGGGGCTACACAAGCCAGTGGAATCTGCTGAACTACCCTGCTGTCGTGTTTCCGGTATGATTGACGAGCAGCTGCTTGTGGTCGGGTATGCTGACGAATTTAGGTCACGCAAGCGGATCCAGCACTCGATGCGAAAGACGCGTCGTATCAACCGCGCAACGAGAGAGACGAGTTCAACCATAAGCTCTGTAAGTCTGCTTCCTAGCTCTTTGAAGCGGTACGGCTAACGCGGAGTAGACGAGCCCGAGACATACCGAGACGCGCCGGTATCGCTGCAGCTTGTCGGCCGCATATTCGAAGATGAGAAGGTCATCGAAGCGCTGGACTACATAACGCAGCGTACGGGCCTGCCTTTCGCAGACGCGCTGAAGGCGAAGGCCGAATGATGGGTCGGGTGGTGTGACGGTGCGGTCTAGTATCTCGGGCTTTGAAGATGTTTGTAGACGGTCTAAGATAGGATTGGGAATAGGACACGGCAGGATTAAATTTGAAGAGGCATGTGCAGCGAAAGGTGGGATGGATGGTGTGGGCAAGGGCAGTGGGGTGAGCCAAGCTCCGACGTGGCTGCCTGCCGCAGCGCCAAAAATGATGCTTAACCTTCCTTTGGCGCCCTTTGTCTCATTTCCACATCCGCCTCGTGCTTCTTCGCGATGCCGCTGCAGCCTGAAGCCATACGCGCTATAGACCACTACTAAAACCCCCCGCTGCGGCGCCTTGCCAGGTTGCCGCAGCCACGCTCACCACTGTACAGAAGAAACATGAAGTCTCTCGTTATCACCGCCTTCCTCCCGGCGCTTATCGCCGCGTCCTTCTCGCTCAACGACTCCGGCCCGGACTGGGACTACACGGCCAATGACCTCCTCAACACGACCTCTCAGGCCTGCAAAGATGCCTACAGCGCCCAGATCGACTGTCCCGACACCCTCGTCGGCATCGTCGCCTCGATGCGCCCGGCCTTCTCCCCCACCTCGTCCGATCTCGACGACGTCTGCACCCACACATGCAAGTCCTCGCTGGACAGCTATGTAGAGAACGTCAAGAAGGCATGCAGCGCCGACGGTGACAAGGCGAAGGAAAGCCTGGGCGGGGCTTGCAATCCGTGCAAGTATACGTACGACCCGGTTGAGATTGTCGGCCAGATCTTCCAGTACTCCTATGCCCAGAGCTGCCGCAAGGCCGACTCCAGCGGCGATTACTGCGCTTTCAACAAGACGTCGTCCAGGTTCTCCAACTTCCACTGCGATGACGAATGCGCTCTGAAGAGGTTCACTATCGCGCACAACTACGAGGTGGCCAGCACGAAGCAGTTCAATTACTACTATCTTATCGGCCAAACGGATTACTGGATAAAGGAATTCGAGGACGGCTGGGACACTGTGAAGAAGTGCGAGGGTATTACCGAGGATGACTCTACGAGCTCTGCTGCAGCTTCGTCTTCCAAGTCTTCCAAGTCTTCCTCCGCTACTGCAACGAAGTCGGGCCATCACACTGCAACTGCGGCGGCCATGACCACGGGAACCACCACTGAAGCCTCCGCTAGCTCGGAGACCACTTCCTCGTTTGGGTCCAGGTTCAAGGCCACTTCTGCTTCTGAAAGTGCAGCTACAGAAGCTGCTGGAAACGCGGGTTCCCAGTTTAGAAATAGCGGCAGCATTCTCGGCCTTCTCGTTGGATTGTGCGCTATCAGCGTGCTGTATTGAGGGATTTGCACGCCGGAGGACTAGCGAATTGTAGAAATCCCGTATGTACGTGTACGCCGTCAACGAGAGTTAACGTATCTATTGAGTAATACTACATAATCCCACCATAGCTATCTCTCTGACCCGAAGCTGCAAGAAAGCCTCCGATGGGGACGACGTGTCAGAGCGGGGAACGGCAATCTCACACGCATTGCATCTTGCATGGCTTGGAGACCAGTAGCTAACGTCGGGATCGGTGATGGCTCCGGAGACAGCAGCAATGCCAATTGCCTTCCAATGACCTTCTGGCGCCGTTTGCTAGACTCATGGAGCTTCAAAAGAGCTTGATATGAGCATCAAATGTTTCTGGGGTCAGCAAACCCGCATAACCAGCAGCAGGTTTACACTATCAGCAGAGACCCACATCCCAAAAGCCCATCCCTTATCCAGGCACGTAAGCAGCATCACGAGGGCACGTTCGCATCCACGTACGTACGTCAAAGTGCCCTCATCCACCTCGCGCCAACGCGCACGCCGGATTACCCATCTAGGCAAGCCCGAGGACGCCACCACGGGCCTCCCGTCCACCCACCCACGCACAACCGTCCAACGGCCAGCTTGCGCGCCCACTCCGTTGTGCCAGTCGTCCGCGGCAGCAGCAGCAGTAGCAGTGTGGCACGGCCTGGGCAGCGCTGGGGCTGCTCTGACGTCTCCTCGTGGAGCCAGTGCAACCATTTGCGGAAGTTCCGGAGGCCTGGCCGCTGCCCGGCTCCTCTTCCTCTCCTCCTCTGCAGCGCTGGCCAAGGGAGCTGCTTCTGCCCGTGCCCGCGTGACGGCGCTCGGTGCTGTGAGAGCGGGTGGTGTCAGCTTCTTGGACGGCTGCTCCCTAGGCTGCTGCTAGGCGGCGTCGTATAAGAGGAGCGCGCAGTAGCTGCTGTTGGCTCTCAATCGGCCTGTCTCAATTCGCAATTCTTACAGCAGCGTCTTCTTTCCAAAAAACCAATCCATTCCCCCAACTAGAGCGCGGTCCTACATTCCCATCCCCAGCTCTACATATCCACCCCGGTCGCTGCGTGCAATAATCGCCCCCAGGGAACCCCGGCCCCGTATCTCTTCCGTCGCGCCGGTCACCCCAGCTTGCGCGCGTGTGTGTGTGTGGGTGTGTGCCAGGATTTGGGATTCGCTGCGCATTCCCCCCGCGAGCAAGATGGCCGCCGCCGCTGCACCCCGCGTTCTTCCCCGCTTTTTGCGCGCCGCCGGCATCCCCGCGCCGGGAACTGCGGCATTGCCATTGCGCGGCGCAACCGCTGCGCCAGCAAGAGCAAGAGCAGCAGCAGCAGCAGCAGGAAGCCTTGCTGCTCCTGCGCGCGCATTCTCGGCCTGCCCAGCCGCCTGCACAAAGTCCCAGTCGGCGCGGAACGACGTGCCTGCGCCCCCGGCCGACGAGCGCGCTGCCACGGCCTCGGCCTACCTGGGCACTTCGAAGCGCCTGCCCGAGTTCAGTCTCAAGGACAAGGTCGTGCTTGTGTCGGGTGCGGCGAGGGGACTGGGGCTCACGCAGGCAGAGGCGTTGCTTGAGGCTGGTGCTACGGGTACGTTTTATGTTTTCCTCTATACCACCATCACCAGTCTATCCCGTCTATTCAATTAAGTTACTTGGGGAGGGAAGAGGAAGCATATAAACAATTTAAACGGAACATAAATGTGTGCGCCCTGGTTGCAAAACTGACGCCGCGCAGTATACGCCCTCGACCGCCTCGCCTCCCCCAGCCCTGCCTTCGCGCCCCTCCAAGCCCGCGCGACGCAGGACCTCGGCACCGCGCTGCACTACCGACAAGTCGACGTGCGCGATGCGGAAGCGCTGCACGCCACTGTGCGCGAGATTGCCGACGCGCATGGCCGGCTGGATGGCCTGGTCGCGGCCGCCGGCATCCAGCAGGAGACGCCGGCTCTGGAGTATACCGCCGAGGACGCGAACCGCATGTTTGCTGTCAATGTCACCGGCGTGTTGGTTACGGCCCAAGCAGCTGCGAAACAGATGATTAGGTTTGGGAATGGGGGGAGTATTGTACTGATTGCGAGTATGAGTGGGACGGTAGCTAATAGGGTGGGTGTGGTGCTTTCTTTTCGCCCTCTCCTTCTATCCCGTAGACTGGTTTGCAAAGGGGTGCTTTGACGTGTGGCTAACCGCTGCTTTGATAGGGTCTTATTTGCTCGGCTTACAATGCCAGCAAGGCGGGCGTGATCCAGCTCGCGCGGAATCTGGCTTCTGAGTGGGGCACCTACGGCATTCGCGTCAACACCATTAGCCCCGGCTACATCGTGACAGCTATGGTCGAGGAGCTCTTCAAGAAGTATCCGGAGAGGCGCACCGATTGGCCGACGCAGAACATGCTCGGGAGGCTGAGTAGCCCCGAGGAGTATAGGGGCGCGGCGGTGTTCCTGGTGAGCGATGCTAGCTCATTCATGACTGGCAGTGATCTAAGAATGGACGGCGGACATGCGGCTTGGTAGTCATGCTGGAAGAAACAGTGAAGAGGAATAAAGCGCTTTCAACCCAGAAGTGGATACCAACGGGCTGTTTGGAGAACTTTCTGAGCGCGGCGCTTGGCCAGTATATTAGTATAATTGTGATTTCGGACTATGGTTACATGAGAAACAGCTGCACAGTGTCTTTTAATCGTGAAAGAAAGCTCAGAGGCCTCCCCAGACGTCCTTTCATGCTGGCTAATCTTGCGATTTGGGGCATGCCTTGCTCGATTTGGAGTCAAATGACGCCCCAGGGATACTTGCTTTTAGGTTGGATAGCGATCGGATTTGGCGAATGCTTTCCACAACTTGCAGCCTATTGGGAGCTGGACATTCCTGTCCTCATAGGCTAATATGAGGATGGAAAAATACGGCGTCTCGCCTCAGTGAGTTGGTCGTATGTGTCCGTTCATCGTCTCATGGCTCAGACAGCCTCCGAAACACCCTTGGTACCCAGTTTCTTCACCATGCCTTTCTCCAACCCGAGCAACTTCTCAATTTCTTCCTCGCTCTTTCCCCGTTGGTCCCTCAGGATAAACATTTGCTTCACTATACCGACATCCAAGAACTGCCTTCCCGGCGCGCCTCGCCTTCCCACGTTAGCAAACTCGTTCTCCGCCTCTGCCTGTAGCCTCTCTCTCGCCGCTAGTATCGCCAGTGCGGGGTTGGTGGCGGGGTTGGGCATGGCGCCAATGGGCGGCGCGAACGGGTTCGGCCCAGTGGAGAAGTCGGGGATTGATGAATCGGCAGGTCGGCGGCCAGTTGCTGTGGGCTGTGAGGTCGAGGAGCTGCCGGGCGGGCGCTGGGGATCGAAAGGCGAGGTCGAGCTCGGAGAGTAGTGCGGGTTGGGTTGGACAGGGCCAATGCTGCGGAGGTGGGCGGCAAAGGCAGGGTCGGCGGCGTCGAGGTTTATTGCTGTGGGGAGCAGCGTGTCAGACTTGGCCGTCCCCTGGCTCAGATATAGCTTACCTTCGTCGCGCGTTTCACTGGCCTTGGGCTGGGGCTGCACTGTAGGTCCTGGCTGCGCAGCACGTCCGGCCGCGGGCGCGGGTTTCACGGCATTGGTGGCGGCTTGGGAGGCGCGCGCTGGGTAGACGCGAGTTGCGATGTTGGCGGCGCGCGAAGCTTTGGATGCTGAGGAGCCCATGATGAGGATGTTTGTCAAGCGAAGGAAAGTTCATCCATCGATGATGCTATCCACCTGTGCTTGCGCCATGATCCCTGCAAGCCCGGTCCGAGCTCATGCTGCATGCAATTCGCTCCGCTCTCATTCGTCCCTTCTCTCTCTCCTCTTCAACCCTTGATCTCTCAGCCCTGATAGCGACAACTGCCTAGGTGCTGGCTGACCGGCTAAAACGTTAGATTCAAGGAAAGCAGATCACCTCTACGGATCACCTCCCTCGCCTTCTGAAAACCGTCGGCTGTACCTGTCTCATCCTCAGGAGATGAATTCGGCACGCTGCAGCGACCGTCTATTGCCGGGAGCTCTACAATAACACTGCTCGACTAATTATAAACTCCAGTTTTAACTGCCAAAGCGACTCAGTAAAGCACGCAGAGCACGTCGTCGACATTTTGAACTTTTTGGCCTAACTACCTATGCTCCGACGTAGCTCCTCCCCACTCCCGAGCTTCAAGAGGATGCGCATGGCGTGTGATTTAGCCGTCTCCGGCCTCCGCTTTTGGCACCAAGGAGAGACATCCAAGTCTGGCACAGCAATCACCGACCCTCGATTGTACAGAGGCCTGTTCACCGTTCAGGCCCCCTTGGCCCCTGTGCCCCTGTCGAACGCCATCCCGCGCGTCAGTGCACAGCGGTTCCCCTCCCCCAAGAGCTCGAATGTTTCAAGCCACACTATGCGAAGTTATCCGTGGCTTCGCGGCTCGCTTGCGCCTTCTTCGATGGGTTCTCGAACGCCCATTCTCGGAGTTCTGTATCGTCCAAGAAGAAAGTCTGGGCATCGTACCATTTAGCAATCCTTCAGTCATCCATGAAATGCTTCCAGCTTCACTTCCAAAGAAAGACATTTCTCCGGCCGACCCTCCCATATGGTCTGGAGCGGTGCGCCTGACCGGGCGTGGCGGCAACAATCTTCCAGGGGCCAAGTATCTTGGGCTTTACCCAAATCATGGGGGCAGACTATTGGAGGGTTTTTTGGCCTTTCTGGTCGCGGGAAAAGTCTCTTTCCCAGTCACTAAACTATCGTCACATGCTTTACAAGGTTGCTGAGTCGTTGCGGAAAGAGGTGGTATTCACAATGGTTGTCATGCTCTGTCAATCTTCCAACAATTTTCTTCCCTCTTGTTCCTGTCGTCTCTATCATGGATTTCACCGGCCCGAAGGCATCACGGCATTAACTCGCCGCCTCAGTGGCGTAGTGGCGTCGGTATTATTTGTTTTAATTCGGTCCGGTCTCAAAAGCACTTTCAGGCGGGCATTGTCGGATCGTCTGGCCGACGAGATCGGAGCTGGTGAGTAGATATCCCACGAATGCCGCCGCCATAGCTCCCGGCTCGACCGTCCCTCGGTTCCTGGGTGCGCGACGAGACCGCCGGGAAACCTCACGTTTATTAGGGAGACAATGGCGATTAACGCCAAGCATTAATGCATCTTGCTATGCTGGGGTCGTGCGTTGCCAAGCATCCTAATCGGCCAACCTTAAACCGTTCAAACCCGCCAAGGCTATACCTGGAGGCATTCAGGCTTACAATTGGTTCATGGGCCACTTACCATGAAACGGGGATCTCATCATCATTGGCTCAGTAAGCACTCGACCAAGGGTTGCGGTCTGTGTTATCCGCCGGCAAACCGCCAAGCGCCCTTTTGGAGATTGAAACAACCAGCTTCCGCGTTTGTATGCGCTATGATTCGGTTCCCCACACATCTGTAGGAGCCAAGTCGGCCCGCGCCGCCGGTTGTAGCTTTATACCCGGCGACGGACGGACTGCACGGGCAGCCTTTCGGTACGGGTGTGCACAATGCCGCTTCACCCCTCAAACGAGGCCCCAAAAAAAGAAGCGGCCTGGGATGCTGTTCTGAAACGCCCAAGCACCTTCCCGCGTAGCATGCTCCTTGATTAACCCCATCGCCTAAAGGGTGCAGCCGCAAGCAATTCATTTCCCTTTTCTCCGTACGGATATGAATTCAATGCATGTTGCGGGGCAGCGGGCCAAGACTCCTTGGATGTACCACTCGAATGTTGGAGATCTTTGCCATCTACCGGTTGCTGTTATAAAGTCCAGGGAGTAGCCGGTACAACACCTGTTCCCCAAGCCTATCGTTCATTCTCTATTCTGCTGCAGACGGTATCCCAACTTGCCGCTAGCAACCATGCATATTTTTTCTAAATTGGCGGCCACCGCCACTCTTTTCGCTCCTACCGCTTTTGCTGCGTTTGGTATCACCACCTCTTCTGGCAGCTATGTCATCGATGCTGGCTCCAGCAACCCCTTCAAAGTCACGGTGTCGAGCTCTAGCTGTGACATCACTTCGATTCTTTACCGCAGTGAAGAGTTCCAGTACAAGTCCAAGGGCTCGCACATCTCCAGTGGACTTGGCTCCGCCACGGTTACGCAAGAAGTTGTCGACAGTATGTCTCTTCATAATATTCTTTACCAGAACGCACCTAACATGCTACAGGCAAATATGCCAAGATCACTTGCGTGACCGATACTCTCACTCACTACATTGTCGTCAAGTCTGGCGAGTCCAATGTCTACATGGGCACCTACACGACGGCCGAGCCTTCGATCGGAGAACTGCGCTTCATCGCCCGTCTCGACCCCAGCAAGCTCCCTCTGGAGTACCCCTACGGCGAGGTGTCGACCACGGGAGGAGGCTCCTCCGTCGAAGGCTCCGACGTCTTCCTTGTAGATGGACAGACGCGCAGCAAGTTCTACTCTGGTCAGCGCTACATTGACGACAAGGTGCAATGTGTTTACCGGGACGACGATGCGATCCACGCCTGCATGGTTATGTCCCCGCTTTCTTACGAGGGTTCCAGCGGTGGACCCTTCTTCAAGGATATCAACACCAACAACGCCGGTGACTCTACGAACCTGTACTTCTACATGAACTCCAACCACGTCCAGACCGAGAGCTACCGCCAGGGCTTCCACGGTCCTTACGTCCTGGCTTTCAGCCGTTCTGGTGTCCCATCCAGCTTCGACACCTCCTTCTTCGCCGACCTGGGTATCACTGGATACGTCGCCACCGCTGACAGGGGTTATGTCTCGGGCAAGGCCACTGGTGTCTCTGACCACCAGATTGTTCTCCACTGGTACAACGACGACGCTCAGTACTGGGTCTACGCCAGCTCCAATGGGCAATTCACCTCTCCCGCCATGAAGCCTGGTACTTACACCCAGGTGCTGTACCAGGACGAGCTCAAGGTTGCCACTGGCACCGCCACCGTTAAGGCCGGCTCTACCGCGACTAGCAACATCGAGTCTACTTGGAAAACGCCGGATGCGATCTTCACAATCGGTGACTGGGACGGCCAACCCTATGGCTTCAGGAACGCCGACAAGTTCGAGCGCATGCACCCTTCGGACAGCCGCATGGACAGCTGGGGCCCTCTTACCTACACTGTCGGTTCTAGCGAGCTCACTGATGTGCCCATGGCTCTGTGGAAGAGCGTCAACACACCTCTCACCATCAAGTTCACGGCTAGCTCTTCGCAAACCGGTGCCGCTACCCTGCGCGTCGGCACAACGCTCTCCTTCGCCGGTGCAAGACCGCAGGTCACCGTCAACAGCTACACTGCTGACGCACCCTCGGCCCCGGTGAAGATCGACTCCCGTGGCGTTACTAGGGGTGGCTACAGGGGTAATGGCGAGATCTATGAGGTCGACATCCCCGCGGGCACGATCACGGAGGGCGACAATGAAATCACCATCGATGTCATCTCCGGCAGCTCGGGTGACACCTACCTCCAGCCCAACATCGTCCTTGATGCCATTGATCTGGCTCTCAACTAAGCGTTCTTGATGAATGTATGCAGCAACGGGTAGCTGCCTGTTGTTTGGTCTTTGCGCAGGCGATTCTTGTATATAATTGAAATATTCGAATGAAAACGGTCTCAACATGCCAAAGCAACATCGTGTGACGTAATATGTGATGCACCGATAGGTGAGGTTTATGATTAGACAAAGCTCAACTGAGTTCGTCCTTGACCTTATCTGTATGTCGAGTTATTACTTTTATAAAAATGTATGCATGCGACCTAGTGACAAACACAAGATTGTGATATCTGGCAAAATTCGAGAGAAGACTTATCGTACGTTACTTCAAATGTATATATTTAGCTATCTCGTTCCCCATGTCGCACATCGAACAAGCACAGAGAAATTGCATCCGGGTAGTAAATGGTGGTACTTACCTAGGTAGTCGCTTACTAACGAGAATACGTCATCGGCGTCTTGCTGGGCCGACGGCCGCGCAGCAGGGCAGCCGGTCTTTGCTCCGCCATGACGACCTGCCATCGACTGCTTTGCAAAATCTCCCCACTTTTGACCTTCGTGCTGGAACCCGATACTCTGGCACGTCCGGCCACTGGGATCGCGTTTAGACCAGCTCAACTTGGTCCAAACACCAGGCTGTTTGAGGCTGCTGCATGAGAACGCGTACCTCGTTTGCTCGCGAAAATGGCAGCCATGGGGTTGCAAGTGGTCCTGTCACCTCAGGATACACAGCAAAGCTTTGTACAGATGCTCAGCAATAATCTTCCCAAGGTAATTGTTTTATTCTCTCTGCACTTCTCAATAAGTCGCGTGATTTCCTTGTTTTGCGGACATTACAGCACTGTAAACAAACCGCGACGCGTCGACTTCACACCAAATAGCAAAGCGGAGATGATTCACTAGTAATGAATTGTTTTTCTGATATGCCACAGGTCCTAGATGATAACAGCGGAAGCCACCGCGACAAATCCCCATCCTTGTATGGGTTGATATATACACTCATTCCAGCAGTACTATTGGCAATCGTGCTTCTGAGCACATTTTTCGGTCTGCGAGGAAAGCTTCGCAGGCTCTATATCCCAAGGACTTTCCTTGATACTCTCACGGAAGAGTATGCCCTCAATAGCTATTGTCTATGTGACTCTTGAAGCTAACATGGAACAGGGAGAAGACGCCGCAAGCTTCGAACACGGCCTTCGGATGGATTAAATTTTTCGAAAGAACCAGTGACACCCTCGTCCTTAACTCACAGTCTTTAGACGGTTATCTTTTCGTGCGCTTCTTCAAGATAGTCGTGGTCATATGCTTCATCGGTTTTCTTATCACTGGTACCATCCTCTTGCCCATCAATGCCACTGGGGGCGGCGGACAACACCAGTTAGACAGGCTTTCTTTCAGCAATGTCAAGGACCCGAACCGATACTATGCCCACACGTTTGTTGCATGGGTATTTTTTGGTATTTTCAGGTCTTCTTCCTTTTTTTAAACAGCTACTGAATAGGCGTAGGTTTTGTGCTTTTCATGATCACGCGGGAGACTATCTATCTCATCCACCTACGACAAGCCTACCTGCTCTCACCATGGAACTCAAGCCGCATTTCTTCCAGGACCGTCCTGTTTACTTCTGTGCCCAAGACCTACCGCAATGAGGAGAAACTGAAGAGCATTTTTGATGAAATTAAGCAAGTGTGGCTCGTGGAAGATTTTAAGAAGCTCGAAGGCAATGTTGAAAAAATGGATAAAGCTGCAATGCGGCTTGAGTATGCTGAGATCAAGCTCATCAAGGACACCAATGCCAGACGATTGAAAGAACTCAAGAAACGCAAGCCAGAAAGAGGCAGATCGCCTGAGCGGGCGTCGCCAGGACGCTGGGTCAACCTACAGAGACGACCCAAGCAGACCGTAGGCTTTAGACTCAATTTTCTGATGGGGCACAGAGTCGACACTATCTCCTACAGTCGGAAACAGCTCCACAAACAAATACCAGAAATTAGGGCAGATCAGAAGATGCACCTTGATGGAGACACAAAACTTCTGGGCGCTGTCTTTGTCGAATTCGAAACACAGTCTGCCGCACAAGCCGCTTATTCACTGGTCTCCTACAATCATCCAGGGAGGATGGTTCCACGTCAAGTTGGTATCCTACCAAATGAGGTTATTTGGAAGCATCTGCGCATACCCGACTGGGAGGTTTCCCTGCGACAGCTCATTGCCACTGCTTTGATATGCTTGATGACAATTTTCTGGGGAATTCCCGTCGCTTTCGTTGGTTCCATTTCCAACGTCCAATACCTCTCGAAGAAATACGCGTGGCTACACTGGATCGACAGCTTATCTGATAAACAAGTTGGTGTGCTGACCGGCCTCCTACCTGCCCTTCTCTTGGGTCTTCTTACAACAATTGTGCCAAAGATTTGTCGCCGTAAGTTGTTCACCCTCCGGCCTTCAGACATATAATCTGACATTCTGGTGTAGTTGTTGCGAAGCATGCCGGCTCTGTCACACTCTCACAAGTCGAACTGCGGACACAGATTTACTACTTTATATTTTCGTTGATCCAGGTCTTCCTTGTCACGACTTTCAGTTCCGGAGCCACTGCTGTCTTTGGTGAAATAGCCAGGGAGCCTTCTTCTGCGCCGACTCTTCTTGCCCAGAATCTTCCGAAGGCATCCAACTTCTACATCTCGTATTTCATCCTATACGGTGTAGCCATGAGCGCAGTATACGTCTTTAACCCAGCGGGCCTTTTCTTCTACGTTATACTGCCCAAGATCTGGCCTTACTCCACTCCACGGGAATCCTACAACGCATACATCACTTTAGAGTCTCCCAACTTTGGCTCTGAAGCTGCCAAGTGGACGAATCTAGCTGTAATCGCCATCAGCTACTCATGCATTGCACCCCTAGTCCTCGGGTTCGCTACCGTCGGCTTTGGGCTCATCTATCTCGCCTTGCGATACAATTTCATCTATGTCTTTGACACCGACATTGACACAAAGGGCGCTTTCTACGCCCAAGCCCTCCAGCAAATGATAGTAGGAGTCTACATTGCTGAGCTCTGCCTAATCGGCCTCTTCGCCAGTCGCTCAGGAAGCACCTCTACAGCCAACGGCCCCCTAATCCTCACTGTGGCTCTCTTCATCGCAACGCTACTATACCACTACTGGATGCACAAAACGCTCAAACCCCTAACAGAGCTGCTGCCGCGGAACCTCCTCACCGAAACCGAGCAAGGCTACGACGACGCTCTGACAGCCGAGCATGGCGACGCAGGCGCACGGCAACCACTGCTTACGCCAACAAGTCCTGACCACGATGGCGAAGATGGCCACACCGCCACCCGCGTCAACGCCATCCAGGTTCTCGCCAAGCACGCCGAGTCTCACAACTGGTTGCGCCGCTTCTTCACGCCGCGCACATCTTCCGTCGCCGCCATCGCCAAGAGCCTGCACCCCGGCCTGCGCCAGCCCGTGCCGCCGTACCCGCAAGAGGTCGCGCGCGCAGCATATATCAATCCAGTCATTACGCGGGAGCCGCCGGTGCTTTGGATCGTCAAGGATGATATGGGATTGAGTGAGCGGGAGATTGTCGAGACGAGGGAGGAAGTGGGCGCTGAGGGGGTGGAGATGACGGATAAGGGTGCTTGGTTGGATGAGAAAAACGGAATTGTCTGGGATGAGGAGAGGTTGAGAGAGATGCCGCTGTGGAAGGGACGGGTTGTTTATTGATAGGGGTCGCTGGTAGGGACGGTTGCAATAGGTTCGTTGAGGTATTGCAGTTATGCACAAAGTACGGCAGAATGAGGACACAACTATTGGTACCAAGGATCGCTATCTTCTATACATATGCAAAATTGCTCGCGCAACACGCAGCAGGTGATTCTAAACAATCTATCTTACAACCAACCACCAGCGTGAAGCAGCTACGCTTCAGGCACAACAGCCTTGCAACGATGGCACAGCTCTTCCGGAGTCGGCGCCACATAGCGCCAACATCTCGGGCACTTCTCCCCGTGCGCTGGGCGCACAGTCGCTTTTGCCTCGCTGCCCTCGTCCGCACCAACGTCGAACTTCTCACTCGATGCCCATTTGACGGCATGAGACGGCAGCTCCTTCGGTGGGCTAGGTTCCTCGTCGCCCACAACCACCTCGACGCCCGACACGACAAAGATCTCCGCCAACTGTTCCTCCATCTCCGGAGCCAGGAACAGCGCCTTGACTTGGTTCGGTGTGTCGACGGGCAGGCGGAATACAACTTCGCACTCGAGACCTGAACCGATGAGTTTCTGCTCGCGCGATGCTTCCTGTGCCGACTTGACGGCGCTGTGGGCGGCTGTTAGGCAGGCCACGACCGAGTCCATGCGTTCGGCGGCCGTGTTGTTGGCGTATGTTTCGGTCAGGAAGGGCGTCCAGGTCCGGCGACCAGGCTTCTCGACGCCATTCTTGATCTGGTCAGGCGTGAAGCTCCAAACCTCTTCGACTAGTAGTGGGGTCACTGGCGCAAGCATGTCAAGTAGCTCGTTGAAGATCTTGTGCAAAACTTGCTGCGCAGAATACCTGTCAGCAGGAGTACCGGCGTAGAGACGGTCCTTCAGCGTCTCGAAGTAGAAAGCGGATAACGATTGCGTCGTGTACTTGCTCAGCGCTCCAACGCCCCGGGAGAATTCGTATGAGCCGTAAGCAGCATGGACAGCGTGCGCAGTCCGGCTCAGTTGGTGCAAGGCGATAGTGTCAATGAGTGCGTGATCATTTGTCTTGATCGATTCCGATACAGGAGCAGAAGGGTCAAAATCTGCAAGGACTCCCAAGAGCCACTTGAAAGTTACCCGGTATTTGTGCAGGCCCTGATTGACAGCGAGCAGGATCGGTTGCCCAATAACAACGTCTTTGGTGTAATCACTACTGGCAACCCATAGACGGAGCGCATCTGGACCCATAGCATCGTATGTAGGATTGCCGTCGGTGTTTGCGCTAGCGCCTTCTTTCTTCTGCTTCTTCTTGAGCTTCAGAGGTGGCAGAAGCGAGCCATCCATGATCTGTTCAGGAGATACGGTATTGCCGAGAGATTTGCTCATTTTGCGGCCGTCTTGATCAAGTGTGAAACCATGCGTAATCAGAGCCTTGAACGGTGCTGCGAATTTTGTGTCCTGGGAAATGTGTCCCTTGTTTGCTTTGATAGCTTGGTGCGCGATGTAAGTCAAAAGCGAAGATTGAAACCAACCCCGATGTTGGTCGGTTCCTTCGAGATAAACATCCGCAACAGGTCTACCCGGCTTAGCATCCAGCAGAGTCCATGAGGTTCCACTGTCAAACCACACATCCATGGTATCCCTTCCTCGAATGAAAGAGCCCTCCAAGCCAGCAGGGACCCATGCCGGGTCGTCTTCAGGGTCGGTCCACCAAGCGTCGATGCCGCGTTGCTCAATAACGCCCATAATGTGCTCAATGCTTCCCACTGTCATATGGGCCTCGCCGTTATCCTTGTTGTACAAAGCGGGTATAGGCACGCCCCATGCACGCTGGCGCGAAACACACCACTGGCTACGGCCGCGAATGAAGCTTTCCAGTCGAGCTTTAGCAGACTGTGGCCAAAACTTCACAGCTTCCAGCGAGTCAAGAGCGCCAGTTTTGATCTCTTCGACATCGGCAAACCATTGTTCTGTGGCTCGGACAATGACGGGCTTCTTAGTCCGCCAGTCGATTGGATATTTGTGGGTTATGTCTTGCACAGCGATAAGAGGATCCCGAGGCATGTTCTTCAGTAGATCGAGGATGGCTTTCGACCCCTCGCCCTGGACGGGTAGGCCGGCAATACGGTAAGCTTGACCGGGTAGCGCTTCTTGAGTAAAGCATCCCTTGTCATCGACAGGAGCAAATGCAGGAATACCAAGACTTCTACAAACGTTATAGTCATCCATACCGTGACCAGCAGCCATGTGGACAAGACCGGAACCAGAAGCAGCTGAAACGAAATCGGCATGCACAATCTGCTGCGGAGTTACCTGTTCAGGATCGAGCGGATTCGTATACTCAATCTGACCAGCCAGTTCAGCTCCGGAGATACTATCAACCAGGACCTGAAATTCCGTTTTCAGAATGTTTTGGAGAGCTTCAATACGAGACTTTGCAACGAGAAACTGACTGGGGCGATTGCCAGTTGCCGTGGGACGTGACATCTTTACAACAGAATATTCCAGGGTCGAATGTACACCAATGACGTTGTTAGCCGGCAGAGTCCAAGGAGTCGTGGTCCAAATCAGAGCTCCAAAATTGCCCATGTCAACACGGCCAGCCAAGGACTCAGGAACCTTGACGATCGGAAAACTGACGTAGGCGGTCTGAGAACGATGATTATCGTCGTATTCGAGTTCTGCCTCTGCAAGAGCGGTGCCTGAAGATGGAGACCAATATACGGGTTTGTACTGACGATAGATGAGTCCTGCGCGCCATCAGTATCCAGTCCTGAGCGTGCAGCAAACAAGGCCGCCGGACCTCACCCACCCTTCTCGACCATCGCCTTGAAGATACCCAACTGTCTCATTTCAAAGCCTTTTTCCATTGTCCGGTAAGCATTGTTCCAGTCGCCCATGATGGCCCACTTGCGGAACCCTTCCATTTGTTGCTCAACTGTCTTCTCGGCAAGGTGGCGGGCGGCGGCGCGCACGCCCACCGGGCCCAAACGTTCGCGCTTCGCATCTGTCAGCGACTGGAGCGCCTTGAGCTCAATGGGCAAGCCATGGCAATCCCAGCCAGGAATGTAGTCGACTTTCTTGCCCTGGCCGACATGGAAGCGGCAGATGAGATCCTTTAAAATCTTATTCAGAGCATGACCAATGTGCAGGTTGCCATTGGCGTATGGCGGGCCGTCGTGGAGGACAAAGGTCGATTTGGTCTGGCGCTCTGGCGACTGCTGCCATGCGTAGAGATCGTCGGTGACCTGGCGCAGGTAGTCGGTCGAAGGTGCCGGGCGAGGGGGAAAGGCAGACTTGGGCAGCTTAAGGGAGCTGGACCATGATTTTGGCGCAGGATTGGTAGCGCTCCGCAGAATTTGGGTTGGAGCTACCATGCTGCCATTGTCCGAGAGAAAAGTTGTCGTCGACGCGTGCAGAGGTAGTCGCGACGGGGACGCCGGGAACATTTCGGTCCCGCTAGGTAACCCGCACCCCAGGACCCTTGCACCCAGCCTGACACCCAGCCTGACACCAACACCACCAGGTCATCTCAGCAATTGATTGATTTCATACATAGCATGAAGCTCCACTAGTCAGGGCGAAATTTAAGAGGCTTCATACCTACCTAGCCACATTCGAGGACAAACATTGGGTCTGGCTTGGCCACTGGTAGGTTCCCAGATACGGAGAACAGATCAGTCGTAGGTGTCGAGACTGATGATTATCATGACTGATTGTCTAGTTATGCACAACAGATATCAAACCATACAACCAATCGCCTCATTTGTGATTGTTACGCTAGCTCCATCGCCATAGGTTCTGAGTCTATAAAAATCCGCTTTTCCATCGGTTTAGTACCCAGCGGGTGGGTAATATCCATCTGGAATTTCCAGCTCTGTGCTGTAGTAGCTGTAAGGATCACAATCCTTCCATGCTTCAACAATGGCAGGAAGAACCTTCCTTCCAGCATGTTCCGCTTCCACGTCCGGGGCGGTATATGGCTTGATTGACTTGCTATTGAATGGTCCAGCATAAGAGTAGTTGAAGTACCGCTGGTCGAGCGAAGGAGTCGCACTCCATTCACGGAGTTTGTCGCCTGTCTGCGAGGCAACAAAAGAAAACACATTTGCGCCCACATCCCAGCGACCCAAGGTGTCCAGGCCCCAGTTAGCCTCGACGGTGGACAATTCGGAGTAATGGTCATAAAAATTGGAGTCGGTTGTGCCTACAAGATCCTTCGGCACGGCATCGCCGAGAATGATCGCCAATACTCTGTTCTGGGTCGTGTAGGTCTCGTTTTCATCGAAAGTGATCAGGACGAGTGTATTCTGCATGAACTTTTCATTTTCCAAGAGCGGCTCAACAAATCTGCGCGTCCACTCTCCGGCAGTGGTGACGGAGGTATCATGCCCATCAGAAGCTGGCGCTTGTCAGTTGTTTGATTCAACGACTGTGTGTTTTTCACATACTCATATTGGGAGTGATGAACATCCATTGCGGGAGCGTGTTTGACTCCAAGTCCTGATAGAACAAGGTTGTATTTTTGATCACGGCTAAACGATCTGGGTTGTTGGCGACAGAATCATAGCTGACTGAAACCAGGTTAGTGATAAGATGCTGCATTAAGATTGCATACAATACCAGCAGGATTGTGCTTGCGAACATAGTCATTTGCGCCAGTCTCTTGGTTCACATATGCTGAACAACATCAGTATAGGTTTTTTTTAGAGACACGTAAGTATGTTGATACCAAAACCTGTGTATCCACTAAATGGCTACGCACATTATCAGAGCGAGTTCCAAACAATCCTGTTGGGCGCAGACTTACCATATCTTCCTGGTATTCTCCCCAACTAATACCTTTGGCTTCAAGCAGATCAACCAGTGACGAAACATTCGAATCTATGCGCGAAAAATCGTCATGGCTGAATATTGTTTAGCAAGATACCCATTTTTGTTCCAGGAGCAACAGACTTCATGCCAAAGTAGTCACCACCGATGGCTGCAAGGTAATTTGGCTGGCTGGGATGCGTTACAGCATGGTAGTTGTCGAGAGTGATTCCCTTGGATGCAAGGTATGCGAGGTTGGCTGGTTCCAGCGTGTTAGGTGTATTTTGACCAAGCTCGGAAGTTAGTACTCACGATCGCCTATGGCCTTGTCATAATCCGTATTTTCGAGCCAGATGATGGCAATCCGGTCGAAGGCTTTCCCTTGGACGACAGTGTTTTTCGACTTGTGTGGCAAAGCGTCAACAGCAGAGAAAGCGACAAGGCCCAAGAGGCCAGCGACACACAAGATTGGCCGCATGGTGAACTATGGATCAAAACTGACGAGGGCGAGGGTTTCGCTTTTTCTACTGCCGGCGGGTTTGGCCGCGAGCTGCAGGTGGACGATGTGGCTATGCCCATGTGCGCGCTGGAATGGGCGTGATTGGCGTCTGCGTTCTGCACCTGCCCCGCACCTGGCAACGCGCTCTCTCCCGGAGTTGGACTCCATACACACCTTTCAGCTCGCTCCCTTTTGCCTCGTGCCATCGCCCTCTCTCCTCTCGGCTCCGATCATGTCATCGCCGGCGCCAACTCGTTACCACGCTCTTCCCCAGCAAGAGATTCACCAGCGGCATCTGGCATCTCCTACACACAGGCATGTGACGTACAACAACTATCAGCGCTGGTTCAATTTTTCTCTCCTGGTCCTTTTTCTCGAGTTCGGTCTTTTAATTGTAGTGGTCGCCGTTGCGCTTCTAGCTATCTTCGCTCAAGTCCCCTCACGCAATGTCATTCCAAGCGGAGGACCACTGAAAATCGTGCCTCGGCCTTCTAACTCAAAGTACATTCTTGATCCTAATTGGGATGTCGCTGCCGCTGTCCGTACAAGAGAGTATCACTGGATTATACAAGACGCTGAACGCAACCCTGACGGTGTCTACCGACCGATGATCCTTATCAATGGCGAGTTCCCAGGGCCTCTAATCGAATGCAACCAAGGAGATACTATCACTGTCTACATTGAGAATCAATCCACCAATTCGACTTCCTTCCATTGGCACGGGATCTACCAGAATGGTAGCAATTGGATGGACGGTACCGCCGGTATAACCCAGTGCCCCGTAGCCTCTGGGTCAAGCATGACTTACAACTTCACCATCGACGGACAAGCGGGAACTTACTGGTACCATGCACATATGACCACCCAAGGCTCCGATGGGTTGGCTGGACCCTTCATCATTCATTCCAAGAATGAGCGTGACATGCAGCAGCTACAGTATGCAACTGATCAAGTTATCATGATCCAAGACTATTATCATGATTTAACAAGCGCTTTGCTACCGCATTATCTGGCGCCAGATCGCGAAAACGCCGAACCTGTTCCCGATGGAGGACTCATCAACGGCAAGAATGTTCGCAACTGCGATACTCTCTTAAATCGTCGGTGTGATAACTCCACTTCTTCCCTATCTGTGTTTGAACTTGATGAGAACAAGAAACACCGTCTGCGTATCATCAATACAGGAGCGTTTGCGGAGTTTCAGGTCCAGATCGACGAGCATGAATTTGCCGTGACAGAAGCCGATGGCACTGATCTATGGCCAACGTACCATCACCGTCTTAACATTAGCCCCGGTCAGCGATATAGCATAGTTCTGACTACGAACGTCAGCTCTGCCGGGTTTTTCTGGATGCGAGCGAAAATGGTGACTGCTTGTTTCGCTGAGGAGAACCTCAGTCTGGCTTCTGAGGTTCGAGCAATTGTGGCATACAAGCCCGCCAAAGACAGTAACAGGACGCACCGTCCATCCAGCATTGAATGGGGTGATCCCACGGATATGCAGTGTCTCGATATGAACGCCACCGAACTTCGGCCAGTAGTTTCTTTACGCGCTCCGTCAGCTGCAGACACACTCATTCATTTGCGCTCCAACTTTGAGATTGGCTCGTGGCGGCTCAGCCGTGGCTATTTCAATAGCTCTTCTTGGAGGCCTAATTTTTCGTCTCCTTCGTTATACCGCCTGGTATCTGGTCACCAAAGTAAAAATTCCAGTTTCATCAATTCTATGTCCGTACCGTATGGTATAAACTCCGAAGGTTTTGATACCACTGTCGAACTTGTCTATCAAACCACCGGAATTCGAACGGTCGACATCCTTGTCTCAAACTTCGACGACGGCAGTCACCCATTACATATGCACGGATATAAATTCTTTGTTCTTTCTTCTGGCCATGGTTATCCTCCAGTAGACTTGATGCAAAATTTGGACTTGTCAAATCCACTTCGCAGAGACACAGCTAGTGTTGAGGCTTTTGGCTGGATCTTACTGAGGTTTGTGGCAGATAACCCAGGGATCTGGGCATTTCACTGCCACTTTACCTGGCACACTGAAGCGGGCATGTTGATGCAATTTGCGACAAGAGCCGACGAAATGGCAACTTTTAATGTACCCGACGAGCATCACAATATGTGTGAGGCCAAAGGGTTGAACAAGGGAGCTGCCCCAGACGACAGTACATGGTTCGGAGATTTTGGAAACTTCCATCAAGGCGATAAATCCAAATAAGGGATATAGTGGCTTTGAGACAATCACTACGAAGCTGCTTTGTATACCTGCAAGCCAGTTTAGAACTCACGACCCATCCATGATAAAATCGTAGGGAATAAGAACACTTAATTATGATATGTACATTATAATGCCATCTCCTTCGTTGCTGTTCTTACATCCATCGAGTTATACTTGATTGGAGACGTAGGTATGACTTTATTGTATGACCACTGGTTTATCGGAATTAAAAGCTTACAAACAGAGCGTCCAAGTCACTTCGGTATTTTGATGGAAGTTTTCTGAAAATAAAATTTTAATTTCAGTGATTGTTTAAATACAACAGTTAACTTATTTTCTGCTAATTGCCTTGATGAAAATACCCTGAAGGATGTGCCCGGACTTTCGTACTCATCTTCTCAGGTAGTGTATATAAACCTTTCTTGTTCGAAATCAGTCCGATCAAGAAGGCTCCCGGTACCATCCACATCTACCTGAACGACTAAGCTGGACCGTCGCTTGTTCTGAACCACACATATAGCCCAATAGGCACAAATTAGCCCAATACAGATGCAGTAACAGATTATCATCGCCACAACCCCTCCTGTGTAAGCGGGTGCCTGGTTTGAACGGAACGTCTGTGGCCCAATTAGGCTGCCCACCGCATAACCTATGTAAAGGATCGCAAAGACAACTATCTTCTTGGTACTACCGGCCGTATTTGCTTGAGCTAAGCCTATTGCTGAGATATAGGGACCAAAGTATGTGTACAACTAAGTCAAGTAAGTTCAGTGTTCATTGTAACATATTATTTGGGTCAGTGTTTCTCACCAGGTAGACCCCAACCATTTGACCTCCGATGTTATTTCGTGGCAGTGTATAGACGATGACAGTACCTATAATCGGAATGATACACGCTATGATAGTGGCTAAACACCGACAATTTGCCAGCTTTGCCCCGGCATACGAAAATAAGATTGCTGAAAGTGTGCTCATCACGCCGGTAGGCATGCTCAACAGTGATGCTTCGACAGGCGAGAATCCGAAATTTGCAATGAGTATGCTGTTGTAGGTGAGCAAGCCACCATTTGGAATATTTATAGCAATATTAAAGATGAAGATCAACCCTTGGTAGAGTCAGTGATAGCATTGGGTATCGACTTTCTTCGAGCCACTTACAAGTTTTCGGGTCAACGATTGCTTCCAGAAACTGGGCCCACTTCCACTCCTTATTTTCGATGCCAGTACTGTTCTCTGCAACTCTGTGAATCAAGTGGTATTTTTCTTCTTTACTAAGGAATATTGCTTCCATCGGCGTTGCTGGCAGAAAGATCAAAATCACCAAGGACCAAGCAAACGTTATGGAGCCTAGTATAGCACCGAAGCAAGTCAGCTAGGTAAACTGTATAGAGACGGTTTGTCATGCTTGCCTATGATTAAAAACAAATACTTCCATATTGGTAAAGGGGCTTTGATATGCCCAATAGTCCAGGAGAGGAACCCATTTACGACAGAGCTTGCAGCAGCAAAGACGAGTGCATTTCTTGGAGGTTGTTCGTTCTTCTTATAAAATGCTGCAATTATTAGAGATATTCCTGGGACGATTATGGCTTCGAAGCATCCTGATAATAGTTAACCCTACTTTCCTCTAATGCAAGACCGCTTTGATCCACAATTAATATATTTAAGGCGTATACATACCCATAAAGAACCTAACCGCCATCAACCCACTCCATCCCTTGCAAGCTGGCATAAGTAGAGCCATTGCCGACCAGCCAATGCTACAGCAACACAAGTATTTTGCGGACGGTAGCCGTTGGATTAAGTAAGTTGAGGGAAACATTCCAGCGAGCGCCTATCAACTTTAATAATATGTCTAACTCTTAAGTCTTGTTTAGCTCCACTTACACCAAGTGACAAAATCGAACCTAACCAGGAGTATTGCTGCCTGACAAGGTGCATGTCCGTCTGAAATCCGTATATGGCCGCTGTGCTAAGAGAAACTTTATCAACGGCTCCAAATGTAGCAGTCAAAAAAAGCTAGCAACGTCAGCCTCAATATGTTATGTGCCTTAGTACAGCCCTTCCATCCGACGTTACATCTAGTGGGTACCCTATAGTGCAGTGCTGTCTTAAGGCTACAACGATTCAGAAGGATGGTAAAATTATATAATAAAATCAATTTGTTTACCATTGGGATCATGATCCAATCAACTTTTCTCAAAAGCTTCTTCTCGGCTTCCGGTGTCAAAGGCGGATACTCATTTTTGTCTGCTAAGAATTGCGAAGCTGTATCGAGCTTCCTAACATCGCCGATATCTTTGTCCAAGTTTTCATGTTCGATGTCCCTAGTATGGCTTTTCAATTCGACGGGTGCCATAGCAGACATTGTAAGCGGAAAAAAGTGCTAGAATCTCGATAACGTATATGCTTGCTGAGTGACTGGCTACAAGATATAATAAAACCCTGGTAGCAGCCAAGAGTCCCTCTCGATATCTTGTCCAAGAAGCCCGGCATGACTAGTACCTCAATGCGGATAAACGGAGCCGTTGTAACAGCCTCGTGCAACTGTCGATCGACGTTGTTGTGTGAATAAGAGGATGCTCGATCCAACCACGCTAGCCCAATATGGATAAACTAAGAGAAGCGGGGTTTCCGGCAGGGCCTTTCTAACTTTCGGCCTGCGCGAACATCTACCTCGCAAGGACCTTCCAGCATCGCGCTGAACAGCATACGTTGAAGCTTGCATACACTCCCTACATGACCATCTGAACCAATTCGCTCCCGTGGAGATTTTTGAATCAGAGAACTGTTATCAGGTTTGGACCCGTACACGCTTTGCAAGGGGTCGTCTTGTTATCTGCCATCGCCGGCTTTCTACTGATACGCATGAGTTCTTTGGAATGCCATAGGTAAGATTGCCTGTAGTTATACTTATTGACTGTAACGGAGTCGTATGACAATGTCTCGACCCCGCCTATCAGGCGGCTTTCTATTGGAGGTTGAATAATGCAAAGCATCAGCCTGTGGTCTTCTGCGCATCGACCTTCCATTTGATATCCCACTTTATCCTTCAGTTGCAGATGAGATGCGTACAGTCATCTCGATAATTTGTAGCCGTCTTTTCCTTGTTCCCTCCATGTTATCACTGGCAGCCCAAGCTAGATATATTTAAGCAGCAAACCTATACCTAAAGAAATTTCTATTCATCCATCCTTTTGTTCTGTTATCTTTTATACTGGCGCACATTATGGCATCCGGCCTACTTTCGCATGCCGATCGACGGCCCGTCAAGATTGCTATCGGTAAGAGACCTTAACAATGAGCTGAAACTCCCATATTTATCGTTACCAGATAGGGGAGGCACGTTTACCGACATATGGGCAAGACAAGACGGCAAACCCGACATCATTCTGAAGTTACTCTCTGTGGACCCCTCTAACTATGATGACGCTCCGACCGAAGGTATCAGGCGCGTCCTTTCCATCATCCGCGGGAAGAATATACCCCGCGGTGTGCCGCTTCCGAAAGAAGACCTGGAGTTCGTCCGGATGGGTACAACCGTGGCCACCAATGCGCTGTTGGAAAGAAAAGGTGCTCGCCATGCGCTGCTGGTGACCAAAGGTTTCCGTGACCTTTTGAAGATAGGATACCAGTCCCGTCCACAGCTATTCGACTTGAACATCTCGAAACCTGAAGTTTTATACTCTGAGGTACGTGAGGTCGATGAAAGAGTTACTGTTGAAGGGTTCGATGAAGACATCTTTGGATCCATGAAGCCCACAACCGAAGTACCCGGAGAAATTATCCAAGGATCCAGTGGCAACATGATACGGATCTTGAGGCCTTTGCAGGAAGATTCGGTACGGTCGATGCTAAAACATCTCCGTAGCCAAGACATCGATACCATCGCTGTTTGCTTTGCTCACTCGTATATCTACCCCGATCACGAGGCACGTGTAGGCGAGCTTGCGTTAGAAGAAGGCTTTACACACGTATCTCTTTCTTCTGCCGTCGCTGCAAATATGATCAAGATGGTTCCACGTGGGAGTTCTTCGTCTGCAGATGCCTACCTTACTCCAGAAATCAAGAAGTATCTGGCAGGTTTTATCAGTGGCTTCGAAGGTGGACATCTAGATGATGCCAGGATGGACTTCATGCAATCCGATGGTGGACTTGTGAACCACAAGAGTTTCAGCGGGCTGAAAGGAATCTTTTCAGGGCCAGCTGGTGGTGTCGTTGGGTTCTCTCGTACTTCCTACAATCCAGCTACCGAAACGCCCATCGTTGGTTTTGACATGGGAGGCACTTCCACCGATGTCTCCCGTTACGGTGGCACTTTCGAACACGTCTTCGAAACAACGACTGCCGGCATAACTATTCAGAGTCCGCAGCTGGATATCAACACAGTGGCAGCAGGAGGTGGATCCATCCTTGCTTGGCGCAATGGACTCCTCACCGTCGGTCCTGAAAGCGCTTCTTCACATCCAGGTCCAGCTTGTTACCGGAAAAATGGTCCTCTAGCTGTCACTGACGCAAATCTGTTCCTAGGGCGTCTGGTGCCCGATTTTTTCCCTAAGTTCTTCGGTTCAAGAGAGAACGAGGCATTGGATACAGAGGTTGTGAAACGAAAGTTTGCCGAACTTACTGCAACAATCAATGTTGACACAAAAAGAACCATGACTCCGGAAGACGTGGCTTATGGATTCCTCGATGTGGCAAATGAAGCCATGTGTAGACCCATCCGAGCATTGACAGAAGCCAAAGGTTATGAGATAGGTATGGCATGCCCAGCTTCACAAAGTTTCTATGGACATTAGCAAATTATGCCACTCCAATATCCTTTAGACACCATCCCTTATTGCTAACATTGTTCAGGAAAACATCAGTTGGCAGTCTTTGGCGGTGCAGGCGGCCAACATGCTTGTGAAATTGCGTCAAAACTCGGTATCTCGACAGTAACAATTCATAGGTATTCTAGCATTTTGTCAGCCTATGGTGAGTCGCTGACCCATATAGCCCACCGAATTACTCAGTCCAAATTCTCGGTACCTGAAGAAGCTGAAGCTTATTTGTTCTAGGAATGGCTCTCGCTGATGTTGTCCAAGAGGCTCAAGAACCAGTCAATGTTGTTTATGCTAATCAAGCCATTCTCGACCTTGACACAAAGCTCGAAACCCTTCGATCTACTGTACAGCAAAATCTTTGGGAGCAAGGTGTTAAGACAGAGGACATGAGCTATGAGTACTACCTTAACATGCGGTACCGAGGAACTGAAACTGCCATGATGATCTTGCAGCCAGTAAATGGCAATTTCAAAGAGGCATTCCTGGAGCAGCATCTTCGGGAGTTCAATTTTGTGTTCCCTGAAGCAAGGGACGTACTTGTTGATGATGTCCGTGTCCGCGGCATTGGAAGAAGCGGTTCTGTGGAGTCGGATGCAGCGAAACTCTCAAACGAACTCAGAAATATTTCTTTTGAAAATGCGGCATCTAATACGGTAGAGAGGACTGTACGCTTCTAACTACAACCTGCTTATTGTCGTCAGCTAATTGTAGGCACAGATCAAAACGTATTTTCAAAACCACGGTTGTATTTCAACACCAGTGTATTTTTTGGAAAGGTTACTTCCTGGCACGATCGTAGGAGGTCCCGCCATGATACTTGACAATACGCAGAGCATCCTTATCATCCCCGGAGCGGAAGCCAAGATACTCTCCGCCCACGTGGTCATCCATGTACCCCATCTGGTCAAGTCCGACACTTCTTCGACGACTGTTGATCCGATTCAACTCTCAACGTTTAGTCACCGGTTCATGTCAATCGCGGAGCAGATGGGCCGCATATTACAAAAGACTTCCGTATCCCTCAACATCAAGGAGCGCCTTGATTTTTCTTGTGCAATCTTTGGTCCGGACGCAGGGCTCGTAGCCAATGCTCCTCATGTGCCGGTATGTTATCATATTCTCTGTCTGGCAAAAGTTCAGTTAGCCAACCTAAATAGGTCCATCTTGGTTCTATGAGCTACGCTGTTAAGTACCAACACGAGCTTCTGAACGGCAAGATGATTCCAGGCGATGTTCTCGTTTCGAATCATCCAGAAGCTGGTGGTGCTCACCTGCCTGATATAACCGTCATTACACCAGTTTTTGAATCCTCTGGAAAAGACATAGCTTTCTATGTCGCTTCGCGAGGACATCACACCGATATCGGGGGCTTGGGTGGGACTTCCATGCCTCCCAATTCAACCGAACTATGGCAAGAGGGTGCTGCCATCAAGTCTTTTCGTTTGATCCATGGTGGTGGATTCTTTGACGAAGAAGGTATGAAGAAGATTCTATCGGCACCTGGCCGGTATCCCGGATGTATGGGTAGCCGTCGCCTCGATGACAACCTTTCGGATCTCAAAGCGCAGGTGGCGGCCAATAGGAAAGGAATGTTGCTAATCCAGTCACTTATGGAGGAGTACTCACAAGAGGTCGTTCAGTTTTATATGCACGCCATTCAGAAAAATGCTGAGTCGTCCGTGCGGAAATATTTACAAGAAACACGAAAGACAAAAGGACCCCAGTTTTCGGCCATTGACCAAATGGACAACGGTTCGGAAATTGTCCTCAGTATTTCCATTCGGGAGAACGGTTCAGCCACCTTTGACTTCACTGGCACGGCCCCTGAGATGTATTCGAACATGAACGGACCACCCTCAATCACCTACTCGGCCATTATGTACTGTCTCCGTCTCTTGATAGGGACCGATATCCCCATGAACCAAGGTTGTTTGGCGCCGATTGATATCATATTACCCAAGGGTACTTTCCTGAACCCTTCTTCTGGCGCTGCTGTTTGTGCTAGCAATACTCAAACTTCTCAACGTGTCTGCGACGTTATCCTCACAGCATTCCAGGCCGCTGCTCAATCGAACGGGTGTATGAATTGTATCGGATTCTTTGGTGAGGTACCAAATCCATATGGTGGTCCGGAACACTCGTTTGCGTTTGGGGAGACGATATGTGGAGGATCTGGAGCCACAGCAACCGCCTCCGGTGCTGACGCAGTGCATGTTCACATGACAAATACTCGGATTACCGATGTTGAAACACTGGAAAGGCGCTACCCCGTCGTCCTCCGACAATTTTCCATCCGCTCTGGAAGCGGCGGTAGTGGTTTTCATAAAGGAGGTGAAGGTGTCATCAGAGACATTGAATGTCGAGTCCCAATTCGTTTCAGTGTAATCACTGAGCGCAGAGCGGTTGCACCATGTGGCATGGCGGGAGGCTTGGATGCCGCAAAAGGTAAGAATTATTGGGTTCGGAGAGTGAAGAACGAAGTTGGGGGAGACCACCACGAGAGATGGGTGAATATGGGGCCAAAAAACATGGTGTCGATGCAACCAGGTGATAGATGCGTCGTGTACACTCCTGGAGGTGGAGGTTGGGGCAAGGCCTATGGTACCAGTGATAACTGCACGAAAGCTGCGGTACTACCGGCATACCCACGAGCTGCGGGTAGTATAGTTGCCTGGAATACGACACAGGCTCAAGCGAATTAGGGATCACAAAAGCGTTTAGAAGGAAGGGTAGCATGCAAAAACGCGAAAAGATAGGAAATAGTCTTAGACTCTTATGCCCATGAGCGAAGTTCACCGTTTACGGATAGCGAAGTAGTAGACTAATTATAGCCTACTTAATATAGCGGAGGGTATTTACGCGATATACTCTAAATCAGAACCTAATTAGCTAGCTTTCCTAAATTACAACGGCTATTTACTAAGATACACAATTTTTTTCGCATAATTTCTAAGATATACATAATATTTCTAAGATACACATATCGAAAGTCTCTCTAAGATATATATATTTTTTTAAATATTTCGATATATTTCGATATATTATAATATATTATAAAAATGTGTATCTCAGAAATAAAATCGAAAAATATGTGTATCTTAGAAATAAAATCGAAAAATATGTATATCTTAGAAATAAATTTTAAAAGTATATGTATCTTAAGAATTATTTTCGAAAATATATATATCTTAGAAATTATTTTTCTTAGGAATATCCTTATTTTTTTTTATATAAATATATTTTTTTAAGAGCAAATTTCGCTTTTTTTTTAAAAAAATATATATATATATATATATATTTCGCCTTTTTAAGAATCTATTCCGCTTTTTTTTAAAAAAAAATTTAAAATAATATATATTACTTTTTTTTAAAAAAAAATTCTTTTTTAATATTATATTTCGTTTTTTTAAAATATATATATTCTTCTTTCTTAAAAAAAAATTATTATAAAAAAGAAAAAATATACTATTAAAAAAAAAAGCGAATTCGATATATTCTTCTTTTAAAAAAAAGTAAAATGTATTTTTAAAGAAAGTAAAATATATTCTTTTAAAAAAAATAAATTATTAAAATAGTATATTATTAAAAAAAAAAGAATATATATATTTTTTTTTAAAAAAAAAAACTCTAATATATATTCTAAAGGTTTATATATTTTTTTTATTTTATTTCTAAGATAAATATTTTTATAAAATATTATAATTTATAATTTTTTTTTAAATATATATATATATATATCTTAGAAAGACTTTTTAATTTATATATCTTAGTAAATAGCTACTAACTTTAATACTTAAAGTAGTAATAGTTTTTTATTTTATCTTATTTTTCTAAATCAAGTATTATTTTTTTTTTTAAAAAAATAAGGTTTTCTAAAGTTAATTTGTAGAGAGAATAATAAGCTTTTATATAAAAGCTATATATTAGTAAGCCTACTAATAGTTTATTTTCTAAAAAGAATCTTTTTAAAAAAAATCTTAAGCTATTTACTAAAATATATATAATTATTAGAGTATTTCTTTTAAATATATTTATTTTCAGTTTTATTTTAAGAATATAAATTATAATTAAATTATATATTAGAAATAAATCTAAATATAAATTTACTTTAAAGATATTTTTCTAGATTTTTAATAAAAAAAATATTTAGTAACTTTAAAAATATTTACTATAATATCTATTAACTATTTACTAATATAAAGATATAACTATTTTATAGAAAATAAATACTACCTCTAATATAATTATATTTAAAAAAAAAATTAAATATAATTATTATACTAAATTAAAAAAGTTATTAGAGAAATTAAAATAAAATATATAAATTTTAAAGTTTTTTCTTTAAAAAAAATATCTTTAATAACTTTTTTTATTCTTTTTTCTTAAATATAATATCTAAAAGTATTATACGTAGCTTTTTTCTAAAAATAATAGTAAGTAACTTTTTTTTAAATAAAAAATATATATATATACTCTTTAGAAAAGAAAATACTTTTTTAATTTAATTCCTTAGATATATATATATTCTAAATTATATCTCTAAAATATATACTTCTTATAATAAACTATTATATATATAGCGAAAATTACTAGTATATATATTTTAGAAAATAATTAAAAAGAAAGATATATATCTTACTAGAAAATAGCTATAGTTTTTAAAAATACTAAGATTTTATTATAAAAAATTTTTTATAAAAATAGATTTTTAATTTTTTTAACTTTTATTTTAATTTATTAAAAGTATATTTTATTTCTATAAATAATAATTTTTAAAATTATATTATAGTTTATAAAAAAGTCTTGAAAAATAAAGCTTATTTTTTTAAAAAAAAAAGAATAGCTAGTAACTTAGTTTTTATTAAAATAATAGTTTAATTATTTACTTTAATAAATTGGCTATTTACTAAGATATATATAAGTATTTTCTAAAATATATGTTTTATTTCTAAGATAAATATATCTTAGAATTTTTTATAATACATATAGTAATTTATTATAAAAAAATACATATCTTAGAAATATTATATATATCTTAGAGAGAATTATTTAATATATATATCTTAGAAATATTATATATATCTTAGTAAATACCTAAAAAAACTCAGTAAATTAAAATATAGTTTTAAAGCTATTTAAAAAAAAATAGCATTAGAGAAAATATAGTAAAATAATAAATTATAATTTTTCCTTAAAAATTTAACTATAGATAATTAGTATAGTTTTTTAAAATTATATCTATAGAGATAAAAACTAGTTTTTATTTTATAAAGCTTTTTTAAAAAAAAGTTTCTATATTTATTAATATATATATACATTTTTAAAAATATATATATTTAATATATTTATCTAGAATATATAGTTTTTTATGTCTATATATATTAGTATACGGCTATATACTAAGATATATATATTTTTTTCGTAAAATTCCTAAGATATATATAATAATTCTAAGATATATAATTTTATAAACTTTAGAGTTTTACGCTATATATATAGTATTTTATTACTAAATATATATATCTTAGAAATATTTTTTTTAGAAAATATATTCTTAAAAAAATATATTTTCAAAAAAGCAAATATACTCTTAAGAAAATCGAATATATTCTTTAAAAAATCGAATATATTCTTAAGAAAAATTGAATATACTCTTAAAAAAATAGTCTTAGATAATAAATGTATTTAAAGAGAATATATAATCCTAAAAAAAATTCTTTAAAAGAATATTTTTAAAAAATCGAAATAGATTCTTAGAAAACATATTCTTTTTTTTTAAAAGAATATTTTTAAAAAATCGAAATAGATTCTTAGAAAACATATTCTTTTTTTTTTTAAAAAAAAAAAAGGAAAATATACTCTTTAAAAACATATTCTTAAAAAAGCAAAATATATTCTTTGAAAAAACGAAATATATTTATAAAAAGTTAAAGATATTCTTAAGAAAAATAATTTCTAAGATATATATATTTCTAAAATTTATTTCTAAGATATACTTATTTTTGAAATTTATTTCTAAGATATATATATTTTTCGATTTTATTTCTAAGATATATATAATATTTCTAGGATATATATATTTTTTTTAATTTTATTTTTAAGATATACATTTTTATAATATATTATAATATATGGAAATATATAGAAGTATTTAAAAAGTATATATCATAGAGAAACTTTTTCGATATAAATATTTTAGAAATAATATTATATATATCTTATAAATTATACGATAAAAAAATATATATCTTAGTAAATAGCCCATTAGTATATATTAGAAATTAAACTTTAAAATAAAACTAAGAATAATATTTTTTTTTCTAGTATTTTTATTCTAAAGTATCTTCAGCTTTTTTCTAGTATGTATTAACGGCTATTTACTAAGATATATAATTTTTTTCGTATAACTTCTAAGATATATATAGTATTTCTAAGATCGGAAAGTATATATATCTTAGAAGTAAATTTCAAAAATAAATATATCTTAGAAATTTCTTTTTTAAAGAATATATTTCGCTTTTTTTTAAGAATATTTTTTCAAGAGTATATTTCGCTTTTTATTTATAAAGAATATTTTTTTTTAAGAATATATTCGATTTATTAAGAATATATTTTCTAAAAAAAAAATTATAAGATATATAATTTTCTAAAATATATTTCTAAGATACATAATTTTTTAATATCTATTTCTAAGATATATAAATATTTCAAATTTTTTTCTAGAATATATATATTTTTTTAAATATATTTCTAAGATATATAGTTTTAGTAATAAAATACTATATATATATATAGCGTAAATCTCTAAGATATATAAATATATATATATATATATCTTAGAAGTACTATATATATCTTAGAAATTATAAAAAAATTGTATATCTTAGTAAATAGCTATATTTATATCTTTATATATTAATTTATGTTATTCTATCTTATCTAGATATAACTATTTTTCTATATAAACTTTATTTTAAATATAAAATTTTTTAGTTTAGTAACTTTAACTACTAAATTTTTTATTCATTCTTAGTTATTTATAAATATTAAATTAATTAGTTATTATATTAGTATATATAAGTTTAATCGATTTAATTAATATATAAAGTATTAGATTTTTAGTAAAATTATTAAAGCTTATTATTTTTTTTAACTACTAGTATAGTAAAGTTATTAGAATTAAATTTTTTAGATTTATTTAGTTTTATTTTCTATACTTATCTAACTAGTACTAGGTTTTTAGATTTACTATTTTATTATATCTATTAGAATTATATTCTTTACTATTTACTAGTATATACTAAATAGAAAAAAGTTATATAAGACTTTACTATAGCTATTAGACCTACTAAGAAGGTATAGTAAGTTAGAAATAGCCCTAGTAGGTTATTACTAGATAATATAGTAAGCTAATTGCTATTAGATAAAGTTATTTACTAGATATATTTTTGAAGATATACTAGCTACTTGTGCCTTTTAATTATTGATAAACAGTATATGTTGATTACAGTCAGGAGCCGTTCACCGATAAGCAGCTCCTATCGCCGCGGACTTTCGGCCGATGATTTCACTCTGCGACAACTTTAAGTCGCACGTTGCGACTCACCAAACCCTGACTGCTTCACAACATCACCACAACACCACAGGACCCGATTCTTCGATATTGCCATGGCACAAGATGGTGCTGCCCACGCCGGGGCTTTGCCCGAGGGCATCTCGTCGCTGCTCGATACGTGCGTTTGTGTTCATTGTCTGACTGCGCCGAAGGCTAATCAGCTGGACAGAGATCTATACAAGCTTACAATGCAATGTTGCGTCTTGAAGTACTTTCCGGATATAGACGTAACCTACAGCTTCACCAATCGGACTTCACACATGAAATTTACGCGTTCGGCATTCCGTTGGCTTCAGGTTCAGATTGACAAGCTTGGGAACATTACTCTCTTGCCTGAAGAGCTGGATTACCTTCGAAACAACTGCGTATACCTCAACGAAGCGTACATCCATTATCTCTCGACGTTCAAGCTATACCCGCGGAAGCAGATCAAGCTGACCTTTCAGCCTGAGAATGACACCGGTTCCGACGAGGATCTAGGTGATTTGGACATCCATACCGAAGGATTGTGGGTCGAGACGATTCTATACGAAATTCCGCTCCTGGCTCTTGTTAGCGAGGCCTACTTCAAGTTTTGCGACAGGGACTGGAGCTATGAAGGACAAGTGGAGAAGGCGCGCGACAAAGCTCTCAAATTGCTGGAAAATGGTTGTATCTTCTCCGAATTCGGTAGTAGAAGACGCCGAGACTATCATACCCAAGACCTCGTTCTAAAAGGCATTATGCTGGCATCTAAAGATGCGGAAGCCAAAGGATTGAAAGGAAAGATTTCTGGAACGAGCAACGTACATTTTGCGATGAAATACGGCATTCCTCCCGTAGGAACGGTAGCCCATGAATGGTTCATGGGCGTGGCAGCAATCACAGACAACTATGAAGAAGCAAACGAGACCGCCTTGCGCTACTGGATAGGCACATTCGGAGAAGGTGTAAGTGCTGCCTTGATTAGCAGATATTCTGGACTGACGCCTAAGCATGAAAGGTCCTGGGTATTGCTCTGACTGATACCTATGGCACTCCCGCCTTTTTGCGCGCTTTCAAGAAGCGCATCCCTCCCTTTACCACCGCGGAGTCTGGACCAGCTGCCACAACGGCGTCAGTTGCTGCCGGATCGACGATTCCAGCCACTGGCACACTAGGAACGACTGAACCACCGATCCATGCCCCCATTGGAGATCGACGAGAGGACGGGCAAGATACACCGACTTACGCGCAAGTGTTCTCTGGTGTGCGCCAGGATTCAGGCGACCCTGAAGGTTTCATCAAGACGATGCGGGAATTCTATGACACGGAAGGTATCAAGGGCACAAAGGTCATTGTGTTTTCGGATTCGCTCAATATCGAGCTTTGCCTCCGTTACAAGAAGGCTGCCGAAGCCGAGGGCTTCCAGCCCACTTTTGGCGTGGGGACGTTCCTGACGAGTAAGTACGCAGGCCATCGGCGGATAGTGCAAGTGCTGAAGAGTCGAATTTCTAGATGATTTCGCAAGGGAGTCGACGGGCCAGAAGTCGGTCCCACTAAACATAGTCATCAAGATCGCCTCAGCCGGCGGCCGAGCCGCGGTCAAGATCAGCGACAATATCGGCAAAAACACAGGCGACAAGGCGACGGTGGCAGAGGTGAAGCGGCGTCTGGGGTACGAGGAGAAGGAGTGGGCCGGAGGCGACGAGCGGAGACGATGGGGCAAGGAAGGCGAGTAAAAAAGGTTTAGAGATACCAGCTTGACAAGAGGGAATCGGCTTGGCGGGCCAAAAATAGAATAGACTGGAGCGGCGATCGTCTCGTGTTGGGCAACGGTTTCGGGCGTGGGACCCTTTCCGCCAGGGGCTTATTCTTAGTCGCAGAGTTATTCTCAGCTCCGTCTCAGCCTCTCACTTTCTCCATCCCGGACCCGTCGCTGTCGTTCCTTTTTTTCTCACCGGCGCTCCCTTCAGCCTTTCGCCCCTGCTTCTTCGCCAGGCGCGTTGTAAGCACGTACTCGATCCGCGTCTGACCCGCGCCCAACAACACCTTAACAAAATAATTCCTCCTTCTGGAGCGACCAACACACAAGCCCCGTCCAATCATGAGTGTAAGCAGTTGCCGTCTCCGCCAACGACGCTAGCGACACACTGACACCACCGCCGCGCAGTACGGTGGATACAGCCAAGCCGGCTACGGCCAGAGCAACCCTTACGGTGGCCAACAGGACCCGGGGTATGGTGCGCAGAGCGGATACAGCAACCGTATGGTTCCACCATTAACCTCCAGACCAGTATAGCTAGCTAAAGCAGCGGCAGCATTCACAGAACCCGACTATGAGATGCAGTCCATGAACGGGGGCGGCTATGGCCAGCCCGCTGCCGACCCCAATGCCATCCTGAACGAGTGCCAGGCCATTGACCGCGCCGTCGACCAAATCGACCAGCAGCTCGAACAGCTGCAGCGTCTGCACAAGTCGGCTGTCAACGAACCCATGGTGTACAAGAACCAGATTGACACCTTGAACAATGATATCATGACCGCTAACCGCGGCCTCGTGGATCGCATGAGGAGGATCAAGGGTCTACCAGACTCGGGTACCCCGCGCAACAAGCCGCAGGTCGGCCGCGTGGACCGGAGACTCAAGAGTACGATCCAGAAGTTCCAGGAGGTGGAGAGTAAATTCAGAAAAGAGTTGCAAGAAAGCCAGGCCAGACAGTACAAGATTGTCAGACCAGACGCTACGGATGAGGAAATTAGAGAGGCCGTCGAGGATCCCAATGCGCAGATCTTCCAACAAGCGGTAAGTTTATCTGAGTCTGTAAAACCGGCTGAAGATCTCCTAACGCGAAACTGCAGTTGATGCAAAGTGATCGACGTGGGCAAGCGCAATCCGCATTGCGTGCAGTGGAAGGCCGCCATAAGGAAATCCAGAAGATTGAGGAGCAAATGGTGGAGTTGGCGCAGCTTTTCCAAGACCTCAATGCTATCATAGTCGAACAGGAGCCGCTGGTCGAAGCCATTGAGCAGAAGGCGGAAGAGGTACATGAAAATGTCACCAAGGCCAATGAAGAGATCGATGGAGCTATCGTGAATGCGCGGAGCAGGAACCGCAAGAAGTGGTACTGCTTGGGAGTTGCCAGTAAGCTTGATGCGACGCTATCGTGGGAACGGCAACTAACGTTTCCCGCACAGTCATCATCCTCATCATTATTGCCATTGTCGTCGCAGTGGTCGTTGTCAATGCGACCAAGAAGTGATCTTGTTGTAAGTTGAACACCTTCTTGCGTGCAGATGTACGTGCTAACGGGTGTGCCCACACAGTGCCCACACCGTTGTATACCCGAGTTGAAAAGCGTCGTGCCGTTACTCTGATAGGCTCCTCCTTAGTTTGTATCGGTTCACTTGCTTTAAGCTTCTTCTGTTTCGTCTGTCTAGAGCCTGCTTCAGTGGATTGCGCAGCTCTCTGGAATCGTTATGTCATACATCTCTTCGTATTTCTTATGGCGTTGTATATTCATTGCACAGCTACGAATAAATGGGCCGGTCTTTCTGCATGGGAAGCTGTTGGAAGTTTTCCCATTTTGAGTTCGAGCACTGATGCTCATACTCAGCTGCTAGATTCATATTTCCCCAAATGACGGAAAGACCTTGGCGTCCCATGAACGGGGGTGCGCGCGTTGGCTTCTGGTTTCTCTAGGTCACATGGTATTACTCGCTTTATATTTTCTGCATTTTAAAGAGTGAAATCTTTTAATAACCTGACTCATTTAATCATATAGAGTTCTTCGATTTGGTATATGATCATGTGGTTCGTGCATTTCTGATACGCATATAAAGCAAATACCAGGGATGGTCTGAGTAGACTGAGTGGTAAAACATCGAAAGACAAAAGCGAAGAAACATGATACTAATACACCACCGATACCACCAACTCCGGGTATGCCAGAAAAGAGCTCCCACAACCCCAAAAGAAAAACCGTTCCCGGGAGCCTTCAATGCAAATGCACCGCTTTAGCCCGACCAAGCCTTGTGGCCATGCATCTTAACGAGATAGACGAAATTTGATACCCCAGATCTACCGGTAAACTCCGGCGTTGGGACCCTTCGGAGGATCGTAGGTTTGGCCTCCATTGTGTACAACAACGTTTGGCTTGCTGCCGTATCCTCGAGAGGACCTTGTGCTTGAGGCAGTCGTGGCGGTTGAGGTGTAGTATTGCGTGTTAGATGCGTAAGCTGAGTGACTGATTAGCAACAGCCCATCCGCGAAGGCAGTGGTTTGTTGAAGCATACCATGAGAAGGGTATGAAGTTGCGGCTTTGGGGACCTTGGCGTAGGAAGGCATGATGATAGTGTTTAAGATGATTTGTTGGTAGTGGCGCTGGGGATTGATCTTGAGTGGACAGAGCCCGAGTAATGTTACGGCGAATGTATGTTGTTGGAGAGCAGGTGTGCAGCAGGTAGCAGGCTTGTTGTTTGCTAAAGGTGCTATGAGTTTGAAGAGGTAAATGGATTGTGTGTAGACGATACGGATTGAATGCTGAGTTCACTGAGGATGCTATTCGGAGCCAGCAAGTAAAGACCTCTATATATATGGCATCTACTCTCTACGTCTTTAGCTACGTGAGGTCAGTTCTATTCAGGTGCTGCCTAAGGTGTGACTGCCTGGGGGCGAAGCATGGAGGCCGCCGGGGGCCAAGTTGGCGAGGCAGAATCATCATGTTGGATTCTGGAATATGGAATGACGCGAAAACAATGGAGCCGACGAGGAGTCACAGTACAAAAAAAGGACAGGAATAAGGCAGCAAGCAATGACTCTGAAGTGTCGAGAGCGAAGACACGGTCTGAAGCACGCTTCAGCCTGAAGCAAAGTATGGATGACTGGACAATTCGAACATGCAAGGCTCACATAGGACAGGCGACCAACCAGCATCAGAGACGTACACGCCTGAGGCCGTATAAGCCAGGCTGCAAAGACCGAAAAGGTGGCCGTAGGCACTGAATATAGTGGCTGTGCTGTTGCTGCCTTGGCCTCTGGCGGCCGGCTAAGCCGCACACGAGCCGCATCGCGGTGACCGTTCTTGGGGCCGGTTGGTAACAGCTGAGAGGTAAGAGCTCGAGGTGAAGAGCGCGCGACAGTGCACGCGCCGGTCTGTTGTCAAAAGTAGAGGTTGAGGTGACCACTGGGGGGAGGGGGCCGCTGTTGTGTTGTGGAGGGCTGAGCCTGGCGCTAGGCTCGTTTAGGCATAAGCGGCTCCAAGAAAAGAACATACGATTCGTGCGGCTGTTTGAGCGAACGCCTCTTAAACGTCGTCACGTCCCGTCAACGGACGCTCCAAGGCTCTTCTTTTCCCCAGGCCCAGGCCCCATCCCGACCTCCAGAGGGACCTCGGTTATCAGCTCTTCTTTCCGTCAGTCCTTGATGCCCCACGGGGTCGTTCGACGTCAAGCCTAGTGTTTCCCCTCCACACACGCACGCCCACCAGCGTCCGATGCTGCTTTCTGCGGCATCCCCGCACTCTTTTCTACGGTCATAAGCTTAAACGCTCTGTGGGTCCGGTGATGCGCTGGCCGAGACCGATCGAAGTCTCGTGTCCCGTAATCCGCTCTGTTTGCAGTGACGTTGGTGCTCGACAGGTCAAAAGGCCGGGATCGACCTACCGACGTAAGGCACGGAATAGGGTATCCAAGAGGCCTCCGCGCCTCTTATTATGGGTATGACTTTCCCCCGAGCCAGGCGATCAGTGAGTTCAGGCGCAGTTGCGGGCAACAGCCATTCACATGTACAATATTGTGCTACTGACCGACTTTCATCTGCGTGTGAAAATTGCCGTCATGGGCGTGGGATTTTCAGCTTGCGATGGACGTCTTTTAAAGCAGGTATGACATGTCTCATTTCGCTTCCTTCCAATGCACGAGTTGTCAACGAATCAGAGGGAGCACGTATTATCGTTATAGCCTGGGCTGTGAGCAGAAGGACCCTACGGTGCTTTGTCACGAAAGCCAAGCATTCGAGCGCTTGGCATGGACCCGTGAGCCGTTCCATTGGACTCAGTCGGGTCATCGATTATTGACTAATCGGTCGGCTATGGTCATGCGGCCGAGCAACCAAGCTACAGCCAAGATTGAACCAAGAAATAGGGTTCCAAAAGCGGTGGGATGGGGACCGGGGCAAGCCACCCCCAGATGATTGCCCGCTTACGCGTGGTCCCGCAGGGAGTCGGAGACAAACTCGTGGAGAGGCCGAGATCGACATGCAGGCGCGCGACTCTGGGCGCCTTAGCATCAACAGAGCACACACGCGAGACCGAGGCACGCGCAGGGCGGGGTGACGCATGCAAATATTGACCAACGAGACGAATTCCTTAGCAAAGGCCATGGCTTGGCTTGGCGTGCACGGCTCCAAGCTGTAGGAATACGGAGGTAAGCGACGAAAAAACGAAGCCATGCCTCTTCGACGTGGACGTGAGATTGCGATCAGACTGTCGCACCACGGCCGCACGAGAAGCGTTGCAGAAGTCAGAAGATTGCAGCACGCCCTAAGGGGGAGGAGGCACTGGGGGGTTGGGGGGTTGAGCGATGGCTTGGACTGACGTGCGCGTTTCCCGTTGACCGACACCGACAGGATGATCGAGGCTCAACGTCCATCGGCCCTAAAGCTCAGAGGCCATGCCGAACGTGGCACCCGCTGTGGGTGTGTGGAGAAGGCGACGCACCCGAAGATCCACGCACAGTCGACGGGGTCGCAGGCTGGTGCGACGACAAGTCTGCGCCGCAAAACAAGCACTCTACGTGCGATTCAGCAGGCGGAGGATTTGATTGAGGGACAGGGAGGATTGGCCGGATCGGCGCTCCATGCCGCGGCTGAGAGAGGCAATCGCACAATTACCTGTACTGTATACTTGGCATATCCATCTTCCCCGGACTCGCTCTCGAGTTGGATCTTGCCTGCCGACCCACGATGACGGTGACAGGGTCGATCGCCAGTTCGCTAGAGCTCCCGTGCGTCCGGCGGCCTCGGCAGTAGTGACGGGGCTAGGCGTGTAAGCGTGGAGGCGTCGTGGTGTTGAAATGAGCGGCGTGCCGAGCCCGACTCCACAGACCCGCCCGCCCTGACGCCCACTGTTGGCCGTCGTCGACTTTACCCGCTTTGGTGCACGGCGCAACCCTTCTGCCTCCGCCCGCCATGTACCCCGGTTGCCGGACGCTATATATTCTTCCGCGCCCCATTCTTGCCTCCCAACCTGGTGTCATCCCCGACAGATCAACTGCACGGCCAATTGATCGTTTACTTTAACTGCCTCCCCTCCCTTGCGCAGCCCAGTCTCTGCAGCAGTATTCTTCATCCCTTTCAACATGGCCTCCCAGGACAGCGTGAGCTCTCTCCCTCTCTCGTTTACTTTTTTTTCCCTTTTTGGCCACTGTCATATCTGACCCGCTACCAACAGGACTTTCACACCAAGGAGACCAACGGCACCAGCTCCTTCGATCATGCCGGCCCTACTCCCAAGCAGCGCATGCCTTACGACTACGGCGGCAACCCGCTTGCGCACGTCGTGACCAACGATCCCGCTATGCGTCTTCCCGCTTTTGGCGGTGAATTCCAGCCTGGCCTGTACAGGGCCCCCAAGAAGGGCTTTGCCAACCCTGCGCCGCTCGGTCTCTCGGCTTTCGCCCTGACCACTTTCGTCCTCTCTTTGATCAACCTCCAGACCAGGAACATCGCCGAGCCCAACATCGTCGTGGCTCTCGCCTACGGCTACGGCGGCCTGGTGCAGCTTCTTGCTGGCATGTGGGAGATGGCTGTCGGCAATACCTTTGGTGCCACCGCCCTCTCTTCCTACGGCGGTTTCTGGCTTTCCTTCGCTATTGTCCTGACGCCCGGTGGCTTCAATATTGTCGCCGCTCTTGAAGCCGACGGTGGCAAGGCGGAGTGGCTCAACTCGTTCGGCCTGTATCTGATGGTAAGTCGCTGCGCCATGCTATGCTACGTTGGCCTGCGCACCTAACATAGTACAGGGTTGGTTCATCTTCACCTTTATCCTGCTCATCTGCACGCTGAGATCCACCGTGGCCTTCTTCTTCCTCTTCTTCACGCTTGACCTTGCATTCCTAATGCTCGGAATTGGATATCTCCACCACCACGGCACCGGCAAACCTCAGACGGAATGCATCAAGGCCGGCGGTGTGTTTGGAATCTTGGCGGCGTTCGCAGCCTGGTACAACGCCCTTGCTGGTATTGCTGACTCCAGCAACAGGTAAGCTTCCTAATCTTCCATCCCTGATTCATAATTACAACTGCTGATTCCGTTGTACAGCTTTTTCGTCATTCCTGTCGCACACTTCCCCTGGTCCGACAAGGGCCGTGAGAGGCGGAATAAGGCTAACAACGATATCTCCCGTGCCGAGCAGGGCGCCTAAACCTATCTACAACCAACGCAAAGTTTTACGTCTAATAGGTCGTATGGCCAGAAATCGCCACTGGGCCGCGCGACTGGGATTCGAGGGATTAGGGAATTGCATTAGTGGCGCGAGCAGTTCTTCGCCGCCATGTTTCGCTTATGACATCAAGATACCAGCTAATCAATGATTGTGTTATTTCTTTTACCACCACTCCATTGTTCCGACGGCCACTGGCAATAGTCGGTGCACTTTGACCTGCCGATCTGAAAGACGTGTTCAAGTAGACGCTAAAGACTAGTAACCAGAGCTCGACGTCGGTCAGCCACTGAAGCTTCAGATTACCCCCTCTGGTGGCCTGGACTGCACATTGCATGCGCAAGCAGTACGAAAAGGAGCCATTGTGTGTTCGTGGCGAGCTTGAGCAAGTTGGCTGAGCGACAATTTGCTTTCGCGTTGCGCTGTGACTCGATTGGATCTCACTGCAGACGCCCAGAATCCTTTGGAGGACGCCAACATTAGCTTTTTGGTAGCCCTACCATGCTCCTCACTGCATGCGGAACGTTGTGCAACGTTATCCGACACAGGGGCCCCTTGTTATTGCATAATGGGATCTGGCATCCAGGACCGGGGAACGAAAGGCTCCGGCGTTGGGGGAGACTAGGTTCTACGGATATCTGCATTTCCGGGACCGATGGCCTAACGAGTACTCCGTAGGAGTACTGCGGTGCATAGACAAGTTAGTCGTGGTCGATTTGCGACTATACAAATAATAACCTCGCATGAAGCTAGAAATAGTTTGTGATACATATGTAAAACTATAACATCTTTTACTAGATTCGGACTTTATCCTTATGAAATAGAGCTTCGGGGAATGCCTGCCCGGTTAAAATTAAGCGCTTGCTATCAAATACAACTGCACACTGAATAGACACGAGTAAGTTAACAGGGCCTCGGTCGCATGACAAGGGGTACCTGTCTAACTCTGCTTCCGATAGACACCTTCACACCTTTCTTCCATGCAGTGATTTCAGGAGTTCGATACGAGCCGTTGGCGCCGTGGCCCCCTTGTAGTAGAACCCACCCTTACCAGACCTTCGGGCCCTTGCTGACTCGAGAATAGAAGCGCTGTACACCGTACACATGAGTACGTGTACGTGTACCTGCCCAGTGTTTCCCAACGCGTTTCACCGGCCTTCTCGGGCTGGTCCATTCTGACCTTCGGGGTGAGAGCATGGATCTAGCGACTTCGTCGTAAGCGTTTGTCACAGATTATCCGCGGCTTGCAGCCCTCTCTTCCTCTGCAGGCGTTCGCGTCTTGAGTTGCAGCGCATGGATTCCTCCTTCTCGTGCCATTTCCTCCCTCATGAGCGCGTACACCATGCGATGTCTCGCCGGCTGCATTTTCCCCTGGAAAGCTTCTGAGATGATGTTGACACTGCTCTGGGCGTGAGCAAAAAAACATTTGGGCGGGCGCAATGGAAACTTCTCACCGGAAGTGAGTCTGCATCGAGAGGGTCAGTCCGCCGTGGCGATGACATGGGTGAAGGGTGACATACTTCTTTGGATGTGCTGCCCTCCATTGCACGGTGATGGGCATGCTTATGGGAGTCGTTGAAGATCTCCAAGCTCGTTGGCTTCAACGCGTCGGTAATCTATGCGGGCGTGTTAGCCTGGTGTCCCGCGTCGGAGTCGGACAGGAAAAAGGTTCCTTTGCGCGCAAGGAGTCTTCGACGGGAGTAGTGGTCTGGGCCATGGCGGAGAGGTACCTCTGTGCCGTGCCGCGGAGGAAGAGGGCTCGTCGAAACATTCGTGGGCGCAGGTGGCTGAGGGAAGGGCGTCGCGGGACGAGCGACTAGACGCGTGGGTGGGAATACGGGAGCTGACGTCTTCGGTAGCGCTTCAGCTTCGACTCCAGCTTTCTGTGCCAAGCATCACGAAAGATATGCAAGCCAGTGGTGAGTGTCTTCCGCGATACCGGTAGCCGTTGACCCACCGGCAGATCGGCCTTACGCCGACGCCCTGCAAGCACTCGAGTAGTCAGCCATCAGCCCTCAGCATGTTTGCCCGAACAGCCAGTAAATTTGCAAAACGACCGTCCGTCTTCCTCAGACCCCAGCCACGCCTCCCGCCCCTCTACGCTCTCCGAATGGCCTCGACCTTACCCAAGCTGCCTGTCTTCCAGGCCATTGCGAAGCACGACCCGCAAAGCACCGCCGTCGTTCACTCGCTATCCGGTCGCACTTTCACCTACGGAAACCTGGTCAATGACATTGCAAAGGCCAAGGAACAGCTGCAGCAAAACGCCAATGGCAAGAAGCTCGAGGGCGAGCGCATAGCCTTCCTCGTAGAGAACAGCTATGATTATGTCGGTGCGCTTTGCGACTCGTAGACTATGCACATGTACCATTTATGCTTATTGCTTGTTTGCAGTGACCCTCCTGTCCATCCTTGCTAGTCAAGCCATTGCTGTGCCAATGTCTCCCGCCTTTCCCGCTCACGAGTTACAGTACATTGTCAATCAAAGCGGGGCCTTCATGCTGCTTGCCTCGGACAAGTATCAAGACAAGGCGCAAGAGGTGCTCAAAGCTGGTCTGGAACATCAGCCCATCTCTGCAAAGGTCGAGAAAAGATTGGACGGTGCCAAGGGAAATGGTGATGTCCAATTCAGTGATGCCGCGGACTCTAAGGCCGGCATGATGCTGTATACGTCCGGAACCACGAACAGACCGGTATGTACAAATCTTAACTTCCAATTCGTTCCACGAAACTCATGCGGCGCAGAAAGGAGTGCTCATTCCAGTCTCGGCCCTCACTGCGCAGTCGCAGTCTCTGTTCGAGGCTTGGGAATACAGCTCACAAGACCGCCTGCTTCATCTTCTTCCCCTTCATCACATTCATGGCACTGTTAATGCCATCCTAACACCTCTCCTTGCTGGTTCGAGCATAGAATTCATGTTTCCTTTCAATCCAAACACTGTTTGGGAGCGTTTGGCGGCACCATTTATTCCGAACGCGGAGAAAACGAAGGAAAAGATTACCTTCCTAACGGTGGTGCCCACTATCTACAATCGTCTTTTGCATGCGCACAAGAGCTTGTCTCCTGAAATGCAGGAAGCCGCCAGAACGGCAATCAAGCATGAGAATCTGCGGCTTAGCATCTCCGGTTCGGCATCGCTCCCTACCCCTACAAAAGCTGCTTGGTCTGAGCTTAGTTCCGGAAACGTCTTGCTGGAGCGCTACGGCATGACAGAAGTCGGCATGGCCCTCAGTTGTGGCCTCGACTTCACCGACCGTGTGGATGGTAGTGTGGGCTGGCCTCTTCCATTCGTCGAGGCGCGCCTCGTCGACACCGATACGAACGAAATAATTAATGAAGGCGAGGAGATCTCAGCGGATGGTAAAGAACGCCAGGGTGAAATTCAGTTGCGCGGCCCTACCATATTCAAGGAATATTGGAACAACCCCGAGGCCACAGCAAAGGAGTTTGTAGACGGCGAAGATGGCAAAGGCCGGTGGTTCAAGACCGGTGATGTGGCTATCCGCAGAGATGTACCAACTGCTGGAAAGAACACCCAGCCATGGTGCAAGGGTAAAATGTATTTCATCCAGGGAAGAAAAAGTGCCGACATTATCAAGAGTGGTGGCGAGAAGGTCAGCGCACTAGAGGTCGAGAGAGAGATGTTATCCCTGTAAGTACATCTACCCACGTTCCCAGAAATATCCCTAACATACTATAGCCCCGAAGTCGCGGAATGCGCGGTAGTCGCTCTTCCCTCTGAACAATGGGGCCAAAGAGTGGCTGCTGTCGTTGTCTTGACCGAGACAGGTCTCACGGCTGGAAAAGGTGGGAAAAGGTGGGGGCCTCTGGATATGAGAAGAGCGTTGAAGGACAAGCTCGCAAACTACAAGATCCCGCAGGAGATGAAGCTTGTGGACACGATCCCGAGGAATGCCATGGGCAAGAGTCAGTTTCCTAAGATTCGTATTGTTAATATGCGCGCTGACCTATTCTCTTTGCAGTCAACAAGAAGACGCTCGTGCAAGATGTCTTTGGAGACCGGCCCAAGACACCCCCAAAATGAGGGTTGGTGTAGCATGCACGTATCTGTATATCTCTGTAAAATCACATGGGAACAGCCCACCAAATGTAGCGGATCAGAACACCATCGAAGCACGAATCGGACGTTTTTGTAGCGATATAAGAGACCGCCGCGCGAGATAGCTATCGACCTAGCGTTTACCGATACTATTTACCACAGGGAATACGAATCTCGAGCAAGTGCTCCCGGATCAGCTAACCGGCTCCCGAAGGCGCATCTCTAGCCGTTGTTAGGTCGATCCTGCGGATGGGGGAAGAACAGTGTCATCAGGCAACAATATTGGAGCAGCCTGGCTCTTGACTCGCTTACTGGACTATCGATTGCTGCCAGCCGTGCCAGCTAGCTCACTCACCGACCACTGCGCACAAAAGCACTGTTCGACCTCGACCCGAAGCGCTTGTGGAGTCGGTTTCTCAGGCGATGGCCTGGACCCGACGTCGTGCACCTTGTATTTACGAGTCGTTACTTTCGATTAGCATACGGAGTGGGTACCAACGCCCGGCGTGTCGGACCGACATGTCGGCAGCTCTCATCAGACTTCCCTTCAACAGTTTATCCTCCCCTGTCCCTGCGAAGAAGAGATTTTCTGTTGGAACATAAGCTTTTTTTTTTCTAAGCAACCGGTGGGTGCCGCCCCACATACAGTCGGGAGAACTGTGCCACTGTGGCGACCAAGTAGCATCTGTCTATCATGATTTTGACGGCTCCATTATTCCAAAATGAATGGTAAGGCGCAGATATTCCCCACAGAGGCTGATGAATTATATAACTATCTTGCCCCAGTGGCAAAGTTACAAAATGGTCTATAGTCTGTCTACATTTTCATTCGGCTTCTGGACACCGTCGACGATATAATGAGCAAGCTCGGAAACAGCTTGTTGGCAGCATCAACAGCCTTAATGTGGTCAAAGAGGTAGACAACCTTGTTGTGATTTATAAGTCGCTGCCAGCTACATACCTAACTACTCCTAAGAAACAACCTGGGGAACATTCGGATATACTTATAGAAGTAATATATAATATACTTTCATTTCTGTTTACCACTCACCGTTGATATATATGAACAATAATATCTACACCTGTAACTGGTACTTCATGCTAGGCAATCAATTAATCTCTCAGTACGCTCACGCTGGCAGTGTTGACACTGATTCGACGGAGCAAGCGGGTTAGTCAAGCTTGAGTGGCACAAACTCTTAGCTTGAGTTTTTATATAGGTGTCATTTATGTTGAAGAAGCAAGTGGCATTTGGTATACAAGATTCTACCATACGCTAGTACTTTCTTCTGCAGGCGGGTTAGGTTTCATTTTATTGATTTTATTTTATTTGGTTTTATTACACAAAATCGCCTGCCATCAATTAGAGTTATAACATCCACCCATAAACGAATCTCACCGTTCAGTAAACCACACTAATTAGAGCATGCTGTGTGGGTCTTTTCGCGTTTTGATTGATGGGGTTCGCTGAACTGTGAGATTCGTTTATAGGTGAAGGACGTTATTCATTCGTACATTACTAGTTTTATTCCAAGACGGCCGCTGTAGCTCAGGCAGGGGTCACTTTGCTGCCCTCTTTACTCTTTTCTTGTCGGTGCTACCTACGGGAGTCTGCGCCTTCTCCACTACATCAACGTGGGTATCAACCACCTCAGCTGCTTTCGTGCCCTCTCTAGGCAGTCTAGCCGCTATCTCAACCGACTCGGCCCTCTCGCACCGTTCCATGATTTCCTCCATGTACTTCCTCACTTCATCTTGAGGCTTGACCCATCTCCGAAGACACAGAAGCAGGTTGGGATTGTCTGCCATGAACCGCGCCGTTACTGGTTGATAGTATTCTTTCATCGCCTTGTAGTAGTTCGTGGTCTTGGGCAAGTTATTTTGCGTGACATGGTCCACCTTCTGCACTATCAGGAATGAAGCAAGGACAGCGTTCCCCGGCAGGAATTCGAGGATGGTGTTGCGCGGGAAAAGGAGCCTGTCACCGTTGGTGTTGAAATCAATGCAGAGGGCACGATAGGATGGCTGGGGTGGTGGGGGAGGCGGTGGCGGCTGATGCTGTGTATACGGCGAGGGAGTAAGCGGAGGAGTGTAATACGATATAGGCGGCTGCTGGGGATGCTGAAGGGCATTAGGCGGGCCAGATGTGGGAAGGCTGGCAGATAGGCTTGACGGCGGCCTAGGCACGGGAGGCGCCGGAGAGGTAGCAGGTGGCCGTGCCGCTGGAGGGGGCGCGGCAGGTTGGAATGGCGACGGTGCCGGTGCCATGTGCGACTGCTGGGCTTTCTTTTGCGCCTCGAGCCGTTCAGTCAGCTCGTTGATGTGTCCCTGAAAGTATTCCAGCTGCTCCTTCGTCGCATCACCTTTTGCCACGATCTTCATGATATCCCTCAGTTTGAAGTTGGTGTTTGCCCGCTCTGCCAGCATATGGATGACCGGGTCGGGCGCTGGTGGAGACACGACGCCGTTCGCATCGGGCGGATTGGGTTGATTGGGTTGATTGGGCCCCGCTGGCCGCGGACTGTTAAACGATGCGGTTTGCGACGACTGGCGGACTGGCGGCTGCTGCGACGGCGGAGGCCGCGACTGAGCATGCGCAGGCTGGACCGGAGATGCATATGGCTGGTAGGGCGGGTACGGAGGCGCGGCAGCATAGCCGCCGTAATAGTATGGCGGAGGCTGATGAACGGGCTGTTTTGGTCGGGGCGGCAGCGGAGCGACGTTCTCTCTCATGGTCCATATGGTAACATCCCAGATATGCGGCTCAATCATGAGCTTGCAGTTACCCTCTCTCTTCATCTGCTTGGCTTTGAGCTGTTCCTGGTCGGCAGTCGAATTGCCCGTCATCTTCTCGACTTTCTTCTTGCCGGCCTTGCTGTAGTACAGCTCGAACAGGCCGGGCGTCATCCATCTCTGGCGCGATTTCTCAATGGCGGACTTGAGAACGCCACTTTCCAGGACGCTTTGCCACTCGGAGAGCGGGAGATGGGGCGGCTGCGGTTGCTGGAGCGTGGGGATGGGCTGGCCGGGGAGGAGCTTTGTCGGCAGCGGCGCGGGCGCGGGTGCGGGCGCGGCGGGCTCAACGGTCTTTTCCTTGACGGGCGTGTGCTTTCTCTTTTTGCTGTTGTCGGCTTCAGCTGGTTTGGAGCGCGCGGGGTTCCGGCGCCGTATCTCCACCATTTTCGGTCGTGGTGGATGGGCGGAAAGAGTGCGTCATGGTGGGTGTGGTGTAGAGTGGAAAAGAGAAAGACGGCGACCTCTCACGACGCGTCGCCAACCGCCTGGCCCGAGCATTTCCGACGCCACTATAAACATTTCATTCTTTGTCTGACTATACCTATCAATATCAATATGCCCGCCCTCGCTCCCACCCTCAAAAAATCCTACTGGGTTCTGGCTGGCTTTGGCGCTGCCTATGCCATCTTCATGCTATGCCTCACCAACGTCACCCTCCAGAGACAGTACCTATGCATGCCTCCTCTCCTCGTCGCAGCACGAGACTAACCTCGCCCAGTGCCCTGTACGCCAACAAGTTGGTTAACGCCTGGTGGGTCGACACAGAAAAGCCCCAGTCTTTCGGGTTTGCCAGTACGTCTGTTGGAAGCACTTTCCAGTCTAGGTCATGCTGACCCTCGTCAAGAGAACCAAGTGACGGCATTCAACATCACGACACCAGACCATGAACAGCTCTATGCATGGCATATCCTTCCTCTCAACGTGTACGCAGAACATGAGGTCGAGCTTGCTGCAGCATCGTCCGGGCCCGTGCATGACCTTGCGCAGTCGCTCTCTTTTAGTCTTCTTAAAAAAGATCCCAATGCTCGTCTTGTCATTAACTGTTAGTCACTGTCACCTCTTTCATGTAAAGACGCATGCTAATTCGTATCTAGTTCATGGAGTAAAAATGCTCATATGTCTATGATAAGCGGAACATCTGCTGACGTGTTGTGAATCTTAGAACGCCGGCAATGTCGCCCAGGGCTGGCGTACAGACACCTACAGGAGTCTATCTTCACTGCCCAATGTCCATATCCTGACGGTTGACTACCGTGGATTTGGCCACAGCACCGGCAGTCCTACCGAGGCCGGCCTCATCGTTGACGCCACCACTCTCGTCAAATATGCTCTTGAGATTCTCCAGATTCCGCCGCATCGCATCGTCATCGTGGGCCAAAGCCTTGGCACCGCCGTCGCATCTGCCGTGGGCCTGCAGTTTGCCGATCCGGCAGCTGCGTTAAGCATGGTTCCATCAGGGCAAACTGGGTTTGCGGCTTTGAATGCGTCCTTTTCCGCGGAGACTGTTAAGCCAGTTGACTTTGCGGGCATCATACTCGTTGCCCCATTCACCTCCCTTCCAGTCCTTGTTGAGAGCTACCGCATTTTCGGCGTATTGCCCCTGCTGTCCCCTCTGCGTCCTTACCCAAAGCTCCAAACCTGGCTTCGGCAGCATATTGTCGACACATGGGACAGCATGGCTCGCATCAGCACGATGATCGGTGCCATCGCAGCAGACGAATCGAGGAAGTTTCGTCTGCATATCATTCACGCTAAGAATGACTTTGATATTCGCTGGACTTACGGCGAGACCTTGTTCCAAAATGCAAGTTCAACGTTTGTTAAACTGACTGGACAGGAGGAAGCGGACGTCCATCAGCAGTACATCGAAGCCGATGGCGGAAGGTCTGCTATGACGAAGATCACAAAGGACAGTCACGGCCGCCAGGTTATCTTGGATCTTTTGGCCTACGGAGGTAAAGGCGTTCGCTTTCCCTCGCATGAAACATTTTACTGACATCAAACCAGGTCACAATCGTATCGTCACGTTTGCCCCAGTGGCGTTGGCAGTGCTGCGAGCCTTTGATGCCGCGGCCGCAACGGCGTAGAGCAAGCACATAAAAAAAATTAGACGATGGCAAATGGTACAAAATTAAAGGTGATAAGAGTCGAGTTTTGGCGTATCATTCTTCCTTTTATACCCGTAGATGCATATCGTACAGTGATCCTAACCTTAATTTCCAAGTCCCATCCAGCTCCATCTATATGCATCGAACCTGCGTACATATGCTGTCCCGCTCAACCAGTAAACCATTTTCGCATACAAGCAAATTAACTCAGCAGAAGGATGCGAGTGCTTTATTTCTTATTCTTGTCGGCTTGGGCCTTCTCGTACTTCGCAATGAGCTCCTTCTGCAGCTGCATGGGCGCTGGAGCATAGTGGCTGAATTCCATGCTGAACTCACCCTTGCCCTGGGTGGCAGCTCTCAGTTGAGACGAGAATCCGAACATGCTTTGCAGGCTGCAGTCGGCGTAGAGAGTGAAGTCCTCAAGGCCAATTTCCGTGTCGTTGATGGTAGAGTTGCGCTTGTTCAGCAAGCCAACAATGTTGCCCTGGAACTCATTTGGAGCAGTGATAGTAGTCTTCATGACGGGCTCGAGGACCTGCGGCTTGCCCTGAATGAAGGTCTTGCGGAAAGCTTGCTGCGTGGCTTGACGGAAGGCGTGTTCGGAGGAATCAGTCATGTGGGTAGCACCGTCCATCAGATGCATGCTAGTTCCCAGAACCCTGTGGCCAAGAAGGGGACCCTTAATGCAAGAGTCATTGAAACCCTTCTCACAAGCGAAGAGGAATTTTTCGTTGATGGTACCACCGAAAATGTGCTCTTCAAACTTGTTTACCTCGAAAGAACCGGAGGGCTCCATGTAACCAACGACTCTGGCGAAATCACCAGCACCACCGGTCTGCCTCTTGAGAGTGTGGTCAAACTTGACCTTCTCAGTGATCGTCTCACGGAAAGCGACCTGCGGTGGACCAGTGACACAATCCACCTTGTACTCACGACGCATACGCTCCACGTAGATGTCCAGATGCAGCTCACCCATACCGGAGATGATGGTTTGCTGGGACTCAGGGTCAACGTGAACACGGAAGGTCGGGTCTTCGCGCTGGAAACGGTTCATGGCCTTGGAGAAGTTGTTGCCGTCTTTGGTGTGCTTGGGTTGGATGGAAAGAGAGATGACGGGTTCGGGCACAAACATGGAAGACTGACAAAAAAGTTAGCGGAAAGCATAATGGCATGGGAGGGAGAGTGTATTGTACCATAGTGTACTCAAGCTTTCCGTCGGTGAAAGTATCACCGGAGGCACAGTCTACACCGAACACGGCGCAGATTTCACCAGCACCAATCTCTTGAACCTCCTCCATTTCGTTGGAGTGCATACGCACGATCTTGGGAATCTTGACCTTCTTGTCCGTCTTGGCGTTGTACACAATCATGCCCTTCTTCAGCATGCCTTGGTAGACACGGATATAAGTCAACTGACCGAAGTTGCTCTCTTCCAACTTGAATGCAAGACCAGTGAATGGCAGTTCGTTGTATGAGACAAGTTTGACAGGTGCCTCTTTGCGCTTACGATCCAGAGCAGTGTTCTCAACTTCCGAGGGGTTGGGCAAGTAATCACAGACGGCGTCAAGCATCGGCTGGACCGCAGTATCCGCAAGTGCGGATCCCATCATGACCGGAGTGAACTTCAGCGAGATGGTTGCTCTGCGAATTGCAGCCTTGATTTGCTCAATGGTCGGCTCCTGTCCGTCCAGGTAGAGATCGGCCATTTCCTCGTCTACGTCGGCCAAAGTCTCAATAAGCTTCGCACGGCGTTCCTTGACCACCTCGACAACCTCAGCAGGAATCTCATCGGATTCTCTGATCTTTTCACCCTTGTAACCTTCGTTGTAGATAGCCTTCATGCGGATCAGGTCCACAACACCCCTAAGAGAATCTTCAGAGCCAATCGGAACCTGGATCGCGGCCGCGGGGATTTTCAGCTTGTGGTTGATCATGTCGATAACCTTGAATGGGTTGGCGCCCATGCGGTCCATTTTGTTGATGAAGGAGATGCGAGGGACATTGTAACGCTTCATCTGCCTGTCGACAGTGATGGTTTGAGACTGCACGCCAGAGACGGCGCACAGAATCATGACGGCTCCGTCCAAAACTCTCAGCGCACGCTCGACCTCGATGGTGAAATCAATGTGGCCCGGCGTATCGATCAAATTGATGTGGTATTTCTCCTCCTTGCCATCTTCTTTCTTCACCCAGTCGCAAAAGGTTGCGGCAGACTGGATGGTAATACCCTTCTCACGTTCCAGGTCCATGGAGTCCATCTTCGCGCCCACGGCATCCTTGCCACGAACCTCATGGATATCCTTAATGCGGCCGGTATAGAAAAGAACACGCTCCGTCGCCGTGGTCTTGCCACTGTCAATGTGTGCCTATTTCCGTTAGAATGTCTTCAATTCTGCCTGGCTTCCGCCAAAACCGGAAGTAGATGTTTCGTTGAGCGCCTTACAGCAATACCAATGTTTCTGACTTTCGACAACCGCTTGGCCTCTTCCGCCGACAGGTTTTGGACGATAGTATCTTGCGTCAGCTGCGAAGGGTCGTGAATGGCAGACTCGAGCCTGATGTTCCTATTAGCGCGCTTATCCTTTGGCATTGTGATTAGGGAACTCACACAGAGGCAGCAACGTTGGATTGCCACCTTCGCCCCGGCCATAGCCGCGAACCAGGCTTTGGCAGGACACTGGTGGGAGCTGGCCGTAGGACAAGGCCAGAGGCGCATCGCCGCTGAAGCAGTGTTGACTGGCGGCTTCCCAATCTGGCCCCATTGCTCAACGAGCGCAGTGCAGAAGCCTGCGCTCTCACCAATCCAGTTGCCCTCATCCTTGCGCCGCGAAAGTACGAGAGCAAAAGGGAAGAAGAACGAGTGAATTATTGGAAGGCGACTAATTGGCTCTGCGGCGAGGTTGCTCAAAACCGCCGATGCTGCCCCGACGACTTTTTTGGGAGCCGGAGTTTTAGCGACGCGTCTCGTTATCACGTGCGTGCCCATCTCTCTGTCCATCACGGCAACCACGGGATAGCGCAAGTGTGAATTGGGATTTTCGACGCGTATATGTCTAATGATACACTATTGTATGTGTTTGATGTAGTCTGTTGGCTTGTTATAACGAAAGCCAAACTTGGCACACTCAGAGCATGACTACGCCCACTCCACCCATGTGCTTGTCGGACGCCTGGTTTTTCCCGTCGATTCCCCCGGCGACGGGGGCGGTGCGGTAGTTGTACAGATAGTAGTGAAGCTGCCCGTCTCCAGCACCGAACTTTTGCTCCTCCAAGAATAGCGGATTGTCCAGAAGCGTGAGTGCGTTCAGGACGTCGAAGTTGGCCTAGGAAAATATTAGTAGCAGACCTTACAAGCATGGGCAGAGAACAGCGGGTCTGTACCTTCTTTGCAAGAATTAAAGCATCCTTCATCAGCGCATTCAGTCTGGCCTTGAGTTTCTTGTCCTCCCCTTCAAAGGCCGTCTCTGTAGCGTAGTAGTAGAGGTAAGCAGCTTTCACGACGCGGTTGGCGCGATCCCGGATGACTGTTGATTCGAGGCTGTAAAACGAGAAAAAGTCGGTGACCTTGTTGCTCGCGGGGTCCTCTACGACGTACGACCACACAACCTGATCGTTTGGCGAGTCGTCCGTGTGCAACAACCAGTGCTCAACTTCCTCCTGGCTGAATTCTTGTGACATGTCCGTACGTGCCAGATAGCGCACAAGTAGGTCCTGGACCTGCGCAACATCCTTCTTCTGCATGGGACGGAGGCCGTGTGTCGCGGTGGTTGTGGGCAGCTTGTACTTCAGGATCTGCCTTTGCTTGGTGGATCCATGCGGGAGCGGAGAGAAGCCAACATCGTAAAGCTTCTCCCAGTCAAGGCTGCGGTGGAAGTAACGGCATGTAGAGATAGGCGTGGGAAGAATGACACCGGCAGTGTAGATGGCCTGGAAGGTTCCCTCGAGGTAACAACGGCGCGTGATTTCCTTGATGAGAGTGGGCGCAAGACGCTTCGAGCGCAACTTCTTGTGAATGCAAAGGAAGTTAATCTCGGAGGTGTTTATCTTCTGGTTCCGCACACGCAGGGTGACCGGAATGCCTGAGATAAAGGCAACCAACTTGCGGGATTGCGTGGTGCGAACTCCAACATGCCACTCCTTGCGCCAACCAGGCGCCTTCAGAGCCCAGTTCAGGAAGGAGCTGGAGTAGTTGAAGCGGAACATGGCTTCGTCATCCTCAACGTAGTGGTTCGACAGCAAATCGTAGACCTCAGCAAGCTCCTTTTCATCTTCCAGGTTCATGGTGACCCATTCGAAGCCCTCGACCATCGGAGGAGGCTGCTTGCTGACCCTTTCGATATCTATGACCTTGATGGGCCCGTCCTCCTGGGGGCTCTTATCCTCGAAGCTAGGAACGGGCTGCGTTTGCCAGAATTTATAGCTAGCCATGTCCTTTTGATTCTTGGAGCCAACCGTCAACCCCGTCAATATGTCCGACACGCTCAACTTCTTCATCATCTCCTCCACCTGACTCTCGTTCAGCTTGGAGAAGTCTCCTTTGAGTGCTGGGTTTACGGCCATCAAGGTCTCCAGCTGATCCCTGCTCAGTGTCTTCTTGCCCTCTTGCGCGGAGCTGCCCTCGGCTTGGGTGTTGCTCTTGCCCGCCAGTGCATCCTTCAGCTTTCGCTTCTTGCTCTTCTTCTTCTTTTTCTTTGCTTCGCCTGCCGTCGTCGTTGCGTCCGCCACGCCAGGTGTCGCTTCGTCGCTGGACGACTCCTCTTGCTCAGCGCCTTCAGGTTTTGATGTCTCTTCAGCTACCTCTCGGGTCGCGTCGGCGGTCGCTTCGCGGTCCACGGGTTTGGATTCCGAGGAGGACATGGTGGGCAATTGGTGGTGGTGCGGGTTTCGAGGTTACGCGATGTGATGTTGCCTTGCTTGCTTGCGGCTCGGTGGGGTCGTTGCGGGGCCTACCTAATTTCTTGGCGGCTAGCTCTTTGGACCTATGAAGTAGTTTCCAAACGGCTGCGCGTCATTGCGTTTCACAGCGGACGCAAAAAGTAGGCCTCGACCTCGGGATAGTTTACCCATCTCTTCTATCCCTTCTGATTCTTCCCACCCCTTAGCTATATGTCGAGTAAAGTCTACCATATCCTCCGAATACTCAGTAAATTATATACTTTGACAGATGTGTTATCACGTGGGTTAGCAAAATATCCAGAGGAGCTGAGCAAATTATCCGCCATTTGATATTTGTACCAAGGAATGGACGGAAAGTCAAACAGAAGCTTGTTCATGCATGAAAAGCTGAAAGCTCCACCCAATTGATTCACCCACATTCAACAGCTATAAAAGTAAAAGGGTTGAGCCGATTTCCAAAGACCGTAAACTTCTCACAACGCTAGCCGCTCCAAAGCAGTCATTGATATCGTGAAAACAACACGCTATATGCTGAGACGCCGCTCATATCCACAAGTCGATAACCGTGACGCCGCCCAAAACTCCAGAATAAGCTGATTAACTCCTTGCTTCGTTCTGACTCTCTTCTCCTATTCTTTGCGATGGCCTCTCGTCGACCGGTGTGATAGATTGAGTGATATGTATACTTGGCAGTCTTTGCACCTCCGGTAATCGTGGCGTTGTCCGAACATCTACGGGGCTCGTGTATGGCGGTGCTTCTTCCCAGCCAAGAGCGTCGTATTGCGGTGGTTCTGGCGGTGGTATCCTAGCTTCCCCGAGGTCACTACCTCTGGTTGTCTCTAGTGTCAACCTTGAACCGGACGGGGATCGGGATCGAGTGAGCGGGACGGCCTCGGCACCAGTGGTACCGCTCCCAGTGCTACCATTACGCCCGGCCCCGGGCCAAGCAGTGTCTGAGGCGGTCGTAGAATTGGAAAGAACGGAGGTGGCCGAGAAGTCTCTGTGGTGCGTCATTCGACTATCCGTCGATTGGCTCGCACCTAGCGGAGCAGCCGAATCAAGCAGAGGGTGATTGTCAGATTCTGCCGAGTTGGCTCGTATCCGCGTACCGTCGTGCCGTGCAACACCAACCTCAGCATATTGAACTGATGGTACCCGGCGCTCGCGTTGTTGAGTCGCCGCTTGATGTTCTGCAATCAAGGTAGTGGAAAGTTGGTTTCCGCCTCCATTTAGATGCCGCATGCGACCTTCTCTCCGCATCTGTGCCAAGGCTGCCTGATCGTTCCGCTCTCTGGCTTCTCGTCGCTGCCTGCGTCGCTCCTCGCGCTCGGCTTGCTCTTGTCTACGCGCCACCCGGATTTGATACAAAGATTCCATCTCATCGTCCCTTCGTATCTCTTCTTCCTCGACAGTTTCCGGGAACTCGACGACGACGTCGATACCGCCTCGCTCTCCTTCTCGCCCCAAGATCCTCTCATTTTCACGAGCGGCAGGAGAATATGCGGGCAAAGTCATGATGCTTCGGATAGACGTATTCCTATTCACGGGAGCGCCGCTTGCTGGTGTTTCCGTCGTTGTGCCCTGCATCTCTCGCGCTCCACTGCCATTTACGGCCGAAGGGCGTGACGAATACGAGGTATCCTCATTGTCTTGAAGCTGAGACGAATATTTCCCTTTGCCGGGCCGTAGACTCCATTGGGCCCATTTGCGCTTCAAAAACTGACCCGGCAAGAACCTTGGGGGACGGCCTGACTTTGCACGGAGGGAGCGGAGTTTGGCGTAAATACCGACGGCGATGATAAGGAACAAGACGACTATGATGCTGGCCTTGGGAGTGTTAGCAGCTTGGCTGGAAGGCGTGCTGCAAGGGGTGACTGACCACAGCGACTACGCGCCAACTGGGATCCTTATCGCTTCCTCTTTTGGTCAGGCCCGTTGTGGACGGCCATTCTGAAGCAGATGGGATCCACATGCTAAGGAGGACGCCAATGTACCAGTGTTTCGATGACGAAGGGCGGAGCGGTGCGGGAAGATATAAGGCAGCCCCCGGTGGCTGGGCGCGCGGCCGGGAACGTCAGCACGTGTGAGACGGAGGGTAGCTAGGTTGGCGCGTGAGGGGGGAGGACAGTCGCAGGAGCAAAAAATGATTTTGGGCGACGTCTGTTGAAGAAGAGGCAGGTTAGCGCTGGAGAGTGGGTAGTAGAGTTATTCCTGGACAAAGCACCCTGGAAACCGAGGGGGCTGAGCTCTGATGTGCGTGATCTGCGAGGCGGTGGCACTGCGCGAGGGGCCAGCAGCCGGTTTCCCGCACTACTCGCCGCGAACATCCCTATCCCAGATAGCGCCCGAGGGCCGCCGTCACCCTGTCACCCTGTCACCCTGTCACCCTGTCACGCCTGTCTTTGTGTTTTGACACGGCCAGCCTTATGCTGCGTACCGGGCGACTGAAGTACGGGCAGTACTAGACGTTTAAGCTTTCGCCATCGCGCGGGTCCTTTGGCATCTCTGCCGTACTGATTAAGCACGGTACATAAGGTTCCCGGGTGGTACCTCCCGAACCGCTAAATTGCTCTAACTGCATGCGGGCTGGGAACTAGGTACCTGGGCCTGAACCGAGCTGATATCCTTATGTTTATTTGTTTTCTTCTTGGTTTCCCTACCCCAATCGCAAACCAATTCTTCCAGGCCCGTTTCTGGCCAGATGCATGCATTCCATGTATCGATAATCGAGGCAGGTCATGACATGAAGGGAACGGAGCTTACCAACCGTCGATGCTCACTTGCATGACTGCTAACGAACTTCCAATTTTGGTTTGGTACTTGTACATACGTTTTGCAGCAAAAGGCATTAAGGGTATAGAATAAACATTGCCCATCAGTCATTATGCACTCATCATTTCAAATCGCAATTAGAGCTTCTTGTCCAACCTCTTCAAAAACTTGCTCACTCCCTTCTCCACCCTATCGACTCTTTGCTCAAATTTCCCTGGCCCCGGAGCTCCCGGTCCTGGTCCCGGAGACGATTTCTTACCGCCATGCGCCGCCTCCGTTTCCGTAGGACGATAGGCTTGTCCGTGTATAGCATAAGGGTCTTGTGACTGTTGATTGTTGGTATACGAATAGCTGGAATAGCTTCCAGGGGGGAAGCCTGGTGACTGAACAGGGGTTGGAACGTGGCCAGGTGTTGCGGAGTGGCCTGGAGATTGGACGGGAGGATAGCCGGGAGATTGAGGATATGTTGCATATTGAGGTTGTTGAGAAGGATAGCTAGAGTAGGCAGCCGGCATGGTAGAGGTACGTTGGACACCGGGATGAGGGGGCATTGGCGTTTGGCCGTACGGAGGCGTGGCAGCTTGAGTGGGTGGCGGCGCAAAAGTCTGGCCATATGGCGGAGTTCCAGCGGCCTGTGGAGGCGGAGGGAAGGAGTTGGTGGTAGTTGCACGCTGCATATGCGGGTGAGGAGAACCTCCCAAGAGTGGAGGCGGAGGAAATGATTGCGTAGATTGTCGAGGTGGCCCCGGCATGTATGGCTGATGCTGTTGGTAGGTGGCCTGTTGTTGCAATGGCTGACTTGGGAACTGATTGCTCTGGTCGTGCATAGCTGCCGCTGCCAGGCCAGTTCCAGATTCAGCATCAACTGGCGGAGGGGTCTTTTCCCGATGGGCGATAGGTTCTGGTGCGGCAGGTGCCGCCGGGTTATACGCCATGGGCGCATAAGATGCAGCATCACCCTGTGGGCCTTCAGAAGGTTTGGATAGTGTCGAACCAGTCACTGGTCCGCCATAGGACTGTGTGGTGCTGACGCTGTTACTGCGATGCTGATAAGGCTTGCTCACAGCTATTTGTTCCAACTTCTGCACAACTGGACTCATTGTATCAGAATGCTCAGAGTGCCTTTGTTGTGCTTCTAGAATCCGCACTTGATGAGGCTGGAGGGTTTTCCTTATGCTGTCTGCGAAAGAGTTTGAATCATCCACAGTCCAGAAGTATAGGTCCAACGTGTGAAGCTTATACATGTATTTCCCCTCGTTTCGCGGGTCCGGTGCGGGTAGATGCCACTGGGAAAAGTCCTGTTGGGGCGTTCCCGGGGCACTTCCGTTACCAGTGGGATCGACCGTTATGGTGAACAGGTTTGGCTGCTTGTAGGTACGGTTGACCTGGACCATATCCAGGTCTGCGGAGGAGAGTGCCGTTAGCATCACGCCCAGTATTGGTTCGACATGGTAAGACGTACAACCCATGAACGCATCCTGCTCTGGCGTTCCCGCATGATTGGCAATCTCTATCCGCGCTCTTCTATCCGTTGCGTTGTGGTATAGGTAGACGTAAGAGCCCTTGTCAAACCGGTCGTGCGGAGGCCTTGCGGCGGGATGGCTGAAGAAGAAATGCACATCGGCAAAGCTACCCGATATCAGAAAACAATGCGGGCAAGACTGTAGCCAGAAGACTCACAGAGTCAGCAGAGACACTTCGCCCGGCTGCTGAGGCATGGTGGGGTATATCAGGTGTGCGGCCAGCGCGAAAATAAGCAAAGCGAAAACAAGACAGCAGTGCGGAAGAGACGAGAGAGGTCGACGGCTCTCTAGGGCAGGTATTTGAAGACGAAGCTTGGGGAGCTATTCTTGGAGCTGCCCAAGGCTGGCGGTTACGCCTCCAATCATGTGAAGTGGAGAGGACAGCGGCGGAGAAGCTCATGGCACAGACCGATGCCCGCCCGGGCGGTGAAGCGCCTGTGGATTCTGGACTCTTGGACTCTTGACCCCAAACCCGACGGCCCCGCAAAGCCTCCAAAGCCTAGGCTAGGTATAGGACTTGAACAGCCTTCAGGTTCTCAGGATCCGTGTTCACTGCTGCCACTATATTGTCGCCCGTCCACCTCGCAACATCTACGAGCTTAAGCTTTCGGTGAAGCTAACTAGGAGTTAGGAAATATATTCAAAAAATTGTAATCCGTAGCGACTTGATACAGATGCACTTCCGTTCTACGAATAACTATCTTCGCCGTGGGAATATGAACGGTACAGTAACTTATAGAGGGACCCCTGTATTTACCTAAGTAGGTACGTAGGTAGGGTCTGCTTCCACATACGTCATCGCGACTGCTGTCGGGAACTCAAACATAAAAACAAATACTCCTGTTTACAACCTTTGGCACAAACTTCTTCCATCTACCACTTCGTGATACCAAGCCGCCAACATGGCTGAACATCAGAATTATGTCCTGAAAGTCACCGCAGGCCGCGACTATGATCTCAAGAACCACCAAGACGTGCATGTCAACACCGCCAAGCCAGTGGATATCTCCACCGACGACATTGACGCAAGCATCAACGTGCGCATACAGGACTACAGGGGTGTGGATCGCTCTACACAGTAGCTTTGTGTATCGTGCTTATGCTAATCTGTTGCAGGTCTTCCAAAAGACTCTCCTGCAACATCGCCCTACTTTTCCAATGATGGGCACAAGTACGACCGCTACAGCATTGCATACACTTTTCGCTTGAAAAACGATGTTCCTGGTGATAAACTAGTCTTCGGAAATGACTTTGACCACCCCATCCGCGACCGCTTGCCTCCAGGCTTCAATCTTGCATTCAGATATCTCAAGAGCTGGATAGACCCTACAATCGAAGGGGATATCAATGCTGATGAGCCCTATCTCTACGCACCGGTTCTTGGCTCGATGAACAGGTTGCAGGTCGGTTCGAAAGGCCAAAGTTTAAAAGAGACGATTGCGGGTGCCGGAGAGAAGCTTGGTGAAGGCGACGATGCCATAACTGTGATCGAGGAAGGTGCACAAGGGGACGGGGAGGATGTGCGCAAAGAGAAGAGCATTCCAGATGCACCTAATGCCCGAATGAAGCACTATGCATATGAGCAGTACAGGAAGGAGTTCACCTTCGAGAAAGATCGGCCGTACGCATGCGATTTCTTCAACTCATATCTGGATTTTAATGGTAAGTCCTCTAATCACTGTCCAGGATGCATATAGCTGATTTAGGCGTAGAATTTGCCATCAAACTCCCAATCATCACCGTTCCTATTGTCAGATACTGGGACGGGCAGCCTTTGCGGTGAGTTTTGTTTTCACTTTGCTAATCTTTGCAATGCTGTGGTTCAAACATCCCGCGGTCTTATCAATTTGGGCAAGACACCTAACTGACATAGCTCTCATACACTCAGATATGTACTCAAAAATCTTGAGACGAATGAACCACTTTTCGTGATTCACTTCACCCTCATCCCTGCCGATCAGCTCGATGCCGAAGATGCCAATGACAACGCAAGAAAACAGCTGGCAGATGGAGACAAAGAGTCTGAACATGGTAGTGGAGCAAGTGCTCCCGCCCCGAATGACGCAGACATTGACTAGGCGCACTGTGTCTGGACAACGTGCATTCACTTCGGTTATTGTCGAGAAAAACGCTGCACCCTTTTCTATGGACGACACTGGAATCATTTTACTCCACCATACGACCAATACAACCAAACCAATACAGCCAGCACATTATCGACTTTTTTAACAAAGCTCAACATTCGCCTTGGGACAAGCGTTTTGTTACAGTCTGCTGCAATTTCTTCATATACGACAAACCCACGTTTGATTGCAAGGAAATGCGTCTAAAGATTTTATGGAACCCAGATCATTAGCATGGATGGGATCGGTATCACCAACCAGTCAGCTCGGCGGCTCTACTTCAAATCCTGCGCGTTTTCAAAAGTGATACATTGAGAGGGACCGGCACAAACTCCAGATTAATTGGCATAAGACATCCAAGAAGCTAGCGATGAGGAGTGGATAGCGTTCGAATGAGCAACGTCAGGATGTGTTTTGTCCTCGACCATAGGAGAGCAACAGCCTGGGTATTGTGCTCAAGGATGGGACTACTACTAGAGGTTTTGCAGACATGGATGATGCTTCATAGACGACAGAACTTACAGCTATTGCTCACAAATTTGAGAAGATACAGCATAAATCCCAATAATTTCTTTCTTTTTTCCTTCTTCCCTCATAACACTCGGAGCAGTACTGCCGTCTTCACCAGCGGACGGCAGTACGTAAGTACATTCTACATGCGCTAGACCAGCAAAGACCACTTATCTCAGGCCCGCCAACCTCCTCTCCTGGACCTCAGACAACGCCCTGCTTCCGCTAATGTATGCAATAGCGCCTACGGCAGCCGCAGCCGGCAGCGTCTGGAAAAGGTTCCAGCAGGTATAATACAAAAAGAAAATGCCCTCGAGCGCGACGATGCTTCCAAAGAAAAGGCCGTGGCTGATTGGCGCAGATCCCAGCGCCTTGCCGGCGTGGTTTAGGTTTGCGCCCAGCATGAGCCAAACACCGAACAACACAGGCAGAGTCACGGCGATGACAGCGCCGAAGACAAGGGTGATAATCATGGGCGGGTTGCGCGGGTCGTCCTTGAAGACGTGGTGGATTTCGGGCTGCGGGCCGTAGCGGATAGGCGGCGATGGGAGGGCGAGCGGCACGTTGGGATCACGGGTGATGGCGAGGTTGAAGACGGAGTGGCTGTAGGGCTTGCTGCTGCCGAAAGAGCCGATGGTCAGAGTCGCGGTGACCGGGGCAGACGCAGTCAGGAATTGTGCAGGAAGGTCCTTGTGAGTCTGCGGAGGAACATTAGCGCGTTTGTTTATATAGATACAATGAGACGAATGATCGAGGGTGGAGAAAAGTGGATGGAGTGCTAGCATCACGACGGACGCCGCAGGCTTGAAACGTACCACTTCGACCTTTCCTTTCCCGCTGTCCTTGATGGTGAACGGGAACGAGTCCTCGAGGCCGGTGGCAGGGTCCATGAGGGTCAAGAAGGCCTGGTGAGGACGCTTGGCCTTCTTGCCGTCGGTCGTGGTCAAGATGATCTTGAGCGTGTCGGTAGCACCCAGCTCGACGGTATTGGCCAAGGGCGTGTTGACGGAGAGCCTGCAAAGCACAATGTCAGTCTCTGGTCTTATCTCGAGCATCCAACTGGTGGGGTTCATTGAACGTACTTCTCCTTCAAGCCGCTGCCAACGCCGCCCTTGCCCTGTACCGTAACAGTGGCATCTTCGAAGCCCCACGAAGCAGCCGCAACGGTGGACACGGCGCTGAGGCCGGCGAGCAAGACCGAAGGAAGGAGCGAGAAACGCATCGTGCCGAAGTGCTCAATTGGCGTTCTGGGATGCTTGGGGAATTGGCCGCGGCCTGCGGGAGTGGTTGGAGCTCAAGCTGTTGGAGGGCTTGAGGAAACGTAAGCGCCGACAGCCGTTGCGAGCTGCACAGGCCAACGTCATCAACACCACCACGACGTGACGCGTCCTGGCGACCCTTGAAAACAGAAAGAGCAGAAAGAACAGAAAGAGCAGAAAGAACAGAAAGAGC